CGCAACCTGTCTCTCGATCTCCCCCGCGACTTCATCCAGTCGTGCCAGAACTTGAGAGACATCAAATTCAACAACAACGAGGCCCGGAGGTTACCCCCAAGTTTGGGCAAGGCGGCGAAGCTTACCTATCTCGATGTTTCCAACAACAGAGTCGATCAGCTGGACCATGCCGAGCTGCATGGGCTGCATGGCATCCTGAAGCTTAACATCGCCAACAACCGTCTCAAGGCCCTGCCGCAGTACTTTGGCGCCTACAAAGCTCTTCGGAACCTCAACATCTCGTCCAATTTCCTGGACAAGTTTCCGCTTTTCCTCTGCGACGTCGAGAGTCTGGTGGAGCTAGACCTCAGCTTCAATTCCATCAGCAGCCTACCTGACCAGATTGGAAAGCTGAGAAACCTCGAGAAGTTCGTCATCACCAACAACAGGCTGTCAAACTCCTTGCCGGATTCCTTCAGCGAGTTGTCCGGCCTCCGAGAGTTGGACATCAAGTACAACGCCATCACGAGCATCAACATCATCTCCCTGCTCCCCAAGCTCGAGATCCTCTCGGCCGACCACAACAGCATTTCTCAGTTTATCGGCAGCTTTGAGAGGATACGAAGCTTGAAGCTGAACTCGAACCCGATCACAAAGTTTGAGATCATCGAGCCCGTTCTGACGTTGAAGATGCTTAACCTGTCTCACTGTCAACTAGCGAGCATCGACGAAACCTTCAACATGATGTTGAACTTGGAGCGTCTTGTGTTGGACAAGAACTACTTCGTCTCTCTGCCACAACACATCGGAAACCTGAGCAAGCTGGAGCACTTCAGCATCGCCAACAATAACGTGGCAGAGTTGCCCACGTCGATAGGGTGTCTGACTGAACTTCGCGTATTGGATGTACGGAGGAACAACATTAGGAAGCTGCCCATGGAGCTGTGGTGGGCGAACAAGCTGGAGACTCTGAATGCGTCTTCCAACATCCTTGAAAACTTCCCAAAGCCGGCCTCGAGACAGCCGCGCCCGGCAGGCGAGGAAGCGCAGACACCAGCGCCCACCAACAAGCCGAACCCCATGGAGCGCATTGCACAATCTCCCCTCGAGGAGGCCCAGGATGCTTCCAGGAGGCCAAGCAATAACTCGTCTTCAACCTTGCTGAGTGTTGGACCGTCGCCTGTACCTGGCAGCGCCGATAGGAAGGGCTCGGTTGTGTCGGTGTACGGTAAGGGCGGTCGCAAAACTTCCGTCGTGTCCAGGTCAACGTCACAAGGCACCGTGCCGCCATTACCGCCCTCTGCAGCCGCGAGGAAAGATTCGAGCCTGTCGTCGCGGCTTTACACAACCTTTGCGGGATCCTTGCGCAACCTCTATCTAGCGGAGAACAAGCTCGACGACGAAGTCTTTGATCAGATCACCATGCTCAACGAGCTGCGCGTCCTCAATCTATCATGGAACTACATTAACGATATGCCACAACGATCGATCAAGAGCTGGCCGCAGATGGTGGAGCTCTACCTGTCCGGCAACGAACTGACGACCCTACCGGCTGATGATCTGGAAGACGCCAGCTTGTTGCAGGTGTTGCATATCAACGGAAACAAGTTTACCAACTTGCCGGCCGACATATCCAGGGCTAAGAAACTTGCAGTGTTGGACTGCGGCAGCAATTACCTCAAGTACAACATCTGTAACGTCCCATACGACTGGAACTGGAACCTTAACCCGAACTTGAGATATCTCAATCTCTCAGGCAACAAGCGGTTGGAGATTAAGCAGACAGTCACCGGCTCGACGATTCCAAACCGCGAATCCCTCGCCGACTTCAACCGGCTTTTGAACCTCAGGGTCCTAGGTCTCATGGATGTCACCTTGACACAACCCACCATTCCAGACCAAAGCGAGGATCGCCGTGTGCGTACGTCCGGTTCGTTAGCAGGTCACCTTCCCTATGGTATGGCCGACACGTTGGGTAAGAACGAGCATCTGTCGACTATCGATCTTGTGGTACCTCGTTATAACTCGTCGGAAACCGAGACTCTGCTGGGCCTGTTCGACGGCCAAGCGCTCTCGAGCGGCGGCTCCAAGATTGCCAAGTACCTGCACGAGAACTTTGGTCACATCTTCACCATGGAACTGAAGGCTCTCAAGACGCGGCTCAACGAGACACCCGTAGATGCTCTGAGGCGTGCCTTTTTGTCTCTGAACAAAGACTTGGTCACCATTGCCATCCAACACACCGAAGAGCGTTCTCAAAAGACGCATAGGGGCTCCGCGACACCCGTTGTGTTGAGCAAGGAAGACCTCAACTCTGGCGGTGTTGCAACTGTTGTCTATCTCCAAAACCAGGAACTCTACGTCGCCAACGTGGGTGATGCTCAAGCCATGCTCATTCAGACGGACGGGTCGCACAAGATCCTCACACGGAAGCATGACCCGGCAGAGCCCAGTGAGCGCCAGCGGATCCGAGAGGCCGGCGGTTGGGTTTCCCGTAACGGCAGACTAAACGATCTTCTCGAGGTTTCCCGTGCTTTCGGCTACGTCGACCTCATGCCGGCAGTACAGGCTGCACCTTATGTCAGCAACTTTACGATTCGTGAGCAGGACGACATAATCCTGATCGCCACGAGGGAATTCTGGGAGTACTTGGATCCCGCTCTGGTCGTCGACTTTGCGAGACAGGAGCGTGGTGATCTCATGAGGGCATCGCAAAAGCTGCGAGACCTAGCCATTGCTTACGGCGCTACTAACAAGATCATGGTCATGATGATTAGCGTTGCTGACCTTAAGAGGAGGAGTGAGAGGTCAAGGCTTCATCGTGGCCAGAGCATGTCGTTGTATCCTTCGGGCGTTCCCGACGACCTCCAACAACCTCTACGCAGAGGCAAGCGGAACAAGGGCGACGTCCTCGACTCCACTCTGCAGCGCCTCGAAGCCGAGATTCCAGCCCCGACGGGCAACGTGTCCATCGCCTTCACTGACATCAAGAATTCGACAACGCTCTGGGAAATGTATCCGGCTGCCATGAGATCCGCCATCAAACTGCACAACGAGGTCATGCGTCGGCAATTGCGAAGAATCGGTGGGTACGAGGTCAAGACGGAAGGTGACGCGTTCATGGTCTCGTTTCCGACGGCCACCTCGGCGCTCCTCTGGTGTTTTGCCGTTCAGATGTCGTTGCTGGAGGTCAATTGGCCCTCCGAGGTTCTCAACTCCGTTTCTTGCCAGCCTTTGTACGACAAGGACAACGCCTTGATCTTCAAGGGTCTCTCCGTTCGCATGGGTATTCATTATGGTGAAGCCGTCAGCGAGATGGACCCGGTGACAAGGCGCATGGACTACTTCGGACCGATGGTCAACAAGGCCTCACGTATCTCGTCTGTCGCCGACGGAGGTCAGATCACCGTCTCGTCCGACTTCATTTCGGAAATCCAGCGCTGTCTGGAGAACTACCAGGACACGGACAGGAACGGGTCCACTGGGTCTGAAGACACGTTCGACGATGACCAGGGCTTCGCTTCATCGATCCGCAAGGACCTGCGATCTCTCAGCTCGCAGGGCTTTGAAGTCAAAGAAATGGGCGAGAAGAAGCTCAAGGGTCTTGAAAACCCCGAAGTCGTGTACTCGCTGTACCCGCATGCTCTTGCAGGCCGTATCGAGCACCACCAGCAGCATGAGCAACGCACCGAGGTCGACAAGCCCGCGATCCTTCAGGCGGGCAGCGAGCTGGCTTTCGACACCGAGTCTATCTGGGCTTTGTGGCGTGTCAGCCTAAGGTTGGAGATGCTGTGTAGCTCACTCGAAAATGTGTCCGGCCAGGGCCTGCAACCACCCGAAACAGAGTTACTGGAGAGGATGAAGCATCGTGGAGGTGAAGTTACGGAAAGGTTCCTGCTCAACTTCATGGAACATCAAGTGAGCAGAATAGAGGTTAGTCTCCATTGAGCGTTAGGGTGCAAGTCATTTACTGACACAAAGATCCAGACCTGCGTCACGACCCTGTCACTTCGTCACATCGCTATCGGCAATGCGCCCTTGGAACAGCTTCAGGACATGCGAGGCCCTATGAGCGACATCCTTGACCAAGTTGCCAAACAGATGAGCGAGTTGGCGAGGTACAAGGCATTGTACGGCGAGCTGAACGAATCAGAAGACGGGAGCGAAACGGAATGAGAGCAACGTGGCGAGCGTTTCATTCATGATTCTCATGCGACGGCATCACATATATAGTATACCTATGACGCGAGACAGCATCCCGTCAACAACAACAACTACAACAACAACAATACCTGGATACCCGTTTCTTTTCGAGGGGGAACACGGCGCTCTCATATACTTATTCCATTCCTGTATCATGCGATTACGACGACACCCGGACAGTTTTAGCCAGCGGCGGTTCGATGACTGCTTCCTGCATTTCATTGGTTCAGGGGGGTTGGCTCACTTGGGGGCGTGGGTGGGTTGATAGGCAGTTTGGCCTGACGGTTAGGGAAGGGGTGTTGAATGCGCGATGGATGCGCAATGGATGGTCCTTTTTCTGGTTCTGTTGGGCTTGGAAGGGGGCGCCAGGCGGCGACAGCCGAAAGGGGCCGGTGTTGGATTGAACAAGAACAAAAAGTGACTGTGTTGCGGTGTTGGGTTCGTTGTTTAGGGACGACGGCGGCATAAATGCGGGAAACGAGGCCTCGCATTGGTAGAGGCTCGCGGTAGGATAGTGTCTTGTTGTTTTATTGCCCCAGAGCCGGCGCACATCGCGCGGCGTACGGAATGATTACAATACGTCCCCTAAGTTTCGTGCCTCATCCATCAGATGACGCTGCTGAAGTGAGCTTTGTGCCGTGCCGTGCAGGTAATACAACCATGGGCTATTGCAACAATTGTGTCACATTGTACGGGAAATCTGTCTTGTCTATCAACTTTCTTGCTCGATTGGCGAGACGGCACAATCTTTCTCCCCACCCAGACTACTCTGAGCCGGAAGTATATTCTCCAAACGTATCGGGCAGCATCCACAACCATCACTGGGAGACGATCCGGGCGCCGGCGCCGGCGTCCTTGGTCCGCCTCAGGATCCGGATCCGCGGCTCCATGCGCGGCCCAACCCACCAGCCGCCCGTCAACCCCCGAACCAAGTCTCGCACCCGCCGGACCCGCAGACCTCTGCCCAGGACCCTTTGCTCGCCTTCCTCCACGTCGCTGCCGCCGCCGTGTCCATCGGACGGGGATCCGGATCCGGGTCGCAGGATCTCGATGCCGGCGTAGCCCTGCACGACGCCGACCGTCTCCCACTGGCCGCCCCGGACGGAGGCCGGGTCTTCGGCAAGGACGTAGTCGAAGCGGGACCAGAACGCAGGGTCGGCGAGGACGGCCTTGTCCTCGGTCTTGTCGAACGTGAGGATCGGGTGCGACGGCGTCGCGGAGGCGGAGGCGCCGTCGTTAAGGGAGGTTTCGATGGCGCGGGCGTGCGGGTTTTTGGGCAGGCCGACGAGGTTCTGGTTGAAGAGGGTGACGCCCGTCATGCAGCTGAGGACGTCGGTGTGCACCGAGGTGACGGAGCCGCCGCTGCCCGAGTGGTCGGAGGCGACGAGGGCGTGCAGCTGGCGGAGGGCGTCGCCGCCGGGGTAGTTTAGGGAGGAGAGGAGGAGCATGCCCGTCGAGGCGGCGAAGGAGGCGAGGACGCTGAGTACCAGGGCGGACGAGGCGAGGGCGTAGAGCAGGGATTTGGAGCGGCGGGCGAAGATCAAGTTTGCGCCCTGGGCCGCGGCGGCGGTCAGGGGCGGGACGGCGTAGAAGATGAAGCGGGCTTCCTTGTGCGGTTGGAGGGAGTAGATGGCGACGAAGAGGAGGGGGGCACAACGAGGCTGGCGGCTGTGCGGGATGTCGCCGGGTGAGAGAGGGCCAGCGGAATCAGGAGGAAGGTCAGGGGGTTGACGAGCAGGCGCGGCAACGCCGAAGAAAAGTAGTAGTGCCAGGGGGACACGCCCCAGTTGGACGAGGAGCCGAGGACGGCGTTGTAGTAGAAGCCCCAGAGCTCCGGCCAGAGGGGCTTCTGCCAGAAGTACGAGTCGAGGGGGACGGAGACGGCGACGGCGACGGCGAAGGAGATTAGAAAGGGGCTGATGAGGCGGGGGATTGTTATCTGGCGCGTGAGGAGCAGGTAGAGGCCTGTCGTTGCAAGAAGGACGGCGACTTCGGAGCGGAAGATTGCGGCGGCGAAGACGAGGAGGGAAATTGCGACGCGGAGGCGCGCGGCGTGGGACTTGGGAGAGGGAGAGGGGGATGGGAGGAGGTTGGCCGAGGCGAGAGTTGCTAGGTGGTGTTAGTCTGTTGGATTTATTCCTCGAGGAGAACTCGAGGGCTCAGGGACAGGGCCAAACTTACTCAACGCAAAGGCAAACATGTTGGGCAGCGTCCTCGAAGCGTAAAACACGACGTGGAACTGGCTGGCCAGTAATAGAACCCACCATCTCATCACACCCGAACCCAACCCTCTGCCCAGGCTCCTCGCAAACACCAGCAGCGCCGCGGTGTTGGCGAGACCCAGAAGGGCCCGGACGACGAGCTGAGCGTGGCGGAAGCCGAGGAGGTTGACGACTGGCCCGCCGAGGCCGGCGAGGAGAACGGGGCCGACAAAAGTGCGAGGCACGGCGCCGGGGAAGTCGAAGTGGTCATAAGTGGCGCGCAGGCGGGCAGCAACGTCGTGGGTGGGTGTGCCGTAAACGAGGACGTCGTGGGCGGCCTGGATGTTGAAGGATTCCTCAACTTTCGTGTCCGGGGCGAGGAGGAGATGGAGTGTTATGAGGGCGGGGATGAGGCCCAGGAGGGCGGCGTCTGGGTCTTGTTAGTTTTTGGGGGGTGGTTCTGAACAATTGGGTGAGAGGGCGTATGGTGAGATCTTTACCTAAGAGCTTCATGGCGAATGCGCGAGTGAAGGCGTCGAGGAGAGGGTCAATGGTGTGTTGCAAAGAGAGGAGTCACGGGTATTTAATCTCATTGCTGAGCAAGGAATGGAAATGCGAACCGAAGAGAAGCAATGGGCAGACCTCGAGACTGTGAAACAGATTTGCCCTGTGCTTTCTCACCTCATGACTTGAGATCGGGTATCTTGTTCACGATTTTCCTCTTTCATTCAGAGCAGGTGTAAGCTGGCGTCTCGTGCCTGCCAATGCCATTGAGAAAGTGAGCTCTGAGCATCCGTGCACGGCCCTAGCTCACTGCCATGCTACCCAGCGAGCTAGTGGACACAGTGACAGACAGCTCAGCTCCCCCCCCCCCGTCCGGACCTGACTGACTGCACTCGGTGCCTCAGTGCAAGGATCCTCGGAACGGATCAACGTACCCCTCCAAAGCTCTGGACAGCACAGCGCAACCGTCCAACCCGTTACTATCACCACCTGGCTCCAAATCCGCAGCGCTTCATTTCGATAATCACCAGCCCAGCGGAAGTCGACCCCACGACTCGACCCAACTCAACAAGCGAAATACCAGCTCTCCCATAGTGCGCGGCCGGCTCATGCCAACCAAACCGTCGAGATGTACATCCTAGGAAACTTTCTCTACAGTCCGGTCCCCTTCCTCGCCCATCTCTAAAGCTTCCACGGCGCTAACACCTCCCTTCCAGTCGCCGTCCTCCTCATCAACGCCATTGCCGTCCTCTCCGAAGACCGCTTCCTCGCGCGCAGTATGGATCTCCCCTCCCTCTCCCTCGCTCTCTCATGCAACCCTTAACCCCTGGATCCACGACCTCGAGGCGAATGGCGAAACCGTTGCTAGATGCAGGAACAACCCCACAGCTAACACCGGCGAAACAATCAGTTAACCTCTCCCCCTCCTCCTACGACCCGACTTTCGGCGCAAGTACCGACGCCAGCGTCAAGGCGAAGATCATCAACCTGATTGCCAGCGTACGGACCCTCATGAGAAGTACGTCCCAGGCCCTCACCACCACTCCTACCTCCTGTCCCCGCGCGACCTCCCTACACTGTTATGCCTCTCAACCCCCTTGCTGACAACTTCACAAAGTACCGTTGATCGCGATCAACACCCTCATCATTTTGTACGAACTCATCCTCGGCTAAAGACACAGAAAGAAGACGGGGAAAGATTGACGAGAGCTGCTTCTTTTCTGTTACTTTTTCAAAGAAAAATGCATCATATACATGGCTTGTAGCACGATTCCGCAGCATGGCATCATGGTAACGAACTGGCGTTGAGGGTGGATAGCGGGTGTGGTTTGGGTTCGTCGGCTGGGCACTGGGTGTTCAAATGTACACTTCACTGACAATATGGTCGATTGATTAACGTCACAACCTTGGGCGGGACAATAGGTCAACTATTTCCAACCAAGCCTCGGCTCTCTCGAAAGCGCATCTGCTCTCGATATTCTGTACTATCTGTCATCGGCGACGTCTTGTGCTATCGTACAGCCCGACAAGATACCGGGGGGAAGTAACGCTCAAGATGCCATCATCACACATGTCCTTCTTTGCCATCATTAAGTGAAACTATTATCCAAGCAAACCGCACCATGCTCGGGTATCTGCTTGCGCCAAGAGTCGTCCCCGCATCCCCTCCCACAAAGTTCTTCATGTACCCGATGATGGCGACTCATGCCAGTGTTGGCCATGTACTGCGTCCATCATGCAGAACTCCCTCTCGACTCCCCCCCCCTTTTTTTTTAATGTATGTACTGTAATATACCAAAATGAAACCCTCAGATAAATCATGACGACGTTGATTGTCGTTTTATGAGAGCAAGTTGCCGCTCTTCTTCCTGCCGAGGTTGAAGCTGAATCGTTCCTTTAGCTCCTTGGGTTTGTCTGGCTGACTTGCTGATCCTTCGGAGCCGTTGTGACCATTCTCCGATGGTTGATGCGATTCGCCCTTGTCCTTGTCTTTGCTCAGGAATCCAAAACTCTTCCTGCTCATCGATTTACTCGCCCGGCTGGACCGATTGAGAAATCCGCCTGAACTTGGCGAGTCCTTCTTCTTCGTATCGTCCTGTGCTGATTTCTTGCTGGCTTCGATTGCTTTGCGCAACTCTTCTTGTTCTCGTTGATAGGCATCCCTCCTCCTGGCCATGTTCTCTCTTTGCTGCTTCTCCTCCTGTTTCGCCTTGTCTTTTTCGGCTTGCTTCCGCGCTTTCTCGGCGGCTTCCTGCTCCTTCTTCTCGCGCTTCTTGTCGTCTTTTGACTTGTCCATCTTCGCCGCCGTGTTGGACCTAGCGATGCTAGCGGGAATCGTAGGAACCGAGGGAGTGGCGGGCGTCTCAGGCGCCGGAGGCAGCTTCTCTGGCGGCGGTGCGTCCACTTTGCCTGGGGCGCTTTGTGCATGCGCGAGACTGGGGAGCGGCTCCCGTTCCTCGATAGGACTGACGGGCTGCGTGAATTGTTTCGAAAGAGGGGTTGTACCATTTGTGCCGTTTGGCTGCCCGTTCTCATGAGCAACGTTGGCGGCTTCACTGGCGATCTTAACTTCCTCAAGCCCTTCGGCCTCCATCTCGGCCTGCACCTTTTCGAAAGTGGTTTCTTGGTAAAACAAAACGTAGGCGCAAGCCATGCCGGGCTTATCGCCAAAGAAGTTTCGAACAAAGTGCTTGTCAACCGGCTCCACCATCTCATCGTCAAAAAGAACCCAGCCCCGGTCCTTTGTTTTGATTACCGAGACGTAATGGCCGTGGTAAGCGTTTCCGCCAATGTGAACGACGACAGCGTACAACTCATACAGGCGGTCCGGATCTTCTGCGTCATCGGTGGTGTTGAACATGCGGAGGTGGTATGGATACACGACCCTGTGGAAGAGCTTCTGCAGTCGACTGTAATCCTCGGTGTACTTGAACCGCTTCAGGTGCAGTGCGAGAACCTTCGGTAACCGCTTAATTTTCATTCGCTTTTCAGCCTCCTGAAGTCCACCGCAATGGTCGCAATGGAACTTGTTACGCTCGCACAACATCTCTTCGGCTGAAAACTTACGCAGACACGATGTTACTGACGAATGTTCCTCCAGGTCGATGGACAAGTCTAGAAATGTCTCGTCTCTTTGTGACGCTGTTTCGCAAGTGAGGCACTTCGTTTCTGACGTCAAAACGCCCTCGAAGATGTCGTGGACCCAGCCGGTTCCTGGTGAACCCATCCCATTTGTTGGTCTGTTCATGATGTTCGCTGCCCCAAGAGCATTCTCGACGGATTGGATTAGCCCATCTTTATTCTCGGCCTCCCGCTCCTGGATTCGTTTGGCGTTTGCCTCAACGTTGGAGATAACGTCGTTGAGGACGAGACCGTAAAACTCGTGGGCATCCTGATGCATCGAGTTTCGGAACATCTCGTTGTCGCGCTTGAAGATTTCTAGGAACCGTTGAGGACTCAGCACGCCCGTTCTGGTGTTGCTCTCGATGAGGGCCTGGAAAATATCCTTGAGTCCTGTGAACGTGCACTCTTCCATGCCGTACGCCGACGGGTTCTCTTGTGCCAACTCCAAGATTGGGCCCTTGATCATGGCCTGTTTTTTCTTGTATTCTGGTGAATCAGGCTTGTCTTCGGGCCGTAGCACTGGCGCGCCAGGAGGTACCATTCCCGCGGTTATAGCCTGTCTGCGCTTCATCGACTCCGAGGCACTGAGGCCCTTCTGTTTCGCGCCGGGCGTGTTCGGGGGCTCTTTTACAACGGGCGGTCGGATCGTCACGTTCACCTTCGGTCGAGTTCCGTTCGGAGTATCGGTAGGTGAGAGTAGCGGGTACTTGATAACATGGTCACGGAACGATTCCGAGTAAAACAGTGCCTGAACGATCGAGTTGCAGTAGCTGCAGGCAGTCAGTAAGCAAAGCTGATGACAACAGCGAAACAGCATACCAGGTATTTCCAAACTACACGGTCGATTAGCATTGGTTGTCTCGGGAAAGCGGGTGCTAAGCCGTGTGTGGCTTCAAAGACTTACATTTTCAAGGCCGAAGAACTTATCAGTGCCATCTTCCCTCAATGGGCCGGCGTTCTGCAGCATCTTTTCCAAGGGAGTAAGCTCTGGCGCAGGCTCCTCCTTGACCTTCTTGCTCGGCGCATCTTTGCTCGTGGGCTCGAGGTGGTCTGGACAGGGTGGTCTCTGTCAGTAACGGCATCGCGGAGAGAGCAGCAGGGTCGAGGCGAGGAGCAGTATCAGACGTAGCGATCAGGGGGCGGGTTGGGGATTGACGAGGGAAGAGACGTACGTTTCCCGCACTCTTGAGTTTGTTGAAGAAGCCTGCCATGTTGGCGACTTTTCTCAGGCGGTTGGTGATGGGGCCGGGATCGAGTCTCGTCGGATGGTATCTGCGCGAGACAAGCTCACGGCGGCCGGGCAGAGACAGCAAACACTACCATGCGATGGGCAATTGGACTCGTGATGGATGATATAATATCGGACGGGGTGCGGGGAGAGGTGATATCGTGTGTCGCAGCGAGGTCGGGCGATGTGCGCGATTGTGGCGCAGAGTAGGGGTCGTTTCCTCGGGGAATTCGGCCGAAGTCGCGGGTGGTCTGTGGATGGACGATGGAGAGGACGAGAGATGTCAGGGGAGGTTGGATGCGGGCGGTGGTTGAAGCAGCATTTGCCGGGACGTAGAGATGAGACCAGGCCGTGTTGGCAAGCCGAGAGAAGGAGGAGATGGCAATGTGGGAGGAGGAGGAGAAGGAGGAGGAAGAGGAGGAAGAAAGTAACAAGAGGCGTAGCAGCCGGGCCACCACAGGTCGAGAGTTGAGAGGGATTTGGACTTTGGACTTGGGGTCCTGGGGTTGATGGGCGCAAGTAGCAAGGAGCAGGATGGAGGCGAGCTTGTGGGTTGGAAAGCAAAGACGAGACGGGATTGGACAGATGCAGAACGCGACAGCGACAGACAGACGGACGGACAGACAGCGACGACTACGACAGGTGCAGACGCAGGACGGTCGGCAGGCGACACTACAGGCAGGGCAGCGAGCGACACTGGAAGTAGGTACGAGGAGGTAGGTAGGTCACTTGGGATACTTGGAAATGGCCAGCTGCTAGTGGTGGGGGGGACACCGAGGACGAGGGGGCCCCACCCAGACAGCCCACAAGTCGACGGTGTCAGTGGAGGGAAGGTGGAGGTCGGTGGAAGGAATCGAAGGGTTGCAACGCACAGAAGGGGCCTAGTCCACGGAGCGAGTGCAGGGCTAGACAGGCCAGACATGGGGTTCCCGACCAGGGGGTGGCATGGAGGCTGGAGCGAGTTTGGTTCTTTTTTTCTTTTTTTTTTGCGTCCCTTTTCCTTGGTGCGTTTGGGGACGGGTGAGGAGAAGTGAGGAGGAAGTGACGAAGTCCTCGAGGATGCGAGGACGAAGGACGAGGTGGCAGGGCACGGCATGTCATTTCATGGCCAGACAGCCCGGGAGAGGCTGTCCACGGCTGCCAACGGGTGGTGGCCGTGGACCAGGCAGGCGTCTCCGCTCGCACAGAAATACCGACGCGGAGATAACGGGCGACATGACCGTATCTCTCTCAAGTCTCACCTTCCGTGCCGGGTTGCCCCAAAGTTATGATGGGGTGAGATGTCGGATCGGGTGCGAAGGCGAAGGCAAGAGAGGGGAGCCAGGGCACTGGGTGTACCTGGCAGCAAGCGGTTCCAAGCAACAGCGACCGCGTTGGAGTGGATTAGCCTGGTCTGGTCTGGTCTGGTCTGGCTGGGAGAACTAGGACGAAGGATGACAGGGAATGGGGGGAAAAAGGAACTGACTGCACTAACACAGTCTAGCCGATAGCGACCGCCGCCGGTTGTCGCATCCCGTCCGTCTCATCAGCTTCGAGGTAGTTGTACCAACATGGCCCAGCACCTCAGCCGACTGTTTGGTGTGGCATTCTTGATGTTTGGTTGAACCCGACCCCAGCTGACTAATTTCTCTCTCCAGGAACCGATACCTCACCCTCTTGTCATCTGAGACTGGTCATCGTTCCTTAGCCATGTTATCTCCTCGTGGCCTGGCCGTACCGATGGTCAACCAGACTAAGTGCTCTGCAGGACGCCAGTGCCATGCGTCATCCGGGCCAGACATACCCATATAGTCAATGTCACAGAAGCCAAGGCGTCCAGAAGCAAGACAAGCTCACCCTCTCGCGCAGCAGCATGCAGAATCACCTTTCCATCCCATGCTCCATGATAGGGCGAGGCGTTCTGCAAAAAAAACTCTACTGTATCCCAGATGGGAGCCATCCCAAATCCTCTCAAGGCTATGGGCACACGTCTTCGTCTGCCAACTCAATATTCGAGGGACGAAATTTTACTCAATGGTCACCTGCGATGGATGTCTCCCCAATGCGGTTTCAATGAGGGGTCCTTGGAGCTTCACCGTTCTACAAACGCTGCTGTTAGCATCACAAGTATTGTGCATGTGGCCCTCGGCTGCCTTTCCTGGTTCCACTTACCCACCCGCCTTGCTGACCAACGTCAAGGCATGGAGCACACAATAGCAGCCTGCCATGCGAGCCACCCTCGTTCGCCTCTCCGCACTTTTACCCACAGAAAGCACCATACCAGAGTGACGAGGTGCAGCAGGTCCCTGTCGATTCGGTCACGGTTCGTCCAGCCAGCCTCCCCTCCAGCTTCCAACCTCCAAGTGCGGAAGCGGAGGTGGAATTGGAAGTGGGAATGAGATAAAGCCCCAACTCAGGTCCGATCCATGGAAATCCGCAACCTTTTGATGTGATGAGGTATGCTTGGAAACAGAAGACGCAGTACATGCGTACCTCGACGGATTTATCGAGTCCAGTGGGGTGAGGTCGAGGTATCCGAACTACGAGACAGGGCAACGCCTCTGCCTCGCCTGGAAACCGTCGTCAGCGACCAAGACCACCCGTACACTAGGTATTATGTAGTTGAGAGGGACACGAGGGAGAGGGCCTTCACCGGCTCGGTTGCCGTTTGCAACTGCCCCGACACGACGGACCGTTGGAACGCTGCCACCCTGCCTTTGCTCTATTGGGGCTGCTTTGTCTTTTTTGTCTCGCCCGACTGTCACCTCGGTTTCAAGCTTGCCCACCACATCCACATCGCTGCTAGTTAGAACCCGACGCCGACCTCCTGGGCCAGGAGACCTGTTTTTGTGATCAGCATCCATCTGCGACCCAAACAACTTTCGCAAACCTATGCTCGATATGCTCTTTTGCTTTGGCTTTGCACGTCAAAGGGCCTCGACCCCTAATCCTCAACAACAGACGACCACCCGTCAGCTTCGTCATGGCGTCCTTCTCCGTCACTCTCTCTTGTCTGAGCGCCCGTGGCGCTCTGCGGCACAACAGCACCCGAAGTACCTCACGCGCTACATGGGGGCCGAAAGTCGCTCGGCTTGTCTACCAGAAATGTCCAAAGCAGACGGTCCCGAAAACAGGCGATTCGGGTGCAGCCACGGCTACGATGTGCTAGCTGTCCTATCCCGGCATGTCTCCGAGGTCGTGTGGTCATGATGAGCGTCTGGAACTCTGCTCAACTAATCATCCAAACGCCCAAGCGCTCGCCATCCAAGGGTAACCGGGTGACGCGTTTCTCAACCGATCGCTGCTAGTCAGTCAGTCAATCGGCACTTCCACTCTCTCCCCGCCATTCCTAGCCGCCCTAGGCCGTCAAAGCCAGCACGACGTCTCGCAGGCATCACAAACACACACACACACTGAACGCTCAATCGGGTGGGTACAGAGGCGGCCTCCACACTCTTCTGTTTCATTCGGTGGGAAAGCCCATCCGACTGCTTCGACATCCACAGTATTTGACACTTATGAACTGCGCAGTACGAATGTCAGCTGCCTAACATCAAGCTCCCATTTCTCCGCGACTCGGGGAGAGAATCGTTCCCATGGATTCGTTGGTGTTGCAGATTCTGGGGTTAGTGACAACCGATGAGACGGACATCGTGCAGGACAAACCACTCTGCGACCTCCTCTTGACACGGTCGACAGCCTTGGCCTGGGCACTGGAACCCCGAAATCCACGTTCCGCCTCGTCTATTTTTCGATGTTGCCCGTTTCCTTTCTCATGGGCATGTCCCACGAACCGTGCGTCTCGCACCAGGGCGGCACTCCTTAACCCAGACGGACATGGTCCCCTTTTCTTGTTAGTTGCGACTCGCCGCAACCTAACCCGCCTTACCTGAAGATGGCAGATTCACTGCGACAGGGATGGTCGACATCCGTCAACAAGCGGCCTGTCAGGTCAGGCCAGGCCACACTCCTACTACCTGCAAACCCTAGACAGGCCTCTCCGCTCCGTTGGATCCCTCAGGGTGGTGCGGTGCGGCCACCCCAAAATATGTTGTTGCATCACGGCTGCTGTGAGAAGACCAACCGCTCGACGCTACTGGTTCGATCCTTTGTCTGGCTGAATATGGCGGCGCTATTGCTACCTTCATCCACGCTGCTGGACCCAAGCCCATTCGCTGGTTCACTTCCCGTCCTTATTCAGTTCGTCTTAAGACATGCCTCCCGCCTTTGCCCTCCGACACGCCGAGTCTCTTCACAAACACAACAGTGGAGAGGCGCTCTGCCGATCTGTTGCTGCTCGCCTCCCCATGTTCCAGCATGTCCCTCCCACCAGGCCTGGGGAACGCTATTTGCAACCCGACCAGCATCTTTGCGGGGGATATCCGCTCGACACCAACAAAGTGACCAGTTCGCTCTACCAATCACCGCTACCCGCATTCGCTTCTTTGCTGCACCTTCGTCGCATCCATGTCCGATCGAAACCACTTCTTCATGGCTCATCCTTAGCGCTCAGAGTCTATGGCAAACCATCATCTCCTCAGTAGCTCCGCTGGCAGACAAGTATCATCCGTGGGAGACCAGTACCGTCGGGTGCCCCGCGTTTCTGTTCGACGAGAGGCCCCAAAGACAAATTCTCCCTCCCGGATCGTCTTCGGGAAACATGGCCCGAGATGGACGTAGGAATCTTCCCGCAAGCCACCCCTCACCTTCGTCAGCTCAGGCTGTTCTCGTTGTGCCTCGCTCGTGGCGCACCTTGGCTTGCTGGATCGCACATCTTGGCCAGGCCAAGCCCGCTAAAACTAGCCTCCCCCATGCAACAACCGACTTGTGGGTGCCACCGCCAAAACGGCGGCACTCCTTTGCCGTACAACTCGCCCACAACCACCTTCTGGTAGGTCAGCGCCCTCCACGCGCCTCCCTTGCCGGCCCGATTCCCACGAACTTCTGGAAGAAGCGGACGTCATGCCCTGCGTTCCTCGGTGCCATCCCCCCCCGCTGTCGCCTAACTGTGTGTGCTATGACGAAATGGTAACATGGCTATGTGTGTTTCTCCGTCTTACAGATGTAACGTCCTTAGGATGACCAAGCGATTTTCAGACAAAAGTCTAAGAACAGGCACCAGGGTTGCGCGGAACTTGACCATTTCCGAAAATTGTATCCTTCGAGGGCAGAAGTATTGGCCGGTTTCCGGCATCAGACCACCGGAGCGCTGTCCGCGCCAGGGTTCGGACGGCTCTGCTGTCGTAAAGTTGAAAGGTGGAGGGATGCCGCTCCGGCGTCGCCGGCGTTCGGAACTGCCCAACGCGCCCTGCGTCCGCACTTGGAGCTAACGTTTTCTAGTGCGACGTTGTTCTGTTCTAAGTCTCGTCAAGCATGGGTGAAGACATACGCGATGTCAACCGTAACCGCGATATCCAAGACTACCTTTTCGGTCTTCTCTATGGCAATTTTGAGACAAACCCAAACCTGAAGCTTAACTTTGCTAGGCACGGCTTGGAATTATACTATGCAGCGAGATGGCTGCAGACGCGGCACAACGTAGTTCGAAGTCATTCAATAAACGGTCATTCGTGAGTAGTTGTCAACATGACATATCTGGTTGATGGGATGAAAATGAGAAAAGACTTTTCTGCGAGATAGCTTATTTCCATTCCAATCTGCGGAATCGAGGGCGACAGATCTCTCAATTAATGTCACTCTTTGCATTCAGGCTTTATATAATACCTCATGGCCGATCATAGTACTCGTCTTGGACCGAAGAGCAAGACAACACGCGGACAGGTTAAGTGCTATGCACTCTCGTCACTCACGCCCCTTGCCTAAATCTCGGACGCTAGCTTCATGGGTATCTCCTCTACTGCCTTCTCTGCTATCCGTATCCGATCAAGGCAGAGACCAGGAACGAAAAGAAGATGGGAAAGCGAGCGAGTGCCTGTACCCGGCCTCATTTTCGGCCGTAATACAAGAAACTACGGTCCCGCTCGCTGTCAGGTCTCCAACGACTAGCACAGCACGTGAACCACCGGCTCTCGACCGCTACATAGCATCAAGTCGATGTATGCGCCGTCATCTAGAACACGGTCGACGCTCCTAGATCCAGGGTGACGGTACGGCCTGGGCCCATCCTCTGAGTACCGTGCATGGACGGGAAGGCCGTTCGGGTCAGCTTAGCACGGCGAGTGGTCTATTATAGCTCCCGCTCCCTCTGCTTCCTTCGTCGTTCATGTTCGTTCCAGTCCCTTGGTGTATCTCTCGGGTTTCCAGGACTCTGGGAGACTCGCCAGGCGATGGTGACGGGCGACGTAGATGGATAGGAGGATCGCTTGCAGACAAGAAAGTCGGGGATGATGAGCTTACGTCTGGGTGTTTTCCCTCACCCAAGTTCTCTTGCAAGTAGAGAAAAGAGAAGGCAACAGCGGCACACATTGTCACTTGGAAGAGTTGTAGACGTTTCGCGGCACTGAGCTAGCCACTTTCAAGGTTCAATAGGCTTCGATTCGTTTGCGATATAGGCGGTTAGTGCAAGTGCTTGTGACTAAAGAGACTCCTTCCAAAGTCGAGAATAGAACAGACACCCTATACTCTACCAGCGATTCTTGACGACCATGACCCCATCTAACTCACCCGTCCCAGTGTTGGTCCACCGAGAGTTCGTGAACCGCGTTCCCTTCCCGCCGGCTCCGTGGCCCTTTTCTCACTCTATTTCTTCTCGGCGGGGGGAGCGGCTCCTCCGGTGGTCGGGAAGCCCATGAAGATCTTGAAGTAATCCTAGTCAAAGATGTCAGTCACCGAGAAGCCCCCCTGAGAAGGTTCCCCAATAGGCATCAACTTACGTAGATCATCCACTGGAGACCGGTCAGGGTACCAATCATGACGATACGGACGGGGAGGCCGTTCCAAAGGCCGCCGAAGCCAATGTCCTTGTAGATGCGTCCCATGGCGGCGCCAAAGGCCTCGCCCTGCTGGCGGTTCGCGTTGAGCTTGCTGACCATGACGTCGGCCGGGTGGGAGACGATGGCGCAGAGGATGCCCGCCAGGTAGCCGCCGACGAAGGAGACGCCCGTCTGCGCGGCCTTGCTGTAGTCGCTCTTCTGCCCGGGGAGGCGGTGGTAGATCATCTCGACAATGGTCTCGAAGGAGGCGAACTTCATCATGGTGTAGGGGATCTGGCGGCCCCAGAGGGGGTACAGCCCCTTGTACAGGCCGGCCACGCCCTCCTTGGCCGTCACCTTGGCGAAGCCGTCGAGCGTGCCCTTGTAGGGGGAGGGGATGCCGCCCTGCATCCGGACCTTGACGGCCTCGAAGGGGCAGAGGGCGATGTCGGCGAGGAACTCGGCCGAGGCCGAGGCCGACAGGAAGAGGATCGTCTTGTACTTTTCGGCGTTCTCGGGGCCCGCGAGAACAGAGTACTGTCTCTTGAAGTACTCATAGCTTCGAACAAGTTAGTCCACCATCCAACGCAACGGGTTTACACACATAGAACGAGTGTTCCTTTGCTCGCATTGCGTGAGCCACTTACAAACCGTATTTGGCGGCGCCCTGCGCCGAGTAACCCCAGAAGGTCGGGCCCCAGCCCGTCATGATGCCACGGAAGCCATCCGCCCTGAAGATCTTGCCCCAGGCCTGGAAGTTGCCCGTGTACAGCTTGCTGTCGACCTGTCTCCTGACCTTGACAAGGTCAAGCGGTGTCACGGCGGTGTGAGTGAGTCCCTGTCACGGGGTTAGCCGACCGTGCTCGATGCAATACCTCTCGGCTTGGCAGGCAACTTACACAGGCCAGGAGACCGCCGACGGTGCAGGCGGCATAGTACTTGCCCGAGTACAGCTCGATCTTGCCGCCGGCGGCGGACTGGGCTTTGGCGCTGGCCTTGTCGAACTCGGCGGCGGCCTCGGCGCTGAGCTGCTTCGCCTTGCCCTTGACGTCGTCGACGGTGGAGAAGGCGCCGTAGAGCTCCGGGCGGGCCTGGTAGCGCGAGGGCTGCTGTTGCTGCCGGCGGCGGAGGGGGGCTCCGGCATCCTCGGCGCTGGACAGGGGCGAGGAGAAGCAGCCCTTGAGGGCGTCGGTCCGCGGGTAGAGGAACGACATGGTCGGGACGCTGCTTCGTCGGGACCGGTTGACGGATTGCGGGGAGATTAAGCTATCTTGGACTAGACGTCAGCTTGACTCTCAAGTATCGACAACGGGCGATTGGCTCCGTGTGATAAGCCTAGGACATATGCTGGGCGCGCAATTGAGTTTCGCGACGATGCCTAGAGTTCGAACACAGGCACGGCACAGAAGCAATGCTCACTTGCGACGACTGGTCAACGAGGGGGTCAGAGACGAGGTTGTCGCTCACCGAGGTGACGAGCTGAGGTTGACTCTAGCTCGAAAGGATGGAGGGCGATGTCACGCGACACGAATGACCGTTTCCGGCGCAGGAATGAGATACCCTTGAGGCTGGACTTATACTTCCCACAGGACGGAAGCAGAGAGGAAAAGGTCACGGAATGAAGAAATGCCAAGGGGGGGGGAAATAGAGGTCGCAGACTTTTGTGTCACACACTGATTGAACGCAAGTAAGAGGTTGGAGTAAATGTCATGAAGCAGGTTTATTATCTCACGCGTGCGATTGGGGGAAACCGTCCCGACCGGTGACTGGTCCGGAAGCTTAGGAAAGAAGGCATGGGGTAGGATGGTCGAAACGGGGTTGTGTTCTGGAGGTCTCTAGTACCTCGTATCCCATCGAGACGTCGTCCGGCCTGCCGTAGTCTCTGGGGCGTGGGCGTGGGAGCTGTTGGAGCTGCACGGAAGTGCTTGGGATGCAAGAGTGACATCACAAGGAGCACGGGGTCGAGACGGGAAGCTGGAGTGGAGACGCAGGCCGATAAGGGGCGGTTCGAAGGATTCCGAGCTGTTATCGCGGATGACGGCTAATAACGAATGCGGCCCGGGGTTTACGGCCAACAAGAACAGCCCGAGGGGTCGGTTGGTAAACGTTGACATGCTTTGCAGTATTGCGATGAGAATCAAGCCTCAAACATTACAACGCATCCACTGGCACCGTTGAAACGACCACCTACATGTCGCGCTTCATCCCTAAATCGTCCCATAATGCGGCGCTCCCTCCAAAATCGAATCGTGTAGAGAGCTCTGCCATCGCACCAACAGTGATCTTTAGCAGCCGCACTCCGCCGTGGAAGTCCCCACCCTCGGTGAGGCGCCAGCTCGGCACAGCTCAGCGAAACCTTAACGCTCAAGGTGAGATCTAGGGTGTGAACCTGGCTGGATGACGAACTAGGCGGTGGGCGAATGGGGCCCGTGCACCCCACCCGGCGACATCAAATTCGTACTTGGCCGCCCCGCGGCGCCGTCTGTGAGCAAACCACCCCAAGACACAAAGGTCCTTCCCGTCCCGCCAAACCTTTTCGGCCCTGTCGACATCGCCCCTCCACGAAGACCCCGCGATACACACGAGAGCCAGGCCACGACCTGCGACAAAAGTCCCAGCCTTGCACCGAGCCCGAGACACATTCAGGACACCAACAATGGCAGCCCTGGCGTCCAACCCCGCCCCCGCCGCCGCCGCCGCGTCCACGTCGCAGCCCAGCGCCGCTTCCACCACCCCTTACGTCTCGAAATGGTCCTCCCGCTACCGCGGCGTACGTCCTCCTTCCCCCAAATCCTCACCATGCTCCCCCGTCTCGACGCCCCCAAAGAACCTGCCTGACTGACATTGCAACCCTTCCCCCTTTCCAGGCCACCGTCGAAGACCTCGACCCCCCGCCGCCCTCTCCCTGACCCCGACCGACCCCATCTCCCACGCCCTCATGTCGGCCTTTGAGCGCGACTACACCCACCTGACCGTCGTCGACGCCCACCGCGCACTCGTCGGCTACCTCTCCATCCCGCACCTCCAGGCCCTGCTCGACGCCGGCAAGGTCTCGCCCTCGGACCCGCTCTCCAAGGCCATGGTCCGGTTCCAGCGCAAGGGGCGCAAGTACCGCGTCATCACGATGCAGACCCCGCTCGAGGAGCTCGAGGCCTTCTTCGAGGGCGACGGCGTCGAGGGCCGGAAGAGCCACTTCGCCGTCATCACGGACGAGAAGAGGCGCTTCGTGCTGGGCGTCGCGACGGTGCAGGACCTGGAGGAGTTTGTCAAGAGGAGGCCGGCATGAAAGTAAAAGAGTCTCCAAGGGAACGAGTGACGAAGGGAATCCGAGGTTTAGGTGAGAGATAAAAGGGGTCGTTTGATATCCAACAGTCGTATCGGAACGAGCCTCACACAGGCTACGACAAAAGACGGTAGATGGCCGGCTGCATCAACTCGGGCGTTGGCGGTTCGCGTGAATTGGGAGGGAGAACTTTGGGACCACGGCTGGAAGGCAGGCGGACGATTCAACATTGCTCCGCCGTCGCACACGACTGCACATAAATCATCGCACATGGGTAATAGGCGTTTTGAGACGGGTTCAATTGCTATTCATGCTCTCAAAAGTCTACTCTTAGTAGGAGACGTCGCGATCCTGAGCGCGACTGCATCATTATCATCGTTTGTGTGTGTGTATGTGCGTGCAAAAGCAACTGCTCTCGTCGTGCGTGTGTGTAGCAGAATTTATCCGCCATCCACACGTGAAAAAGACGACCATCCCGCCCTAAGCCATTCCATCCAATGCATCTAAGGAAGCCAGTCGTAGACGAGACGGATCTCGACTCTCTTGCCGCCCTTCTGGACAAGGACGTTGCGGGCGTAGCGTCTCTCGCCCTCGATGGTCTGGAAGCCCCAGATCTGGGTGGCGGTCCAGCCGTTGTCGATGCTCTCGACGTGGCTGTAGACGTGGCTCTTGCCGTCGGGGCCCGTCGCCTCGGCCTCACCCTCAAGCCAGCCCTTCTTGAGGAACTCGTCCTCGATCTCCTCGGCGCTCATCCACTTGCTCTGGCCGCGGACGGTGCCGAACATCCAGTCCGAGTGCTCGCGGAACTCGAAGTCGAGGCAGCGCTTCTCCGAAGTGCCCTTGAGGCCGGCCGTGGCGTACTGGTCAATGTCGATGTGGGTGACGGGCTCGGTGCTCTCGTTGGGAGGCGAGGGCGGGGCGGTGTACTGCTTGACGTCGAGGGTGACGGTGGCGAGGCCGACGGCCTTGCGCGTCATCCAGCCAATGCCTTGGAGGGCGAGGGCCGGCTCGGGGGAGTCGGAGAGGGTCTTGTTCTGCAGGGGATTGTCAACACTTTGTTGTCGTTGGCCGTACGGGAACGAATTCCTTGGGGAACAGCAGTCGAACGTACCATGACCCACTTGCCGGAGATGTCGGCGACCGTCTTTGTTGCGGGGGCGGCCATTTTGTCGCGATGTGTGAATGCGTACGATTTTTGGTCGGGAAGGGGGGATAAGTGGTAGCTCGATAGCTGTTTTGCTGCGGTGAAGTTAGTTGTTTGGTAAAGGTGGAAGCTTCACTTGGGTTGGTTCGAAGGTCCCTGTGGGCGGGTGGTGGTGGAATATTTAAACTCAGATCGGCCCAGGGCAGGGGAGGTGGATAGATATAGGCCCGCAAAGGTGAACAATACAGGCGAAAAGGTGAGGCAGCAAGCCAAGCGGTTACTCAAGGCAGGTACGAGGTCAATTTCAGGCGGGCACTTCTTTTCCCGTCTTCGTTTTGTTCGAGTGACGGAGGGTCAAGTAGAGAGAGTGAACAGGAGGCGAGAGGCTGGGCTGAGCAACAGGTGACGTGGGTTGAAGACCTCGGGACAGAAACGCCAACCCCGCCGGGATCTTATACGCCGCAACGCCCGGTATCAGTTTCCAGTCAAAATCAGGTACGGACTCAGGAAGGGCGGCCTTGTGGTCGCCTCCAGTTCAGGTACGGGTTACGACTGGGGAAGCGCCTGTTGGCAAGCGGGGCGGGGAAGCCGCACCCCCGACCCCTCCACACTGCTTGCTACTCCTTCACATGAATGGGAGCTCTGTGGTTTGCCATCGCTCAGCTAGCTTGACTGAATAAGAGCACCAATTCATCAGGATGCTGCTAGGTTTGGCCGAGGCTCGGGACGCCATCCACCATCCCAAATCCCTGGGCGTTTGTCTAGGATTGCGCGTGGCATCATGGTCAGTCGCCTGTTACCACCCACACCATCTTCCCCCAGACTTAGGTATACCACTCCTGTCAGCATTCTGTTCTTCCTCCTAGCAGCCAGCCAACCATCCACCGTCCTCGTCCTCCAGAATCGGCTTCTCCAGCCAAAACGCGGGTAGATCTGCGCAAAACTAATGACCAATAAAGTCATCCTACCAGTCCTACTTGCCATTCCCCAATCCCAATCCGGCCATCGAGCCCGGCCCAAGTTGCGTCCATATGGCGGGGGCCAACGATAACCCTCCACGACGGCCGAAGACGACGCCTGGCTCTGCCGTTCCGCCAACAAGCCTGGATGTCCACTTCCTAATCAAGCAGTCGAGGTGAGAAACCTTGAGAGAACGGACCACGGACCAGGACCAACGAAATGCAGGTTCCGAGGCTGAATCGGCCGTGCGTTAAACGGGGGTTTCCCCTTCTTCTTTCTGTCGTCTGGTGAAGGACACTGACTACTGCTCCCTGACTGACTGACTGCCTCGCCTCGTAGATCAATGCATGCACAACGGACAGGTCACTCTGCTCCTGTCTCTATGCGCTTAGATGATGGTAGATGCGGGCACGGCACGCGCAGCCTCCCAAGTCCTCATGTGCCCAGTGACGGGAATAAAAAAGCAGGCCGCCTCGGTCCTCGTTTCTATCCCGTCTTTGATGTCGTCCCTGTCGCTAGAGTGGGAAATGCTACCCACAGCATCGGCAGAGTTTCCAAACCCAATCGATCGCCTCTCAGCTTGTGGTCCAGACATGCGCATACCCGGACGTGATATACCGTTACACCAGACGGACCAGAGCGAGCTACATACTTCTTCCAGCCAGATGGTCTCGTTCGTGCCCCTCCACCTCCCCCATACCTCCCCCATAAGACACCCTCAGCAGATAGCTTTGCCCACGCTACCCAACACCGTAAACGCATCATCACTCCCGCCGTCCGACGACGCTGAGCTACTAGTATAGCCCGTCCACCCGGCCTCGCATCGCACGGCAGCACCAAACCCCCATCACCGGCCCTCCGCCTCAGACGGTTCCACGGCAGGCATTGACAGCTCGCACAGGATTCTAGACCCGCCAGCCAGCCTCGGTCGAGCCCCGACCCCAGCGCTAACGAGCATTGTGTGTCTCATACGTGTGCGCCTGCCTACCCATTTGAGAAAACAATGAGACAACCTCGCCAAAAAAAGACTGTTGGCTTTTGGGGGGGGGGGGGGCTTTTCTACTTATTTTGGGGTGGCGAAGCGCAATCATGAGCGGCGGATTCGAGGATTGGTCGTGGCAGTCCACAATGCGACGAGCCATCTCGCGCAGCTCGCTCGCGCGCCTGGCCTACCGGCTCTTGCACCCGAGGAAAGCCGAGGGAACGAGCTTAGAGAAACCAGAGGGAGCTTCCTCGCTGCAGCGGGGCCAAGCTCCGACGAAGGCACGCTGTAGAAGGAGGAAAATCCCAGCTCGAGGCTAGCCAAGGAGCAGCTGTTGGCGACGCTCCCGCAGCAAAAAAACCACACGTGAGCCCCCCGACCAGTGTTTCATGACGATGCTGGCAGGCAATCCCCTGCGCTGTGCCCCTTACACAAGGTATAGCTCCAGCACTGCGATTCAACACCTTTGGAAACTCTATCTCATCGCACGAGGTTGCACCGGCTTGCCTAATTTCGTCGTGGATTACTACCATCGAAATAATGCCAATATACATGGCCGGAGCTACGAAAAGGAATAAAAGGAAAAGGATATCTTGGTTGTACAAAAGCCCCGGCTCCCCTGCCATCGGTTCCGAACGCTTCTCGCACGCACACACACACGCAGTGTAGTTCCCAACAAACGTCTCCCCGACTGACACCACGAACGCTCCCACGCCCGCGCCGGCCCCTTGTACTTGGAACCCGGCCCGCAAAGTCATCACCCACCCGCACGCTTTTATGCTCCTGGTCCGTCCCGTCACGGCCACCAATTCATCGTCTTGTAGCTCTCAATCACCTCCTCAATCAGCTCCTTGGTCAGTTTCGGCTTTTCGTACTGGAAGCCGACGACCTGCTCCAGCCGGTTGCCGTCCATGCTCAGGTCGGTATCCTTCAACAGCTCCTTCTCCATAAACGGCGTCAGAGGTCCCGGCCGCGCAATGCCAGCCTTTTCGAGCAGCTCGGCCCAAGGGCCCATGAGCTCGTCGTTGACGTCGTCGACGACGCTGTCCATGTTGAGGCGCGCAAACGTGCTGATGAGTTGACCCTGGAATCCCGTCTCGATCTTGAAGACCTCGCCGATGATCTCGGCCATTGTGCCCTGCGTTGTCACGCCCTTGTCGACAACGTTGAACGTGGGCACATTGCCCATGGCCTTGGCGTCCCATTTGTCCTTGCCGTTGTCATACCACGTCGTGATCGCCCAGAGGGCTCGCACAGCATCTTGGATGTGTACCGTGTTTTGCCGAAGGCCCTTGTCCCACAGCCACTTCATTTCGCTCTCAAGGTATTGGTAGACACGGGCCATGCATAGTGCCGTCGCGACCCATTGTGACGCATAGGGCCCGTATACGTGTGCTAACCGAACAATGACGAGGTTTAACCTGGAAGTCGGGCGCTTGTCAGCATCGAGAAAACGCAACGGGCAATCATGAACAAAGTCCCGTCAGCCCTTGGCAGAGAGCGCCTGGTGTGATACTGACCCCTCAATCTTTGCGAGCTCCTCCTCGGCCTGCAACTTGTAGACGGCAATCTTGCTCCAGGGCTTCAACTTGTCGCCCTCCTTGCTCGGGGAGGAGTCCGACTTGTAGACCATGCCGGTGCTGAGCTCGATAAAGGCCTTGACCTTGCGCTTGGCGGCCTCCTTGCCCACGGCAAGCGACAGGCCGAGAGAGCGCAACTTGTAGACCTCGTCCTCCTGCGAATATCTCGTCTCGCCGCCGCAATTGAAGACGTAGTCCCACTGCTTGCCATCGGGACGGTCGAATATCTTGGCTAAGGCTTCTGCACGAAGGCGAAGAAAAAAGCAAAAAATGTCAGCCAAGAGCGGGAATCACTGTGCATTATCTGGGATGGCGGCGGGCTGCTTCGCGTTCCCCTCGGGTGAAGCCAGAGGAGAAAGCGAGAATCACTTAAAAAATAAAAATAAGAAAGAGGAACGGGAAGGGAAAGGGGGATATTGTCGCGCCGTCATCGTCCTTCGTTCAGGTGACTTACGTTCTCTGCTTGCATCAGCCTGCATGAACTTGGTGCCGGCGCAGGCGTCCTGGAACTCAGGAGCCAGCCATGCGAGTTGGGGCAGGGCCTTGTCGACGACGCGGACCTCTGATGCGAGGTCGTTGTCGTGGATGTAGCGGGCCAGGAACCGACCAATGTAGCCCAGCCCTCCGATGATGAGGACTGAGGGTTTCTCGGCCATGGTGAGGTCAAGGGGTGCGGTTCGTGGGCAGAGTTATTCGGAAGGCTGTTTGTGCGTTGTGCGCGATGTTGTGTCGTCGGGGAGAGGAAAGGATGTGGCAAGCACAGGTTGATGGGTTTGGGCAGAGGGGTTCGAGGTGGTGGTGGTGGTGGTGGTGGTGGTGGACTGGGCACTGAGCGGCAAGGTAGGAGCTGACGGGCAGCAACGGCAGCGAGGGTTGGTGGCTGTCGGCGGGGTTGACGTCGGGCTGGACCAGGTTCGAGTTAGGGGGTTGATGTGCCCTTGCCCCTGGGATGGAAAAGTAGCAGTACCAGGGATTGAGCGAGTTTAGTGTAAACCACGGTGCAGCGGGATGGATGCGGCCGAAGCTCGGCAGGGTAGGGGAGGGGAGGGTAGGGGAGGGGAGGGGAGGTACAAGGAATTCGACCCGGGACGGATGGGTTGGGTAGGTAGTGTAGACGGCGTCCAAGCAGAGAGGGCAGACAGAAGACGTTGCGCTGCTACTGTTTAAGCCACGAGGAGTATGTCAGTCTGCTCAAGGTCGGGTGACAGAGCAGAGGCGGGAACCAAGACTGGAAGCAAACAGAAGAGGCGACGGGACGATGAAGTAGAAGAGCATGGATGAGATGGAAATGAAATGAAATAAAACAAAAAAGGGGATTGGAAGCTTGGTGGTGTGGGTGTATGGATGGATGGACGTATGTATGTATGTAGGTATGTATGTGCGTTTGTGTGTTTGTGCGCGCGTCTTGTTCTAGTGCAGAGGTGCGGGCTGGTTGGTCACGTCTGATGAAGTTAGGAACCACGCAAGTCAAGGTAACGTGCCCAGGCAAAAGAAAATAAAAAATGGAATCCGAACTTGAGACGACAGATGGCCCTTACCCCTTTTCCCAGTGTTTCCCGCGCAGGTGTCGGCAAAACAGGAGGGTATAACAAAATGCTAGCGGAAACGGCAGCATAAAAAAAAAGGACGAAACACAGCGGCCCTGCGTCAGCACAGGCTCCTCCAATACGATGGCGCTGTCATTCAGAAACGGGGTCCAAAATGGAGATTGGGGCGGGCCGTGGGATGAACGGGTAGCGGGACGAGGAGGGTCGAAGGAGGGAGAGAGAGGAGACGGAGACGGAGAACCTGAAATAATATCGCTCCGTCACTCCTGAACGGGTTACAGATGCTGAGCCGTGCAATCGATACTGCTGGACGCCGGCGGAGGGTTGTGGAGCTTTATGCAGCTTCAAACTTCGACGATACTTTTCACCACGACCCTCGACCCAACCCTGCCTGCCCACCCACCCTACCATACCTACTTACCTACCGAACCTACTTACCTACCATACCTACTTACCTGCGCAGTATACTACATACATACATACATACATAATGCATTGCTACTTAGGCAAGCTGCGCAAGCTCGTCACTCGCACCTCCTCCTTGCTCCAGCTTTCAAGTCCATGTGCCGTTCCTAACCTTGTTATACCTCTTCACAGGTTGCGCAATTCGACATCCCGTACCTCGCTTCATTGCTGCTAGTCGGTAGCTTGTGCCTGCTTAGGTAGTTTCGGACCAGCTCATGCTGGATACTGGCGCCCTCCCGCCGTCAAGTTACGAGCAATTTGGCCCCCCCCCCCCCCCCTTCTCCTCCGTCCTCAGTCCTCTCCATCTGAGTCACTCCGTCGAGGCGCTATTCTCTTTTCTCTCCTTGACCGTCCTTTGCAAAGACCCTGAACCCTGGCACACGGTGTCGGCCATGGGCAGGGCACTCTCCAACCAACAGAGACATGTCCGGCGGTTACGGTGCTTTTCTATTGAAAGCCACGCCAAACGATTGCTGTGAATGGCCAATCTCCACGACATCGGATCCAAGGGACGGGAACTGAACCATGGAAACGCAATGCATTGCAATCCAATATTGCACGTGATGCACAGCTGTATTTACCGTGCTGGTACCGCACTTTCGACGGTGGCCCGTATGCCTCACGCCCTCCTTCCTTCACAGCGAGCGAGCACGCCGGCCATATCCTAAGAAGGAGGGCTCAGCCTGCGACTGGAGAGAAAAGCCAACGATTGGATTGGACACCAAAAACCCGTCGTGGCTCCTGTTCATCAATTTTCAGGGCTCGTGCTCCCTCAAAAACCCCCACATCGCTGCTGCAGCAAGTCGCCCCCCCCCCCCCCCCCCCCGGTCCGCTCCATGCCCGTGGCGTCCACCAACTTCTTAGCACCCGACGATTCCTTTGGCGGCCAGCACCCTCAAATGACCAAGGGAGGGGGGTCAGCCATTTCGATCGACGAGCACTCGTCGTACCGCGCTTTTTTTTTTCCAAGTCCGAGGAGAAGATATGCGCTCAAGGCGCCCAAAGCGCCGAACCATGGATCGCGTTCCTGGTCGTCACTGTTGCCCTTGTCCCTGCTTTCCTGCCGTCCGTTGGTTTGGCCTTATCGAATGTCCCAAGACGCGACGAGAGAAACAATCAATATCAGAGACATGAATGCAACTCTTTCAAGGAAGCCATGCAAGGCACGCGCCCAAGAGGTGCCCTCGCACTGCTCTTCCTTGCTCTATCTGCCGGCTTCGTCCAATAATGTCTCTTGACAGCCCCGGATTCTATGCCGTTCCGATCGATTCAGGTCTCTCTCAACACATACCTGATATCGTCCCCCCCCCGTCATGTGCCACCAAGATCTTCGCCCAAAAGCAGGGAACTACCCATGCGCGATGGCGACTCCTCGGTCGCCCTGCCGCCGCTCCCGGTCTCCTTTGCTCTCCAACCCTCTCTCTCCGGCCGGCACCTCCGTCTAAGTGTGTGACCCGGTCCGAGCCAGGGAGACGACTGCCTTTGGCTCTAGGCAGTGGTACTACAAATCTTGTTCCACCGACGACCTCGATTTCGGGTTACGCCCCCGTCCTATCAAAATCCGGATCACGAAGTGAACGTTGCAGGAAACTAAACAACAGAGAGAGGAAGACCGCCAGCCGCCGTTGGTCGGTGCTCGTCCCAAGCCTTCGGCTAGCGTCAGCGGCACGAAATGGCCATCCCATGGATCCCGCCCCGTTCCCGCTCAGGGGCCTTCCATGATGCGGTTCGCAGATGGGCGCTTCTGGTCTGGGCCATGCGCCGTGCTCCAGCCTTGGAAGGGCCGGCCATGCACGCGCCGGCGCGCTACATGGCAGGCTTTGGGCTTCGGGCTCAGCTTCGGCCATTTGACTTTTTGCACCTCCCTGCATCCTGCATGCGGGGTCCCAGGGGAGGATCTGCTCCATGTTCTAGAAGTCTTCTGGGATCTGTTCTTCAACAAAACTTTTATGCTTTCTTTTGCAGAAGTCGACGGCGCGTGCGGCTCACCTGGGTCAGCTGCTATCTCTGGGTTCTCTACGGATTCCCAAGGCCTGAGGACCAGCGCAGAGACAAATGTGGCTCTTGTGCTTCTTCACAGATATACATCCACCAAGAAACTTCCAACAACGCCAGCACCAGCACCAGCGCCAACACTTTGGAGCTAAGGCCTCTGCGGCGCAAAGCTGGGTTCAGTTATTCATGATGCAAAACCCGATGTCATCAAAAAAGGCCACGCCCCACAGCTGCAAGTCGTTTCTTTCTTGCTTATCAAATAAACATTCACCTCCAACAACTTTACTTCAGGCTTCGAAAAGAAACCGAACCCCGCCTTCTTTCCTGTAGACGGCTACCACATCACCGGGGTGCCCGCCTGGACTTGGGCGAATAGGTTGGGCAGCATTTGTCCGTCCGTTGCAACACAAATCCTTTCTGTCATCAGACAAATCCACCCCTGCCCCTTTAAAGCCTATTTCTACGGGCACAGCTTTCTCTGTAGCCCTTGTTAGGTTGGTTGGGTTGCATAATCTTGAGACTGACTTGAGGCGGAACAACGGCTTCAGCAAATCCAATCTCTTGGGGTTAGCCATCCGGATTCTTCTAGGTTTTTGGGGTCCGATCACATACATCTTGCCGTTGCCTTCGAACGTGGTAAAACTCGGCCTTCAATCCCGAGACTGGCACTTTAGGTTATCGAGCTTAGACTGATGACTTCTAGGATGACGTGTCCTAATTAGAACCGAAAACGAGTTTAGATATGAAGCAAGAGTCGGGAGGTCTGCTCAAGTTCGGACGTTCCGGTCAGCAATCCAACCATACGCGACTCCTAATCGGCCCTTAAGGGCATGGTTCTCAGCTTGGGCAGCACTCGAGGGTCTTCCGTCTGCAGATGCGGCCGCCTATGGATATCTCAATGCGAGTCCAACGGGCGTGTCTTGTATCACATCAGACTCTCGAAAGATAGAGAGGCGCAGCGTTCTCGCCATGCGGTCTTGAAGCAGCCTTACAAGGGCCGTAAATGCAAGCTGAGCACTGACTCTAAAAAAGACTTCGTTCACAGTAAGTAGTACCAGCAATCAGGGTCTCGAGGCCACACGCCCCCACCCGGTCCGCCGCAGTTTACTCCCGACAAAATGGCGCCCCCGGGGAAGTCAGCCGTCAGTGAAGGTAGCTTAATTGAGCTGAACCGTGATTGCCGCGGTTCACGACTCCTTCGTAAAGCCAGACGCAACACCTTGACAACAGCCCAAGGTCGTGTCCAGTTGACCACATTGACCCTCTTGCCGATGAGCCGGGGGAGGTTCGAAACTCGACAGCTTTTTCCCCCCAGCGATGATAGCTACCCTGCTCTTTAACTGTCTCCTCCGTCTTGGGTGTGCACTCGCCCCACTCCCGCTCACAATAAGACTGTAAGATAAGCTGCAGCTGAATGAGGGACTGAGCTCCTGCCTGTTCATATCAGGGAAGGCGGGAGGATGAACCGCCAGAGGATCCGTGTACATGCCGGCCACGCAGCGGGCATACGTCGGCCCCGCGAAGGGAGAGGGAAGTATGGCAGAATGCGACTCGTGGTCAGAGTGCCGACATTTGGGCAAGATGGAAAGACCAGGAGTTGCGAGATTGGTCTACGGCTGGGGGTTCGGGTAGGCGTAGTGCTGGCGTCCATGGATGTGCTCGTCTCAACAAGGTCGGCCAGACGAACTAAACCGTCGACCGAACACCGAAAGCACCAACATGTTCAAACCCGCGGACGCGTAGCATCATGAAAGGTCTCAGCCAAGGTTCAGTTTCAAAAAATTTTAATAAAAAAAAAAGGTCGCACAAAATGTATTCCAGCCACCTTGCCTGCTCTTCTCCGCTCAGGAGAGAATGACTACCCTGCTGCCGGAGCAGAATACAAGCCTGCCATGGATCTAGGGTTCCGGGAAGGAAATCCCATCATCTACGTGGTACTGCCCCATCCGTCTCAGTCACCCCGATGCGAACCGACGCACAAGACGAGATCCGATCTCGAGAGACAAGGGGAGAGAGGGGCTTGAAACCCCCGTATAACCACGATCTCGACAACTCACGGCACCTCTCCGTACCACCGCTCACCCCCCCCCCCCCCCTTTTCACGACACACACCAGACCCATGCTCGCAATGAGGATGAAGCTGCCAAGAAGGCCGAGTCCTCCGGACGTCCATCACCTCTGCATGCTCCCGATAATCTCCCTCTGCGCCGCGCGGTCCTTGGCGCCCTCGCTGAGGCTGCCGATGCTGCGCAGGTCGCCGACGACGTCCTTGGCCTTGCCGAAGTAGACCTCCTGCAGCAGGTTGCGCATCTTGAGCTCCATGTCCTCGACGAGACGGCCGACGTTGGCAATGTGGCTCTCGTCGCCCTCAACGGGCAGCTCCTGCTCGACCTGCCGCGTCATGTTGCCGCTGAGGTCCATGTCGCCCAGGGCGCCCGTCGACGTCGACAGCGAGAGGATTACGGTCGAGGTCAGCTTGTACTGCGTCGTGCGGCCCCGTTCAATGGCCTCGAAGACGTGGATCGAGTCCCAGACGCCCTCGGCGCTGCCTCCGGGTGTCGCGGCTGTGGGGCGCATCGTTAGCTGGGCTTACCCCCCTCGCATTTTCGTAAACTCCCGGAGAGAGACCTACACTTCTTCAAGAGAACGACGCCGGCGAAGCCGTCATCCAGGTTCCAAAAGTACACACTGCTCACACCGCCCTCGTAGTACAGGTCGCGGTAGACGTCAAACGCCTCGTTGGCGCGCACCTCCATCTTGCGGACGCGCTCGCTCGGGATGGCACCCTCGCCGGCTCCCTCGCTGCCGCTCGCCCCGACGCCGCCGGCGCCCGCCTCGTCGAGGGGAGGGTCGAACTGGTTGCTCCAGGGGGAGCGGTAGCTGTCGCCGTCGCGGTTGTAGTCGCAGAGTAGGTAGTCGCGGCCCGTCTGCTTGCAGCGCTTCACCGTCAGGGGCTGGTCGACGGACGAGAGGAGGTCCTCGGTCAGGTCTGGGGCCAGCGATATAATGGCATTGAGGTGGTCGGTCGTGTGTTTCGGGTTGAGGCGGCGGAGGAGATCGCTTGAGAGAGAGACAGGCTTAAGTTAGAGAGGACCTCTCGCATGGTATTAGGGAGCGGTTGGTGAGGGCAATGCTTACAGGGCCGAGTCGAAGGGGTCGACGGAGGCCATGGCGGCGGTGTCTGTACGTGCGGAGGTCCTGAGAGGGTCGTTTGGGGTCTCGTTCGAGGCCGTTGACGATGGATGGTTGCGTTGTAGTTTGTGTTGGGATGGTCTTTGAGGTTGGAGTGTTAGCGGAAGGTGCTGGCGCTGGCGGGGTAGACGGACCTTAGCCCCTGGGAGTACTTCCCCAGGACCCCACAGTCAAGGTGAGCTTCTCGCAGCACCTACCACCCTCCATTTGGAGACGGACGGAGTTATGGAGTGGCACGTCATTTGAGGGAGAAAGAGCTCTCGTAGGCTTCGAATTCAATACTTTTCAGGGCACTTGGCATGAAGGCAGCTTTGATTGAGAAATTCAAGTCAAGTAAATATCGTAGCATTCGCTGATGCAATGTTAAATAGGATAAGGTAAACATTTGACCACAAACCATGTAAGCTCTAGGAAACTGCCCTGCTCGTGAGACTCTGGTCTCCAGACGGCCGCTCCACTGGCCATGTTCCCCTTTTTGTCGTCCCCTTTGGTCGGCTTTCCGTTTCGCTGGATCTATCGAGACCTATTTCCTGTGCCAACATCACCTAATTTCGAGATGAACCGTATTCGCCAACGCCTCGCGAAAGAACTACACTCCGGCCACACCCAAAAACCCCAGTCTCCGATTCTGAAAATGTCTCTCTTCTGTTTCCGCATCGATCTTTCTCACCATCTCGGAAAGCCCGGCCGTCTTTCCTATCCCTCACGCAGCCTCTTGTCAAGACTCAGTATACTGCTCGATCATACTGGATAATTGTCGTGATCAAAACAGCGGCGCGTCGACACGCTGCCCATGAGTGTGCCGAACGCAATGCCTGCTGAAATACATACAACGAGAAGTGAAGACCACCATCGCGCCTTTCTGGGCGACCCCTAACATCGAGGGTCCGGTAGTTTGACAGCCTTGTAAAGGCTCGTTATTCAGCTGATTTCCACTCCGCAAACAACGCAGAGCAGCGGCTCAGTCCACACCTTGTCGCCTTCGGTGACGTTCTCTCGGAGGTCCTTGATCTCAATCTTGGTGGGGTTCATGTCCATCAAGATTCTCGCTTCAAACAAGCCTTCCCACGGCTTCGTATCGCTCGCAAAGGCCTTCTTCTTGCCAGATCTGATCTTGCGAGATGCTCCCGGTACCTCCAGCGCGGATGGCGTCGCAGGAGTTGTAGGCGGTTGCGAGACACGCTCGTCAGGAACCGCGGGAGTCCCCTCTGCCACAGATTCCCCATTTGTTTCCTCGGGCGCATCGCTGGGCTTCGCATCTATCGTTTGCTTGACATCGGCACCGCTTTCGGTAGGGCTGAGGGGTCCGTTTACGCCGTCATCCAGCGCCTTTTCCTCTTTAACGTTATCGCTCTCTGCGACCGAGGTCGTTTCGTCTACCGGAGGCTTCGCGGTAAAATGGGGTTTATCTTTGCCGAGTCGCTCGTAGGTTCGCATCAAGGCGTCTTCTCTCAGACAATGCTCATGGAGCCATTTCCCGCACTCCTTGTTCGAGCATCCGATCAGCGTCTTGTCCGGGTTGGCGGGCTGTCGGCATCTGCAGGTGCGTTCGACTGACTGCTGTCGAGTTAGCTTCAATCGGCTGATCTAAGCTCCGGGATTTGTGCATACCGAGAGCTGTTGGGTCCGGCAGTCAAAGGCCTGGCGCCAGTAGAGCGCCTCCTGGATCTCGTCGTCGTTCTCCTCAATCCATTGCTTGACGTTGGCAGGTAGCGTCACACTGACAACATTGATGATGTCCACTGCTTAAGTCAGTATGCGGACGGGAGTTTCGGGGAGGACGCAACCTACTGTGGTTGGAGGCGATCAGCTCGTTGTGACCGTGATACGGCTGGCGACCTCCAGTGTATCTCTTTCCTTCCATCGTGCCCTCCGGCAGCTCTTCCGGCCAGTACATCCAGTAAATGCGCGCATAGACATGATGCTCGTCGCTAGCGCGAATCTCCAAGATGCGGGCTACCCAGTCATCTTCGGACTTGGATCGCTTCAGCACCTTTTCCGGCTCGTTCGCGTCCGTTGCGCCTTCCGCGGCGGCTTTTTGTCGTTGAACGGTCTGATCATTTGCGACGTAGATAAAACCCTCACTAAAGTACTTGGTTCCATTTACTACGTCCGTCACCGTTAGCGCATACCACCGCAGGAGAATAGACGGACCACTTACGAACGAAACTGTTGTAGCGTGTCATCTCCAGCCACTTCTTCTGTGGATGCACGTTGTATTCCAAATCCAAGACATCGTTGGCGCTCTTGCCGTTGAAATCGCCGGACGGTGAAAAGGGAGAGAGTTGCTTGGAGCTCTTCTTCCCGTCCTCCTCTTCCTGATCCGGTTTCCTTCTCTTCTTTGACTTTTTCTGTGCCTTGGTATCGGGCTCGGCGTAGGTGACGCTGAAAGGGCACTCGGCCTTGTTCTCCTCGACCTCGGCGCGAGGGCGCTTGCGCGAGGTGGACATGGCGGTGGCGGTGGGGGTCCGGAGTCGCAAACGCAGTCAAGGAGGGGTATTCGCGAGTAAGGTTGAGCAAGATTCGATGCGACCTCGATTGAAAGTGTCCGAGACGAATGACGTTGGGGGTGAAGCTCGTTTGGGATGTCGCGACCGAAGGGAAAGACGCACGGGGTGGCTGGCAGGCGTATGTTCCGCCCAAAAGACCGGGGTAGGTGAGACCGAGTGGCAAGCGCGCCGTCCCAGATGGGCGTCCTGGCTCACTTTGACAAGAGTGCAAATACTCTGGCAAGCCTGAGGATGGTCCAGGCCGGGTATCGACGACCAATGATGGCCACGATGCGCAAAATTGGGAAAATCGCGGGTTGAGGATCTGGCAATTCCGGAACGAGAAGCGGAGCGCGTTGACACTAGCCAGCGAAAAAAAGGTGGCGCAAGATGAGTATTTGAGTGGTCACGTGAGCGCAGATTGGCTCCGACGGGCTTTAGGCAAAGGCGGAAAGGCAAGTAAAAGCGCAGAAGCACCCACGATGTGGCCGTGGCCGTGGCACGGGTGACGCTGGAAGTGAGCGTCACGTAAGCACCGCAACTAGAACCATCTGCGCCCACCGAATACTAAATGAGTCCCCGCAGCAAGCGCCGCCATCCGTAATGCTCTTATAGATATTTCCCTTGCATTTGATTCGCCCTATAGCATGCCCACCACGTTTTGCGACGTGAAGCTATCAACAACTTCAACAAATGGCAGCTAGAGATGCGTCTAGAAACTAGTACGGTTGAACTACATGGTCGACCATCAACAATCCAATGTTGCATACCAGCGCTCGTTGTACTCATTTCTCTTTATCTTGATCCCTGGGTTATGTGATGTAGGACATAAGAGTGAAGAGATGACGTAGGCAGCGGAACAACAGAGGTAACAGTGACAACAGAAACAGAAAAGGAGATGATAGGGACTATATCAACTTGAATACATTGAATAGAAGCCGAACAAAGGCTAGAACGGCGCCTTAGTAGAACAACTAAGAGAGATAACGGGGATATATTATTCTTCTCCAAGCTCACAAATGTCAATACTCAGTCCTTTTCAGTTATCGGCGCGACACAATGCTGCAGCCGAACAAACCCTTGACGCCGTTGCTATGCTATCATATAAGTTTCGGGGCTTTTCAATAGCCTCGGGGCCGGTTATGTTCATGTTCATCCTCGTCGTCATATGCACTCAGAATCGGGCGGTCATCGCTCTCTTCCGTTTCACTGCCCGTTTCTCCTTGCCGGCTCTTGAAGCCCTCGATGGCCTCGGCCAGTTTCTCCCCCTCACGCTTGCCCCTTGCCACGTTGACACTCCATATGAGAGGTGCTGGAAGACCAACCAAGACCGCCAGGAACCAGAATGCTGGCCGGATATCGCCCGATCGATCTATAATCGCTCCAACAATTGCAGGCCCAAATACACTGGAACCTTTATCCGTTATCGCTGGATTTTTAATTGTAATTAGCAAGGTTAATCAAGATAGTAATGTGGTTGAGATGGGTTGAGGTGGATTGGGATGGTTTGAGACGGGTCGATGATGGTTGGGAAGGGGGTGGGGTGAGGGTTGCCGTACCATACAAGGCGTAGAACGCAGCTTCCGAACCTGGGGGAATGAGCTCCCCGTAAAGACTGCGGCAATACGAGCTTAGCCCTCCTAGTACCAGGCCGTAAACTGCGGCTAGAGGATACATCTCCCATGGTTGCTGCAGTCCTATAACTCCCCACCTCTGCACAAACGGGAGATACCCAAGCAGTCCGTAGACGGGAATAAGCTCGAACAGTGCGATACAGACGAGGATGGTCTGATGGGGCTCCAACTTGAACTGACGCGATACGAAGGCCCAGCTGAACGCGCCAATAACGCCGGCTGTGGTGGAAATCACGTTGATCATTCCCAGTGCCCAAGGCTTCATGTGTAGTTGTGTCTTGGCAAAGAGGATCGCCGTGGAAGATGTCGTTGCTACCGCATCGCTCAACAAAAACCATGCGGCCAGGTAAAGAACGATATCTCTCAAGCGGCCAGCCAACCGAACGGTGTTGAACAATGACACCCACGCGTTGGCTATATAAATCATCCAAGCCCGAGCTCCTTTGGCGGACGATATGGGCATAGGTGGGCCAGGTCTTGGGCGAAGCCACATGGCCGCAGGGATCGTGAAGAACGCCCACCAAGAGCCGGCCATGCATAGCACAACCCTCTGGGACCAAGTGGTGTTCTTCATCGCGATCAGAATGGCAATCGCGACACACTGCACAAACAAGCCGGCAATGTATCCAATACCGATGCCTCTAGCGGAAATCTGAGTTGACAGATGTAGTTCGACAGAGGTGAGCTCCTCATGGGTGGCTTTCCGGACCAAAGGGTGACCACCGTTTCCGTTCCCCCCGAGTAAAGCCGAGGTTTGGTCTTCTGCATCACTTGCAGTAGAGTCATCATCCAAATGAGACCCATTGAGAGATTGCGATTCTAGGCCGAAGTGTCCTAAGTCCGGCGTATGCACAGTCTCGGACGCTAACACCTCTGGATGGTGACGGACCAGCAGTGGCAGAAAAGAGTTGAGAAGCACGAACGAGGCTCCAAAGCAAGTGTTGGATATGATGGCCAACACCGCACCCAAGATGTAAGTGTTCTTGCTGACAAAAATGTAGGCCATGACGGAGAAGCTCCCGATCCATGCGAACGTGAGCAAAAGCCTCTTCCTCGAATCGCCGTGGTCAGCAGCGCTGCTAATGCTCACTACCAAGAGCGCTTGGAGCAGAACGCTGATGGAGAACGTGTACATGGCGAAACTGGCCGTGTTGATTTCAATACCTAAAACGTAGACAATGCATTGTCCGTCGGCCTTGTTCTTCGAGTCGCTCGTACCGCACGGGGTCGTTCGATCGGACAGCAGAACGCCATTTTCGCGCGCAAGAGTCTCGAGAAGAATCGGGATAAAAGAGCCTGGGCATCGTGTAATGTCAGCGCAAAGGGGTTCAGGGCGGGGTACATCGCGCGATCGTCTTGAGCTAGGCAGGCAGCTCCATAACTCAATAGCGTTCACAGCATATGTCACGGAACATCGGGGAACGGGCTTGCTAGAAATCAAAGTCTAAACATACCAATAGCTAGGTTCAATCAGCTCATGCACATTGTCAGAAACAACTTGGGGCCAAAACTCACCACAGATGACATAGGTTTCGGCGGCAAAGGCGTATGCATACCAGCCGGATAGCTCCTTCTGGCTCGTGGGGCGCGTATCTTCGCCATGATACCGGCCTTGGCCATGGGGGAAGCCGTCGCTACTGCTGCCGCTCATCCTGTCGTAGTCCGAGTCGGTGTCGGAACGCTCGTCGTCGGCTTCGAAGTCGGAGGTGAAGGAGCGAAAGGAACGTTTGGACAAAGTTGAGAGGCGCGACCATAGACGTGGTGCAGGCGGCGGCCGAGCGTGTTGCTCCTGTCTGGGAACCATGGCGGGCTGGCACGGGCAGCTGGGCGTGGACTTTACTGGATGAGGTAGGACAGCTGACTGTTGCGGGCCTGTCCGTCTCACCTGGGCCGAATTGGGTGGGCGGATGCACTCCGGTCGCAGCAGCACACAACCACACTTGGGGTGTGTCTCTGTTCCGAGTTTAGGCTGTGGGCACAACCTGGAACCTGCCAACCTCTAGCACCTCAGATGAGGCACCTCCAGCCAAAGTTGGCAGGTAAGCAGTGTGCAAACGAAACGATTATGCAGGTCGGGCAAGGTACCTAGCACTGAATCGTCGTCACAGTGCCAGGCACCTCGTCAGAGTCGGATCCGGATTGATGATGGGTTTGGCTGTATTGGACCCCGCTGCCGCTGCCGCTGGGTCGAGCCACTCGGTGAATTTCCAGCTATTCTGGCTGCACTGCACCTCGCTGACCGAATCGCCGTCTTTGGTGGTGCTGCTGCTTGCTGTCAAGAGCCCACTGGTCCCTCAACAGGGTGTGTGGCCGCAGTAGCTTGTCGAATCCGAACAGTGTGCGAGGGCTGTCACAAACCCGAGACGGGAGGCGACTCTGTTGTGTGTTGTGATGGCGCTGACCGACGACGGCTATGCGACAGCCCGAGTGTGTAGATGGGGGTGATGGGAACGGCGTGTTGTTGGCGTGGACAGCAACATGGGGCCGAAGCTCTGGTGCCCGGGGGGAATGAGACAGCTGGAGAGGTGAAACGGAAGTAGAGAGAACAAAACGAGGCAGATGGCGAGAGTAAGATAAGTCGGGTTAATGTGTCGTCAGGTTTGCAAGAACAGGTTGTGGGCCGGCATGGTTGGTTATATGGCGTCCCAGAAGTGATGGAAGACCGGTGAAATACAAGGACAGACAAGGACATCCAAGGTGACAGTGTCAATCCATGGTTTTCCCCGGCCTCTTGCTCCACGCCTTCTTGCCTGCACTGGTTCCGCGGCTCCCTCGCCCGAGCCGTTCTAAGCTTACCTTTGGCCAACTTTGAAATACACACACCATCGGTGGCTACAGTTTATCAAATCTTGTCCCATCTACTTTCATCCCCCCCAAACCCTCTCCTCTCTGTCTCTCGGTGGCTCGTCGAAACCCAAATATCCCCCCTCCCCAACACCCCAGTCGCGGCGACAGATAGTGTTGCCCAACCTCACAAGCGCCGCGACCGCAGACATGGGTACATCCTACTGCATCATCGCCGATGGGACGGTGTTTTTCCCTAGCGCCGCTACCACGCTTGAAACTTGCCGTGCTAGGAGGCAATGAACTCCAATTATCGTGAGAGGATGCGCGTTGAACGACATGCGCTGAGATGAACCGGGTTCTTTATTCGTCCGATGTTCCATAGCCGGCATGCATCGATGGATATGCGCTGCATCCGCTTTTAGGATTAGGCATTGCTTTTCCCCCCAGAAATCCCCGTCTCAACGCCATCGCCCATCATCGCCAGTGACACCGCCTGCGTAGGTAGTACACCGCGAGAGGTGAAGCTCTTTGCATTGGCCAGTTCTTCAACGGCCTCCCCGGTCCCCATAGCGTTCTTGTCAAACCTCACAAGCCCCCCCCCTTGGCCATGCCGAATCAGCAGGCCAAACTCATCGGCGTCTTTGAGAACTCTGACCATCGACGAAGTACCCCTGCCGTGAAGCTCGCAATGCTGAGATACCGGCGATGACTCTGCCCAGCAGTTCATCACTAGGTTGGAATCCGTCCCCCAGTTCTTGCATCGCTTGGCGGGTCAGCCGATGCCGTCTTGGGAAGCTTTGGCTTGGAACTGGAGCCGCGAGTTCCTAATTTCCATGCAGCTTTCGTTGTCCGGCAACGACACCCATTGAACGCCTTTCTTAGAACACGATACCCAACGACTGTTCTTCCACATGTACTTTCTTCCTCAGCCTTTGTATCACGACCATCGCGCGTATTGCCGTTCATCTCTCGTCGCAGCACTGCGGCAAAGTTTCAGGGCGATCCGAACCGGACTGGGGCTTGCGGGGGTGGGCATTCTGCAAGTGCCCGAGCGATCTGCGGTTCCTCTGCGTAGCAGCCTGCCCACCACAACTCAAGACCCGTTGGACCCTGAGCGACGATCACCGGCATGTGAATACCAGGCGACGTTTGACACGAATTGGCGCAAGACGTGGGCAAAGCGATGTGCTAGATGTAGCACCCCCATCAATCGCGACGTTTGAACCTGTGAATCATTCATTAAAAAGATGATTGGGACCATCATCATTATTGACAGCACCCCACCGCGCTGTTCTCGATATCTTTTTGAATTGGCTGCAGAAATGGAACGGGGCTGTTAGTGTTCTGTGAAACCTCACCGCCTCAGCTTAAGGTTCCCTGAAGACGGGTCTTTCTGCGCCAGACCCATATAACCCATAGCATCTCTTTTACTACCACAAGAGACGGGCCGACCCAGCCGTCTGTCTATCTGTTTGTCTGTATAGGCTCTCCTACGGGAAAGACGGTACATTTCGCGAATGTACAAATAGATACCATTGGACAGATTTATAGAACATGTCGTGAGTTATCGTTGTGCATCGCTTTGTTGTTGCGCCCTTGACAATTCGAGTTTGGCTGGGAGACCGCGCGGGGTTGTCGAGGGACCGGGTTTCCCGATGTAGCCGGCCGGTTCTGCCGAACTTGCACCCACACCGCCTTCTCGATGCCGACGTCACGGCCAACTCAAAACGGAAGGACCACTAATGCGGGGATCTTATTTTCCAATCCATGAGAAAGAGTCATCAACATCAGTTGGGCGAAGTGCCAGAGTGGTTAATGGGTGTGCCTCGAAAGCACATGGCTTCGGTCGCGCAAGTTCGAATCTTGTCTTCGTCGATTACCTTTTGCATTTGCGCAGAATGTTTTTTGGTTATAAGCTTATGGTTTGGGTTTGGGCTGCACAAGCACTTCCTGCTGTCTAAGCTTGCTAGCGGTCTTGGTTTGTTTGGACCAGTGCGGACAATGTTTGCAGCTTTTGTAAGCTATCATTGTCGATGTTGACTCTGCGATGCGTCTCACTAGCCGCATGCACACGAAAAGACACGGGCAACCTGTTTCAAAGGAAATTATGCCAGGGCAACTATTAAGCCAATGGCCAATTCTCATTCAAAATTTTCGCAACAAAACCTCGAGGCAAATAACGCATCAGAGGTATTCGTAGGAAATGGGGATATCGTGAAGGGCATGTCAAAACAAAACTTCCAGCCCCGTCCAACACAACCAACTAGCAAACAAAACCGCAAACCCGGACGAGCGCATCTCCTCTTTCTGCAAAAAAATGACCTCTCTCAGTCGCAGTCCCCCAGCTTACTTCTTGTTGAAGGGCGCAAGGATCTTGGCCTTGAGCTTGTCGGCGACACTGACGCCCGGGTTACCGTCGGCGCGGGCCTGGGCGGCGGCCTTCTTCTCGTGGTCAATATCCTTGTGCGCGGCCGGCTTGTCCGTCTCGACGGCGTTGCCGGCGCCGCCCCGGCCGACGTGGTAGTCCTGACCCTCGGTCGAGGGGCGGTAAGCCTCCTCGGGGACGACGTCCTTGTCGGCGCGCGGAGCGGGCTCGCTCTTGGCATCGGCAATGTTTCCGGCTCCTAGTGCGGGTGGGAACAGTCAGTTGAGTGGTTCACAGAGGCTGTGTCATGCTTGCGACAGTGAGGGCATCGTGAAGTGGTAAATGACTGGTGGGGGTGTGGGGGTTCGGCTCTGCGGGCGAATGCGCCGACGCCGCCTGGCGCGATGGGTGATAAGGCATATGCGGCTGGCGTCCTCACATTGCTGTGATCGGAACCTAAGACTCACCTCCTCTGCCAGAGCTGAATGCGCCCGTTCCGTGGGAGCCCTCGGGCCGGCCCTCACGACCTCGCCGTCAACGTATTGGGTATCGTCGGCGGCCATATTGCCAGCCCCACCTCTACCATGCGATACTTCGGCGGTCATCTTGGTTCGAGTGTTGAGAATCTGACGTGGGTGTCGTGGTGTTGTTCGTTGTTTGTGGTTGAGTAAGTCGCGCGTGGTGGGGTGAGATGATGTCTGTCAATTAGAAATGTCCCCCGAAAAGAAGGGACGGGAGGCGACAACTTTATTTGGGATGATCAGTCACGAGATGGGACGAAAGAGACTAGGGAAAAGGGCACAAAAAGTAAACAGGTACGTCAGTGATATTATATATCGCGATAAGACACCTGTTCCTGGCAGCCAAAAGCCGCTCATCACATCATACGGTAAGGTAAGATAAGTGGTGGTGCAAGGTACATCAACTTATCAGTTGGCTCTGCGCAAGCGTGACAAGTACCTCCGGAACGGGAACCCCCCAAGCGAAGGCTATCAGAACACCACCCAGCCGGGAACATGGAGGGCAAGCTCGCAGTTGATTGAGGGATGTCGTTAGCGGCTTGGGGTCCCCCCTCCCTGGGCGTGGGAGAAGTGCCTTTTCGCCCGGTGTCAACCCGCCATGCCTCCATCTCTCCTTGCATAGATGCGTCCTGGGCAAAGTACTTGCACATGCTGAGAGCGTCTGAGACGCCAACCAACGGCTGGTCGAGGGCCAGACGACGAATGACAGCGGACCTTGCCCTGATAACCTCCGGTTTACGTACCTCGATTTCGTGAGAGCTCTAAAGGCCATTCCGCATCGACATCGGCGCGGCGCCAGCCCAGTGGTACCGAGACACTCGTTCATTTCATGCCGGTTCCCTCCTTGAATGGTTGCGCAACAAGCGTTGACCCGGCACGCATGGCAGCACTGCTAAAACTTTCTTTTGGATTCTGCACTTCATTGCCAAGGACTATGGATTTGAGCAGGGTCAACGTTGAATGAACTTTCACGTAGTAGTCCCAGATCCCATAGGTACCGGATGCGATTGATGAGAGTTGGAACTCCCTGGCTCCGTATCCCTGTCCCTGCCTTCTTCAGCAGCCATGTCGTCATTGTCACTCTTCCTCCACATTTCGTCGAACCCCAGCTGAATTCTGTAGGCTTCTTGTCGCTTTCATCGCCTCGTCCCATCCCCACTCCCAACTTATTCAATAGTAACGAGTCCTTAAACACCGAGCTCACCGACTGCAATGCGGTGGTCCTAGGATACGGCGTCTGCCGCGGATAACAAGATGATGGTATCTCTTGCGGAGCTAGTGGTGTATCCTTGTATGCAGACGATGACATACTGAGGCCCCAGCAACCTAGAGATCCGATGGCTCATTGCGTTTGACTTTCACTACATCTCCTTCGGACCCCCCAGCCCCCAAAGGTATCACGATGCTGCCGTAGTCGGGCGTGACGACTTCACGATCAAAGTCCCTTACTGTACCATTAATGATGACAGGCCTGGAGGCAACCCGTTGTGGTCCCAGCTAGGGGGTAGCAGCAATGCATGTCAGCCGCAGCAACTGCCATTATTGGTCGCAATACAGGCAGCCAGCGGAGGCGATGCAAGAGGATTCTAGTTCTCCGCTAGTATATCACCCACATCGATGCCATTTCGTCGCATATCGCAGCTTCATCTCAAAAACCAGACCGAACGACCCTGAATCGTCCGAAATGGATTTCATCGGCACAGTGACAGGTGTAATCGACCTCTTCGTCGTCGCCCACCAGATTCAGGGGCTGTGTGACAAGTACAAGAACGCGCCCAAGACGGTACGGGACATCATTGACGAGTGCGAGTGGACCAGAGCGCTCTGCCTGAGTCTGAAGGAACAGCTGGTGCGGACGCCAGATGCTCTGCAGCACAATGACAAGACAAGGCCCAGTGCGGGCGTCCAGCAGAAGCCCGGGCAAACTCTGCTGTGGTGTTTCGAAAAGAGCATGCAGGGCATTCGTGAGACTCTCGAGGAGCTAGAAAAGGAGGCTGGCAAGCTGCAGAGCAAGAAGAACTCGCTCATGGGCAAGTGGGACAAGACCAAGTTCCTGTGGAAGGAGGACTACTTTAAGGATGCCGTGCAAAGCGTCAAGGACCAGAGGGACATGGTCGCCATTGTCATGTCGGGAATACAATTGTAGGTTTGCCGGGACGACGGCAAAAGACAGGGAAAGAGATGCCGGGAATTGGAAGCTGACGCGGTACAGACACAACACCAACACGGTGAGCAAAGACCTGCAAAAGCTGATCGCGTTGATCGAAGGTGGCCAGCAGCCGGCCTCCAAGTCGACGTCTCAGATTGACCAACTGCAGCCGCCGGCCCAGGGGCTCAAGAAGAGCAAATCAGACACGCAGATCAAGAAGTCGGGCACGCGGCTCGCCGAGGACCTTTACACGGCCGTTCGAAGCGGCCGGCTTGTCGACGTCGAGCCCATCCTGTCCCAGGGTGTCTCGGTCAACATGCCCCTCGGAGATGGCGGGGACCGGGCCGTACACATCGCCGCCCGCGAGGGGTTCCTGCCCATCCTGGATCGCCTACTGGCCTATGGCGCCGACGTCAATATCCAGAGCGTGTCTCAGGAAACCCCGCTGCACCAAGCCCTGCAGTGGGGACAGACGCCGACGTCGCTGGCGTTGCTGTCCAACGGGGCGAGCTGGACCATCGCGAACGACAAAGGGGCGTCGGCGTTACATGTGGCGGCCAAGAAGTCTGCATATCTCGTCGTCCAGTACTTGCTGGATAGGGGGGCCGACCCAAACGTGCGGGACAAGCAAGGCCAGACGCCGCTGTTCGTGGCGTGCCATCCCGTGGATAAGAACGGCAAGAAGTCCAAAGTGGACACGAAAGTCATCCGCGCCCTGGTAGAGCGAGGGGCCGACCCGACGATCATCGGAGCCAAGAAGTCAGGCAGCACCCCTGTGCACGAGCTTGCCATGAGCGGAAACGCAAAGGAGCTCGAGATCGTGGCCAAAGCCGCGGGGTCGGTCGACCTGCCGTTGCAAGGAGACTGCGAGGGCGCCACGCCCCTCCACCTCGCCGTCAGGAACAACCACCCGCAGGCCGTCGACGTCCTGATCAGGCTGGGGGTCAACGTCAACGCGGTGCAGACGTCGAAGGACGGTGCGGTGCCAACGGCCCTGTGGCAGGCCGGGTGGAACAAGAACCTGGACATCGCAACCAAGCTCCTGGAGGCCGGCGCGGACCCAGACGCAAGGGGTAAAGACAAGTCCACCGTCCTGCACCTGGCTGTGGCGAAGCGCTGGCCCGAGATGGTGAGGCTTCTTGCCAAGCACAAGGCCGGCCTGAACGCCCAGACGTCGGACAGGAGAAGGCCGCTCCACGCGGCGGTGTGGACCAGGGACCTCGCCATGGCCCGCCTCCTGCTCGAAACGGGGGCCCGGGTCGACGGCAAGGGCGCCAGCAACGCGACGCCCCTCATGGACGCCGCCCAGTGCGGCTCGCTGCCGATGGTCCGGCTCCTCATCGAGCACGGGGCCAAGTGGTCGTACACGACGCCCCAGGGGACGGACGCCTTCATCTGGGCCTGCAGCGGGGGCCACCTGCTCTGCGCGAGCTTCTTCCTGGGTTGCGGGCAGGACCTGCACAAGAGGGCGTCGGGGGACTTTACGGCGCTGCACTACGCGGCGAGGACGGGCAGGATGGACTGCGTCAAGTGGCTACTGGAGCTGGGGATTGACAAGTCGGTCAAGTCGACAGAGGCAAGAGCGCCGTTCAAGGTCGCGGGGACGGCGGCGGAGGTTGCCAGGGCCCATGGGGCCGTCGACGTTGCGGAGTTTATTGACAGGTACGAGGCAGATGCGGTATACTGAGGTGGAACGGCATACATCAGGTTCCATCTCGTTCAAGCAGAGCATGCATGCGACGAGCTCTAGACCAGGAGCGGCTCGGTCCTTGCCCCATACCCCTTGAACTGCTTACTTCCCAATGCTAATACCACACATCATTCAAAGGACATTTTGTAACCAGGTGATCAAACATGTCACAATGGGGTCAGATATATCAAGATGAGATCAAATATAAAGGTAGGACCAAGATGGGTTCAGGGTGGGATCGAGCATACCAAGACGAGATCAAAGGATGCATATCATAAGTTCATTCAGTCAGAGCTGCCCTGGAAGGCCGTTGCTTTCGTCTATACCAGTAGTCTTTGTCTGTCTATCCTCTTGTCCGTAGCCGCCATTTCAGACCATTATGCAATCCTGCAGCCTAGAAGGCTCTCTACGCTGAAGGTCATGGAATCAACCACTCTCTATCGCTCCCACACCTCTTCTTCTGCCTTCTGTCTTAGATGAGAACCCAAGCACTTCTGGTGCTTTCTCTTCCATAATTAATACAAAACCCTGGTGGTTCTCTCAATGCGGTGGTATAGTGCCGTGTAACCTAGTACAACGCTCAACACAGGTAGCCGATCGCTGCGATAACTACCCAAAGCCTCCCTGGCCGGCCATGCATGCAGATTTATCAAGGAAAGCAGTCGCATCAAAGAAGCCGCTCTTGGACCTGCCATCATGAGGGTGTTAGCTGATCCGCCATCATCTTCCGAACCTCCTTCTCCAAGTTTTCTTCCGCATTCTTGTCCTCCATGTCTTCCACCGCACCGGTGACCTTCTCGGCGAGCTCAATCTTCTTCTGGCACGCCTTGTAAATGAGCTCCTCAATGGTGTGTGACGTCAAGAGACGAATGACCTCGACGTCCCGGGTCTGACCCAGACGATGAGCGCGGTTCTCGGCCTGGATGTCGTCTTGCGGGTTGTCGGACTGATCGAAGATGATAATCTTGTTCGCTGACGTCAGGTTGATGCCGGTACCGCCGGCACCAGTCGTCAACAGGAAAGCAGTGATATCAGTATCCTTGTTGAAGTCGTCAATCAGGTCCTGGCGCTCTCCAACGCTGGTTTGGCCATACAGGACACAGTGCTTGATGCCGTCGGTGTGGAGGACCTCTCGAAGGATCTCGATGACCTTTGCGAACTTGCTGAAAACCAAAACACGGTCGCCGTTGTCACGATATTGATGGATGAGTTCCAGCAACTTGGTGACCTTGCCACTATCCATCCATGAACCTTCAGGTACATCGAGATGCCTGATGCAGGCATAGTCGCGGCACCAGAGGTGCAGTTCAAAATCGGAGGAATTCTTCAATTCTCCAATCAGATGGTCGATTCGCGGCTGCTGCAGCTCCGATTGAGGCACCTCTCTCATCAGAATCTTGGCCATTTGTTCAACCTTCTTGTTGTCAAAGTAACGCCGGAAGAGCTGGGGGTGAAGGGCAGCCTTCCGGAGCTGCATCCAGCTGTTGTTCTGATCGCTCTGACGTCCGGTGCTGGTCTTCTTGACCGGCCCGGCCTTGAAGAGACGCTCGTACTCCTCATACAACTCTTTCTGCACCGGTGCCAGATCGCAATATGCCACGTTGCAGATCTTGGCTGGCATGTCGGAGAGCACCTGCTGCTTGCGACGTTGCAAGATGAAAGGCTCAAGAATCGTTCTGGCTCGGCTGACGCGTGCTCCGTATAGGAAGGCACCATTGTTGACGTCACGAATCGTGACTTTCTGACTGAACATGTACTGGAGCTGATCCATCCGGCCGCTGAACTGCTTTGGATCGATAAAGTTCAACAGAGAGAGCATCTCCATCAAATTGTTCTGGACGGGCGTGCCGGTGAGTAGCATCCTCCACCGAGCCTTGATTCTGATGAGGTCTTTGTAGATCTTGGTCTTTGGGTTCTTCATTTTGTGTCCTTCGTCAAAGATTGCGGCGGCGGGCTGAAGTTCTCGGAGAGCCTCCAGATCATCCTCAGAACCGACTTGTGTGTATGTCGTCAATACAACATGATAGTCAGCAGGATTCTCGAGCATCTCGTATGCGATATCCCTGCGCTCGGCTTGAGGACCTTGGTACGCAAGAACCGAAAGATCAGGGGCAAACCGTTGGAACTCAACCATCCAATTGGAGAAGGTTGACGGTGGCACGACGACGAGGTTGGGCCACGGCCGATCGCCTTTTCCAGTTTGCTCGTAACTCTCAACGAGATGACAGATGAGAGAGATGACCTGACACGTCTTGCCCAGACCCATTTCATCGGCCAGAATGCATCCATAGCCACTTTGGTACAGAAGTGACATCCAGTTCAGACCGAAAAGTTGAAATGGACGCATGGTGCAGTGGCCCTCCATGAATTTTGGTTGGCAAGGAATCGGCGGCTCCAAGAACTTCTGGCCGCGGAAACTTGTCGGCGTCAGGGGGACATCGTTCTTGGCCTGGGAGCTCTGGGTGCTCCGTTTCTGTCCCTTGACGTCGAGATCCCAAAGGTTGATCTCTTGCTTGACTTTGTTCGCCTTCTTCTCGCATTCGGCTACCACCTCGTCAATGGCGTTGACGCTGCGAGTAAACTCCATGATCGCGTCAACCAATGTCTCTCCGATCGCGACTCTGGGCTTCCGGCTGCGAGCGCTTGATTTCTTGAGGACAGTGACGGCCTGAACCTCGTCGATGGTGTCGAAAGGTCTCTTGGTCTCAATGACTTTGAGCTCGTCCAGTTTGATATTCGTCATGGCGGACAGATCCTCGATGGAGCTGTTGTTGATGGCCTGAAGAGCCTTGTCATACAAACTCTCCTTGACCGCCTCGTTCACCTCATCCTCGTTGTCAAAGTCCTCATCTTCATTGTCGTCGGGAATGACAATCGGCTCGTCGACCTTGTCGTCCGCAAGTTCGTCCAATGTCGGTTCAATTTCGTGGGTCTGCTGTGATAAAACAGGTGACCGGTCAGGGCGACGACCTTGCATCAAGCGGCGACGCTTCGGCTTGGGTGGTGAGGGTGTGGTGCTTCGTGAAGGAGTAGGCAGGCTCGGGGCATGGCGTCCAAGTAGCTTCGGCTTGCTGGGCTCGCCAGATCGGCTCGTCTTTCGCTCCAAGCTCGTAGGTCTTTCGCCCCCAGCAGTGACAGCTGGCTTTGTAGAGCTTACGAAGGTGTTGACCTTAGGCTTGAGATGCCGAGCGTCCAGCAGGTAATTGATCGCATCCTCAACGTTATTGTGGCACGCGGTCAGTGCCTCCTTGCAGTATTGAACCGGCATCGTGTTGCCGAGAGCTTGGGCGACCTCCTCAATCTTCTTCTGCAACTTATCTACAGGCACGTATTCGAAGTTGGAGACATGTCTCTTGAACGACGTCCGGGCGATGTTCTCGCGAGAGCTACGGTTGTCCTCGTCGTCCGAAGAGTCCACAACCACGGGTTCCTCAGAGGGTCTTTTGAGTGACCTCGGCGTCGGCTGCGACTTGGGGGGCGGCTGGAAGCGAGTGCCCGGGGGCACGAGACGCGAGAAGTAGCTCGAGGTGCTAGGCTTGTTGGTCGGCTGGAAAGGGGACGACGCAGGAACCTCGATAACCGAGCGTGAAGGGGAGGAGGACAGATCGGAATGCGGCTTTGATGGGGACGCAAGGGAAGTCCGGTTGACTATCTGTGTGGCTTGGGTCTGGTACGGCGAACAAGGAATCGTCTCGCTGGCGAGCTCGTCGGTATCGTCACCGCGACGAGGACCTCTCACGGGCGACGTGCCTATCGCCGAGCTAACCACCGGCGGCGAGGAGCTCAGGCTCAGGTTTATAACCATGGCTCGTGTGGTTTGGGGGGTTTGTTTTTATGGTCGAAAAAGAGCGATCGCCAAGTAACGTGAAGAGGCGAATAACGGTCGAGTAACAATGGTGGGGGTTGCACAATGGTGAAAGAAACCTCGAGGCCTCGGGTGGGTAAGAAGGCCTATTGTCTGAGCTTGTCGAAATGCATAGAGACTAAATCAGGAGAGATCAAAAAGATAGAGTAGAAATTGAGCAAGTCCCGCCTTCCAATTTTGGGAGACCTTTGGAGCAAGAGCGGTCGAGATTTTGAACGGGCGGCGGCGTTGGAGTGGGATTTTTCTGGGGCAGATCGTCTTTCACCACCCCAGTCCGTTGACACGGGGAAACGAAGTGACGCGCTTGGACAAAAGCCCGTAGCGCGTTCGCACGTGGTTGGCGTCATCAATTAAAGCACCGTGCGGGGCGTCGCCGGTTCGAACTGTAAGCGCTGTCTTTTGACTTCACGTCTCATTTTTTGATGGTTCGTCTGCCAGGCTCAGTGAGCTGGACCATCGAATCACAGCCCCAACATCCACCGATACCGAGTCTTCCATAACCTCACCATATCGACGAGACTATCACGACAGACATCCAGCACTATGTGAGCTTTGCCTCCCATTCTTGGTTTGCGGGACTCGTGCTCACTCGTTGCATGTAGTTGTCCAGTGCACTAATCATACCCAGCACCCGTTACATACCACCCACCTCAGGTTTCCAAAGCATTATGGCGACCCGACGCATTGTCGCCTCGGAGAAGACTATCCTCGAGAAGGACGATGTGGTCGGATCCAGCCCCGCCGCTGGCGATAAGTCCAACATCACACCCGCCGTGCCGACGGACGTCATCCTGAAACTCCTTGGATTCACCTTCGCCATGATTGTTTTGCCTATCGGCACCTACTTTGCTACGGTGGACTTCCTCTTCAAGGGTAGGTTGTGTGGACGCGCCAAGCTCTCCTGTAGCCCGAGAAAATGAGACCAGTTGTGACTAACGAGCATACCAAGGCAACTCGACATTTGCTGGAGCCCTGGCCGCCGTCATGGCCAATGTGGTCCTGATCAGCTATGTCATCGTTGCCATGAAGGAGGACCAGAGCGATCAGCTAGAAGCTAAGAAGGAAGCGAAGAAGGATCGCTGATGCCTGAGCAGCGTACATACGGCATGTTTTTTTGGTTTTTGAGGGGATGGCGTGGAATGCGACAAGTGTGCTTGGAAATGAGGCATGTCATGCTTTGCCTTTCGTCACTTATGGTACATGCGGCAATCCAATCGAGGGTGGAATTCTTAAGCTGAAATACCATCTCACTGGTTTGAGTCTTGTTCTAAAGCATCGTTTTGAGAACCATCGCAGTGCCGTAACAAAATACCTAATTAAAATTTCCCTTACGTCTGAAACTCCCTAGTCGTATGCCATCATACAATGAACCCAAATTGGTCCATAATCTTACCATCCAAACCTGGCCACCCATACCTCTTCATACGAATCGTGTGCATGTACCTTGATCCAACGCTATTATACTATCCAGTCCGAAGTAAGTAAGAAACGATCATGCGTATGAAGCCATCTCAAGCATCTGGTCGTTGCCTGGGGGATGCCGGCTCATCAACGTAGTAAAGTACTCGGTGTCCCCAAACCGGACACATAGAGCCACCTATATGCGGACCCACGCCCGAACCACCATATCGCGTCCAGAATGTAGGAAATTGGGGTATCGACAAAGTAAGGACGGAAACCAATTCATATCTCATGTCTTTGGTTCTTCAAGATGCCTTGCTGAACCGGCGGGAAAACCAGCTTTTTCTTTTGGCTGGTGCTTCAGGTCGCTGCTGCGGCTGCTGTTGCTGTTGAGGCGGGGCCGCGACCGGTCTCCGAAGCACATTGGCGCCCTTGTCTGAAATTTGGGGTCCTTGTTTCACAGATGAATAGGCATGGCCTTTGCCGTTCTGCGGGCCGTTTGGTGTACCGTTCTCAAGATTGAACGCGGGCGATTGATGTGATTGCCCCTGGTTGAAGCCACTGCCATAATCGTTTACAGGCTCGGGCTTAGGAGCCGGGGCCCGCTCGATAGAGCTGTTGTCGCTGCTGGTCGGGTCGGTGTGGTATCCGGCATGCTCCGCCGAACTTCCGCTTCCAGCCGCCGACGTGACAGTCTCGTACGAGCGGTCTTTGTTGGGAAGAGGGTAGATATTCTGGTCGCCGCGGCCATAGGTACTCATATGTGGATCGGTCTGTGTTCTGGGTACCCTCTGACGGTAGGGAATGTTGCCATTGTAATATCCTCCTCCTCCTCCTCCTCCTCCGCCACCACCGCCGCCGCCGTGGTACTGATCATAATAGCTCTGGCGGTTGGAGCCCATTTCGAACTGACTGCTCTCCGGTCGGAAGGATCCTGGGCGACCGCCATAATAGCTTTCATGGGGGTAGCGAGGTCCGCTGGCTTCATTTCTGGGGTTAGCTGTGCTGCCCAAGTTGCTGGTTTGGGTGTTGTACATACTAGCATAGTAGCTGCTCCGTCGGTTCCATGTCGCAACGGACTCGGCGTCTGAGCGGTATGATTGGCGGCGGTCGCGGTCTCGATAACCTCCGTCAATGGCAGCCTCGAAGCTGCGGATAGTATCCAAAGGTCGCTCCCATCGGCTGCGGGTCGGGTTGGATCGATCGGGCTCGGCTAGTATCAACTATTAGACATGTTTGCTGGGAGAACCTGTACTAGACTTACAGATGGGGTTGCCCGTTGTGTCCTTGTGCTGGATGGCGCGCAATGGTGCCAAGGACGTCTTCGTCATTGCCTGGACGGCGGCTGTACAAGTTGTCAGTCAGTTTCGTAGACCGGGTTTCCATAAGCAACAGTGACATACAAGGTTCGGCCTCGCTCATAGCGACGGTAGGATCGGCTTTGCTGTGCAATCTTTTTGCTTCCTTCTCCTGGTGAGTCTCGTGCAAGTCGATCTTGGGGTGACTCCCCGAGCTCTTGTGGGACTTGTGGGACTTGTTGGACTGGAAGCTGAATGTTCTAGGTCGTCTATGAGGAGACTGCGGCTGCTTCTGGGCTGGAGCTTGAGTCTGAGGTTGAACGCGAGGCGGCGGTTGTACGGGCTGCGGCTGGTCGTACTGTTGCTGGTAGGGCGGGAATTGAGCCGGCTCGTCGTAGAAATCGGCGGCTTGGTCGTGGTAGAGTTGTTGGTTTGGCTGCTGATGCTGGGGAGGCAGCGCGGGAAGTGGATGATGCTCTGCCATGGTGGGCGACTGGGGGAGGGTGCTACTTTTAATTGATCTGTCTCGCAAGGCGGTGGGCGCAATGGGCGCGGGCGTAGTCTCGGCGTACAAGGTCAACGGACGGAGCTATTGCGTGCCTTATCGCGGGTCAGCAAGGGGAAGAAGTGGGCGGGCGGTTCCCAGTAAGTCGCTAGCGAAGCAGCCAAGGTCGCGTTTTCCAGGGGGCAGCGTGAGATGATGGAGCGCAGGGTGGATCGCTAGAAGGGGCAGATTCAGAACGGTGGAAGGGTGGGTGTGTCTGAGTGAGGCGTGTGTATGTTTCCACCGACTGCTGGGATTGGAAGTGGATGCAGAACCCGTGAATGAATAGTGTAGCCGCAGGCCGGGCCGTTTCCAGTGGACCACTTGTTTGGTGATGGGTGAGATTGTGTGTGAAGTCGTGGAGCGGAAGAAGGATGACAGGAAGACGAAAAAGTTTGGAGTATTTTTTTTTTCCTTTCCCTTTCTTTCTTTCTTCTGGGATGATGTCGCAAAGAGGCGGGAAAGCAGGGATGTGAGTGTCTCGAATGTGGCTGGGGGGGATGTGAGTTGGCAAGGCGCAAGGTACGGCAGCACTTCTAAAAGAGGCGCGGATGAAGCTGTCTGGCTGGTGTGCTATGCGCTGTGCCGAGCAGGAACGAACGGCCGGGCAACGGCAGCAACGACCAACAACCCCGAAAAATCACAGTGATAACGACAACCCAGTTGAGGGAACAGGTGCAGGTGCGGGTGTGGGTGCGGGTGCAGGTGCAGGTGCAGGCGGTGCTCACAGACAATGTGGAGTACGTACCTATCTTCTGGCCGATGTTTGATCCAGGAATTTGCTGCAAGCTGCAACAGAAGGAGACGGAGACGGGAGGGAGTCTGTGAACTGATGGATTCTGATGCCGGATGGGGGGCAACTTCGGGCGAGCGACACCGGGATGTTTGCTGGAAGCTGCGCTAGGACGGGTGACTTTGGGGCGTTGCAGGGGAAAGTGGCAACCGCAAAGAGTTAAGCGCGTCGTCTTTTTTCGATGGGGGTCGGACAATGGAGTCGGGTCCGGTAGGTACCTAGGTAGGAAGTGGTGACTGGGGGCTGGGAAGCCGTGACGCTTGGGGGCGCTGGGGGGGGTAACTGCAACAAATGGACGAGCGCGCGGTGAGCCAGGTCTGCCCTGATAGCAAACGCCTCCTGATTGTTGCCGAGTGTTTCTTGGTGATGTGATTTGCCGGCTTCTTATCCGTCCGGTGTTGTTTGGCTGACCGTCTTGTCTTTCTGATGCTTCTTTTTCTTCTTCTTTCCTGTTCCCTTAAGTTCAGCACTGACTGTGTTGATGTCGATGCTGCACTTGTCGTACCGGTATCTGTAGTGCCTTCGTTTTTTTCTTCTCTCCACCTGTCACCGGCAGTTGCAATGCAGGGTATCCGAAGTGCGTTCTGGCGACCGAAAGACGTATCCGTAATGCTGCCCTGGTTTGCTACCCACTTTCTCGACGATCCGTCAATACAAGGTGGCGGCTTTGTTTGAGCCTTTCGTAATAATGTACGAGTAAACTGGGTATTTTGTTTGATGTTGCCGTTAATCGGTGATCGAATGCGACGTCGCGTTTACAGGCGGCTGGTAGTGGATGGGTTGATGGATGAAGGGTGGGACCCGGCTGGACAGAAGCAGTCGATCCTTTCTCGCTTGATGGAGAAGTGCCAATGCCAATGGCGGTGCAGCTCAATGCAAATGCTATCCCCTCCGAATGGCCAAATCCAATGGGCAAAACAATTCGGAAGAAACACCGCCCCTGGTCGGTATCGGTGGGCGATTCGATTTGCTGACGTCAAGCAGCGGTAATCGTCGCGTGTTTCAGAGCGCCTCCGCGTGGTAGTCGGCGAGTCGGTGGTCCGTAGTTCGAGGTACGGTTTTCGCCCCTCCCTTTACTTGCTGGATTTTCTTCTCGGTCTTCCCTCTCGGCCCTTGGCCTGATGCGTCCAAGGCGTGTCTGGAGTGGAATGGAACAATATGGATCAGATGATGGTTGGATGCGCTTGCTCGGCTTGGGGCCAAGGGTTCTCGTCCGCACGGTGTTCTGGCTTTCCCAGTGTCAGCCAACTTGCTTTCGCATATGCTGCCGCTGTAACGCAACAAACAGACAGCGAACCAATGTCTCTCCTTCATCCCACGTCGCAGCACCATGCACCGTGGCACGTCCTGGCGGCGCTGTGAACCGGAGCCTGCAGATGGATGGGGCCAAAAGAAATTCTTACCTCTGTGCACACCTGGGCTTTGCTTCCGGTGTCCCTTGCTACTTTTACTATCCTGGCCGTCGATGATCGGGTTGTCGAATCTCGCAGCGGGGTGCAGTTCGCCAAGTTGCCCTATATATGATGGTGCGCTTCGGAAATTGAACGGCGTCGATAGTGTCCAAGGCCGCGTTGGTTCAGCAAGATGAGGGCGGAACAAGCGACGATTTGATTGTGCGGGAGTCGATTGACGACAGAGGACAGCTGCAAAACGAATCGGCGGACCACGATGCTGTCAGAGAGGTATGGCTGACTGAAGATATCAAGTCGGATGGTGAGAGAGTCAATTATCACTGCGCAACGTGGGTGTCGTGATCAGTCAGGCGAGACTGAAAGCATAATAAAATTTGCTCAAGTGCGAAAGGCGCAGCAAAAAAACGTGGCGGGAGGCCTTTCATATCTATACGAGCCTCCGGTCCAAACGGACCAACGAGCGAAGAGCCAACCCCAATTTGTGTGACTGGCGGGAGCAGCTGAGAGAGCGTGATGGTGGGTAGTGACAAGTCGATGATGATCTGGAGGACCAAGAGCAAAGGGGAGAAAGGCGTGGCCTGTCCCGTCACAGTATGGCATGGCATGGCATGGCGACAACATTCTGAGGATAGTCGTCAAGGGACGCAGCTAAGAGAACGCAGAAGTTTGCGTTGGTATGCTTGAGTACCTCTCCCGTCACAGGCCACTGCAGAGTGCCTTCCTCTCTTGCGGTTTTTGTCGACTTGGTACATCTGCCTACCTTCCCCCTCTCATTTAGACTATTGTACACCAACCGAGACTAACCAGTAGGGAACTATCAAGGGATACGGCCTAGCGACAACATACAACGCTCAGGACCGATCGCCCCGAGATGGAGTCGACATTGATGTTCCCAATTGCCGGTCCATCCATGGAATGACAGGCGACCGAAGGCGTCCGAATCGAAAACTAACCAAGGGCCGGGGTCTAAGAACAGCAGGACGCAGCCGGTGTCCTTTGGATGCTCGAACGTTCTCAGGTCCCACGAGGTGTCGGCCTCTCTAGAAACACAGCAGCCTGACTGGCACGACTGGCCGAGAAGCAGCTCAAACCGGAGACAGAGAAAGAGAGAGAAAGCAGACGGGGCGGAAGGCCTGGCCCTGCATTCCCCATCCCATCCCAATGACCATTACCCACCTCCCACGAGCCCCGGAACACGTTCCTGGCATGGAACTTGAGCGTCAGAAGTGAAGAGCCCTGCCACTCCAGACTGCCAGACTGTGCTGTGTGCCTGTCAAGCACGCAGCACAAAGGAGCCAGTCGGTCAGTCTCTAGTAGCAAGAAGAGGGGTGCGGAGCGGGGTGGGGAATCCCTTAAGCCCACCATTACGCGTTTCGCCCCTCATCGACTATCCCACCCATCCCACCCGTCCAACAGGACAGTTACGAGGTTCCATCCAGAAACCTTAGCTCGTCCTGCCCGATCAGCCACCACTCTCACTGGCTAGTCGTCAACGAAAGCAAGATATGGCAGGCTTGCCACAGTCGATAGATGCTGGACTGGGCGAGACAGAACGAGACATGGCTAGATAACCACCCCAATGCTCAGGGTATCCTGTACCTGTACAGACGCGCCATGTACGCACAAACACGAGGTCGCGGTTAGCCGGGCGTCCCGCCACTTGCATTGCGCCGCTTTGATTTCTCTGGCTTTACTTCGATGCTACTTCGAACTCCATCTTGGCCGCGTACATTGTTTTTCTGCTCCATTGGGCAACCATGATACCGCATGAGAGATGTGCGTCGGGGCAGCTGTACGACGGCTCGGTCTGAAACTTGACTATCTTCGCATCGTTCAAGCAGGCAACTAGCTAACGACAATCCTTCCCGAGCCCCGATGGCCATTAGTCGTCCATTAAGCCAGTCAGTCAGTCGGTCAGAGGGATCTTTCTTGCGCGTGAGACTCGGTTGCGATTCATGCTCGCCATTTTTCTGGCACGACGCCTCAAACACATCCAGACAGCATCTTTCGTCCGATGGCCTTTCCTCAGGCGCCATGAGGACCGAACGGCAACGCGACGAAGGACCCCTAAGACCGAGACATACAAACATCTGGATCGGACGCCATGGGACCGCGAGGATGATGCCCGTCCCACCGCCTCTTCTTTGTCAAGTTGTCAGGTAGATATGTCCAGCCCAGCCCTGGGTGAGAAGCCGGTCACCCCTGCAAAAATGTGGACTTCTTGTTCAACGGTCATACGAAGGCTGGGCAGCAACAGCGCTGCGAGTTCCACTTGCACCCGAGACTCCGAGTTTTCGACTCGGCTGCCAGACCGCCGCAGGAAGCAATAGTCTTCAGCTCTACCTGTAGTCGACAACATCCGCGGGTTCCATATTGTATGGTTGTGCTGCGCCTCCATTAGAGCTGCGGCCATGACGCGGATCGAAAGCCTATCGAACGCGCACGACAGATACGTGGATATACGTATTCTGGGCGGCCCAAGCTACCTCCACATAGTGCGTCCGCCTACCCCAATAGTACGGTTCTACGATCCGTGCCCAGGTCCACGACGCTGCAGACCACCAGTCTGAGTCTGTAACCCGTTCTTGTTGCGTCTGCACTTGTGGTTTTCGACCAGTGGTTAGGGATCCCCGAGCCTAGAAGCAAAGTTTTTCGGTGCTCTCTTCTACGGAAGTTCTTTCGGCTCCTTTTCCAATCTCGCGGCACGTCGAGGCTCGTCCGCATATTCCATACGGTGAGAGCAAGCCAAGCACCAATTATGTATCCCGTAACAATAGGTAGGCAGGACTGCATGGTTTGCTTGTAGGACATCTTGATGTAGCAAGGCTTTTCACCCCTTAAACACCACGTATCTTCGTCTTTCATGATTCCCATTTGCAAATCGCCGGTTTCGTCTATCCGAGCCCTGGCATCAGGTATTTGGACACTGGTCTGTACCTGACACGGATGTACAAGTTCAAGTCCCCTCCATCTTCCAGTCGTGAGGAAGGGGCTTTGGAGGCCCGAGCTTCTCGGCAATCCTCCATGTTTCCACTGATCAACCAACATCCTACCACTAACAGCCCGCAGAAGATCCATGCCTCCCCGTCAAGTCTGTCATTCAAAATAGAACACGTACGCCGACTGGCTGGTGATTGCTCGGTACATTCTCCAAAACAGAATGGCTTGGACACGACATCAGTGAGATTGGTGATCGTCCCGCCAGCAACATTCTGACAATGATACCTCGAATTCAATGATGCGATATGACTTGCTTCCGACATACCAAGACCAGTGAGACGGATGTCGCTTTTCAACGCATCATTGGGGCACCTTACACAGGCTTGTCCCACCAACCTAGACAAAGGCTAGAGCCAGCCTGTCCATCCAGAATGCCAATGGCCTTGCACGACGTTGGCACGGCCGGACTTTCCGGCGACTGGTACGATGAAAGTTTGCACCCCTCACGGACCTGCCAGATCCATAGAATTCGTCCTGACACGGATACAGAGGAGCAATATAGGTAAGCTAGCGGCCATCTCTGGCTGCAGGAGAGCGGACTGGGCAATGGCTCCCCTCTCGTAATCCGCAGGACCAATTATCAAGCAGCGTGCAGGCTTGGCCAGCTTATATCAAGATTTTGCATCCTTTTGAAAGCACACAAGTTCGGGCTTTTTTTGCACGCTACTCGCACATACATACCTACATGTTCGGGATGGGTTTGCTTCCGGTACACACCACATCCTTGGCCATGCACCTCAGCCTGTTTCGCGCACCGCGCCTGTCGTGGGTTTGGAAGGCGGCTGCTGGTCGGAGATCGGGTTCGTGCTCCCTCGTTCACGATTCGACTCATGTTCGCCCTGTCTAGGATGTTTCGCTCATCCTCAATCGCATCACCCATATTCTTGCCTTGTCTCGGTTGGCATCACTTTCTATCGAATTCTCCCTGCGATTGCAATAGGCAAAGTAACTACCTAGGCATGCTTCAGCCACCAATCGAGGTTCAAGCAGCCAGCCTCGGGCTGATTGTTGCAGTGGAAGCACGGCGGGTAGGGGAACCGATCTCGATCATACCCCCTCACGGCGCAAGTGGCGGGCGGTAGTCGAGCACCCAAATGGCTGTTTAGCGGCTGCATCTGCCAGCGGATGGTGCCTTGGCGAAGAGGCCGAGGGAGCAGAAACCAAAACCTTGGCATCCGACCTTTCCCTACCTCAACCCGGCAGGCCCTTTCAATCTTACCTTTTTTTTTCCCTTTCTTTCTCGATTCTTTCCTGAAACTCTGGGCACTCTGTAAGGGAAGGTGCTGCGGCACCTGGCATCCAGAACATGGAACCGTCATCCCGGCCAGCCGTTATCCCTTAGACTTCCGAGCCCAGACTCCGAGGCTCTGCGTCAGCTCGTGGAGCTTTGCTTGCCCTTTGACACCCTGAACTTTTTTTGGTCTTCCTTTCTTCGCTGGCGTTTTGGACAACTTGAGACGACGCAGCGTATCCGGGTTCTCCCATGGCAGGTTTCCAGGGTTTCGAGAATTTTGCTCGCCTTACTTTTGGGCCGCCATTCTTTGGAAACTCTAGTTGATTGAATTGAGTTGGTCTGATCGTTCGCGACTAAGGCCGCACTGCACTGACTAAATGACTTCATTCATGTCGAGAGTAAGTTTTTCTTCTCAGACGAAACGTGCGGAAGAATTGGTGGGGGGCAGAAAGCTGACTGCCGCGTCCGGTTGCGGGACCGACAGGTTCATGTATACGACCCTTTGGAGGGCCAACTGGCGGCGGTCTCTGGATAATGTGAATGGCATCAGCGGACATGCATGGCAGCCTGCTCTGCTGTTGTGAATCATTTAGTATCTAATGTGAATGTATTTCGCGTTTCCTTGTGTTGAGTTTTGGGGCATCACTGTTACTGGTTCGGGATCGTGCTGCTCCTCTTCCGGCCCGTAAGCGGAAAAGATGATACTCGACTGGAATCGGACAACTTGAAGTTGGCTGTTTGAGGGCAGATTTGACTTGCCCGGTCGTTTCGTACGCTAGCGCCCTGTACTTGAGGAGGCGGCGACGACGACGAATCGTATGTATAGTTGCTAGCCTCCCTACAAAGGTAGTTCAAAGGGTGCTCTGTGGTTTGCTCGAAGCAGTTGTAGAGTTTAAACCTACGTTGGTTTGGCTTCCGAGTTACTATTTCCACGTCTCGAGTTATTGCTTATCCTAACCGCCCAACTGCTGGATGGACTGAGCAGGGCAGTCTTTCACCTCTATAGACACCCTCCTTTTCGTCTTCACTCTCAGTTTGTTGACTGTCAATCTTGGGGCTGTCGTCCCTGTTCTCACCGGCTTCCCTGGTCCATGATCTCTCTTCGACGTTGGGGCGGCGAAAGCAGGAAACGAGGGTTAAGGGGAAGCTGCAGGAGCGGGCCAGAAGTAAGGGGTGCGCTCAACTACGTCCATTTGCGCTGTTTCTCCGTCCACCATTATACATTGATACGACTGTAATACGGAGAGACCTCTTAACCCTGGAATGGTTGATGGATGTCGCTACCCCTGGAAAGGTGAACGTTGACACCAGCTGGTGTTAGTACAAGCAATGCACATGTCTTGACTTCTTCAAAGACAACAGCTTAAACCACATCTCACCGCTTTACCCTGTGATGCTGGTGGCCTTGCCCTATATCGGGGCAAATAGTAAAGTGATGTGTGTTTCAGCACAGTTGAGATGGTGATGGGACCTATCCGCGATCCTTCACCTTGGGGTTGAGGATCCGTAGCATGGCCCGCACAAGAATCTCGACGAGTATCTTTCACCTTCAACAGCACGATACAGAGCATTGGCAAACCATGTAGACCTGGACGTGATACCGAGCGTGCCCTCGCAGGTGAACCTGACGCTCGTTTGATACATCCCCCTATGGCGACCTTAAGGCAACAGACACTTTAGGAGAGGCTGTCGCGATCAGGGAACTTGCACTAACGAAGACACTACACCGCGCGAGATATAGAGAGTTCTACAGTCTTATTATTTCGACCGTCGGGCAAACTCACAGGGGAACCTCGGCTCATCAGCACGAACTTCGGTGTCTGGATAGGATATTCAACACCGATGAATGTTTCTTCTTCGGGGTGTTAGCTCCCTGGAGCAACATGTACCTGTCCCAGTTATGTTACTGTGAAACCTCTCACAGGCTGGCTTGCTTGTCTGACACGTCCAACTCCTTCTTTTAGTGTAGGCAACCATGAGGAAACCCCGAGAGGAGCGATGCTATTGTAGTGAAGCATACGGGACGGGCTCGCGATAACGTCGTCAATGGAGAGCGGGGAACCCTAGAAATTATGCTAAGGAACCTATGAGCCCCTCGTCCGGCCAGTCAGAAGACCTTTATTCAAGACACTGAAGGCACGACGTGTACAACGATGTATCAAGGCCCTCTTATGTACCGTTCTTGTCATCAGTTACTGATAGTCTATGACTACGCCAGGGAATGAGGACGAAGGGTACGACGGGGACGACAACGAAGAAACGACCATGGCGCCGACGCCGGAGAATGCCATACGCGCAGCGAAAGAGCCATACAAGACGGAGCAGGTCAACGACCAGGGTTTGCCCATCAACACCGCCATGCTTCCAGTTCTGAACCACGCGAAGATCGAGAAAGTCATGTGGCAAGTGGCCGCGTACGGTCAGTGGGTGGAGGAGCACAACAATGACGTGACCCAATGGATCACCATTCACGGTCGCAACGACACCATTGACCAAATAATCGTCAATGACATGAGTGCCCTCGCGCTTAAGGACCTGCTCATCGGTATCTCTACTAAATATCCAACAGGAAGTAGAGTCGACATACTACATCCCCACATCCGAGCCGGATGTCGTACTTGTACACTTGTAAGTCCGTTTCATTACAATTATCAAATTGTCATGTAATTACTGTTCTCACAACACCGTCCCGCAGCTTCTTTCCCCGTAACATGTGATGGCCACCGTCGGTAGATGGAAACTATACTATACTGTCATAGACAGTAAACAGATTCAGCTATGTCGTACAGAGTCGAAGTAACTTGATCGTCCGATGGACGATGTGGGATGATGTAGGACAACGGTGGCTCGTAGTGGCTACTGCAGTGACGATCAACGTGCCTCCGCAAGTTTTTAGAGACGTATGCCGAGCACGACACCACGTCTCAGCAAGGTAGGTATAATATTATGAAGCATGACAGGCAAGCCCTTGAAAGAAAAATATAATCCGGTGTTCACTTACTGCTTAGGACGTCGTTGTTCCGTCACCCACCTAGTCAGGATTTCACTTGGGATCGTAGTTCGTGGAACTATCCAGGTCCCGATGTGCGAGCACGACGAACGAGGAGCCCGAAAAGTCGCCCCAAGCCGAGCGCCGGCAGATCTGCCGGCGCGGAAAAGAGGGAGGCTTGTCACGGGACGGGGCCGATCCTCCGGGGCTCCGCTACCTCACGCGTGCCTCGCAGTGACCCTGACGTCACCTGCCTTGTGTTCGTCTCACAGAATCACAATTTCAGAAACTCAAACTCGAGAGGAGAATCTTGGTTTGATCACACCCGTGATCCTACCACTTCCAGTGTGAGATGCGGTGTGGTCGCCCCGACGGCTTGATATGTATGACCAGGGCAAGGGCAGACTTTCCCCAGCTTCCCCGGATCGCACAGTCCACATGTGGAAAAAAAACCTAAGATAACCATATCAGCATCATATGATGCGATGGGCGGCATGTCACTGGGCCTGGACTGATGGACATGGACCACATGGACAATAGTAGAGGTGGCAGGACAGGAATGGGAGGCTTTGGGACTGCTCTCGCAGCAAGACATTTGGACTGAGACTGGGACGAGCCGTATGATGTTGATCAAGAAGGCCGAAATGGAAGTTGTGCAAAAACCATTGAATACCGTCGCTGAGCCATGTCTTTTAAACACCTGACATTAATGCCGCCCGATCTACCGTTCGTCGTTATCGCGTATGTGTAGCCGGCCAGCAAAAATCAAGTATGTTGATTTTTTTTCATTTCCCGTCCTCGAGCCCCCAAGCATACGAGGCTACTCTTCAACCCGTACACAGAAAAAAAAGAACTCTCCTTCTTTGCCGAATCACGCAGAATTCATATTCCCATGTCTCAGTTGAAAAAAGGGGAGAGGGTATTTCCCGGCGGGGTGTGCGTTTCGCCTCATGTGTGGTTGTTTGACGAGTTTGATTTGATGCCTTTTTTAGCAAGCAAGGCACTGTGCTCTTGCCCTTGCCTTGACCGATGCAACCAATTCAGAATCCATCCTCAATACCAACTCCGTCCGATGAAGAGGGGCCGTTTTTTAAATCGACGAGGGGTAGAGCATCACGCGAACGGATGCGCCGAAAGAGCGGGTGGGGAGGGGGTTGGAGAACTTGGCGCGGACGACGCCAGAGTTGCCTATTCATTCGTATTAGCTGGGAGAGCTCGAGATATCGTGGGTGTTTCGATCGGAAGGGAGGACTATATTTACCGTGAGGGCGGGTGACCTTGCCCCAGATGACGCGGATCTTAGAACCGCGGACCTCCTTCTGAGCCTTGTAGACGTAGGCGATCTTCTTGCCGAGGTAGAAGCTACTCGCAGGTTAGCGATCGATTGAGGTCGACAAGCGGGATAGGGCGACATACTTGGCGGCGTTGGTGTCATCAACTCCCTCGATCTTGATCAGACTCGTCTTGGAGTGGGTGACGTGACGGCTACGCTGGTAGCTGAGGTGACGTCCCCTGGAAGTGATTGTTAGTCTCGGTTCATTCGGTCTGCGCATCGTCGGCTCGTCGGATAGGATGTCTCGAGGGCATTCAGGGTTTCGTCGGATCGATCCACGAATGCGTGGTCGGTCGCGGGAAAAGGGGATTTCGGTTTTGCAACTTACTTGACGTATACTGCGGAAAATCAGAGTCAGCTCAGATTCAAGAAAACGAGAGAGCAAGTTAGGCGATGTGCCGAGCGCGCAACGCCCGTCGATGTCGAGATCGTCCAGGGCGACTGCGCGGCTTCAATCCACATCGCCAAACTTTGCTTCGAGGTTGTTGGGGCAAACAACTCACATCTGTGACCGGCTTCCGAAGGCATTTTGGCGGTGGTTAGTATTCCTCGCTCCAACCAGAAGGGACTCGAGAAAGGAAAGTCAGAGGATGTCTTCACGAAAAAAGACTGGTACTCTGGTCGACGTCGGTTGGGTGCTTCGTGAATATTGCAGGCGGCTCTCGATAGGCTCAACACTGATGCGGAAAGGAAGGTAGGGTAAAGTGACCCTACCTGCCACATGAATTTTTTACCGAAATCTGAGCCGGCCAATCAGGGCACATGTCGGCGCTTATCTCAGCAGCCCCCTTACGTGGGGCTGCCAGATAAGATTATCCACCCCGCGCCACAGTTAAGGTCACGTGGTGGGTATGGGCTCGGTGGTGTGGCTTTGCAGGTTTCGAAGCCGGCGCGAAGACAACGCGCCCCGCGTCCCGTACATTTGCCGAGTGAGTGCACGCGGATGTGGACTTTGCGTTTCTCGGCCAGTTCGGCTTCGATACAGCTGCTGACCGGGGCCCCGTCTGGCCTAGGCGCATCTCTGCCGCCATTCAGTCCACACTGACCGCCCTCGCACCTTCATTCGCCCGAAGTCTTGCACTTTCGGCGGATAAGACATCTCGATCGACTGAGAAAATGTCCGTCCATGACAAATGGGTGCATTATGTCGCGATGCATTCGCAAAACATCATCTGTCTTGTCGTCGAGCATCACCCCAATCCGAGGATTTGTGCGACCGTTTGCTCAGAGATAAACCCATCTCTTCAAAACGTTTGAATAACGACGATTACCTACACACCTTACTATAGAGAAACACAAACTCGGAAACAGATGCGCGGCTGGGCCGGAGGTCCAGAATCGTTCAGGGTACCTGTGGGAGCTTGGGCGCCGAACCCGCGGAGTTGTGAGACAGTTGCTGGGCCGGCTCTCCAGCAAGTCCGGTGTCCCAGATACAACCCAAGGCCTGAATCTCGCGGGACTTCCTGAACAGGCTCAGGCGTCTCTGGAACCCAAAACAACAAAACAAAAAGAAAGATGGAGGGAGGAGGGGAAAGACACGATCTCACAACCACGCAGGAAATGTCTCAATCAGTTTCCCGCTAAAAACGCATCGGCCGACCTGTGTTCTGGTATTTTCGGATCTTTGGATTAAGAGCCGACGAAGACCGATCCGTGGGGGGAAGGCCCTGGAAGGGGAGCGACTCCGGAGATGTACTCAACTGCTTGGGCGGCGGCCGTGGTAATAAATGACCGGCGTTGGGTGAGCCACGAGCTGCAACGATTGGAACGCCTCGAAGAGGTGGGCATGCGGCAATTTCTGGCCGCCAAACTCTGCCAATTTCCAGCAGTCTGCAGCAGAGCTTCATGCTACAGTTGCATTGGCCAGGCCGGCGCGAGGATGGAGCTTGCCATGGAGACTTGACAGACCCCCGCGGTGACAGCATCGGAGTTGATGGGGGAGCAAAAGGGAGAGAGGGAAAGGAAATGCTTCCAAGCATATCCGCTTGCCGCCGCCATGCAGGCCAGACAGATATGACTCTCCAATGCAACTGGACCCGACGATACAGGTAAGAGTGACAGATTTCGTTGCTACGGAGCACCGTTTCACACAGGCTGGCCGACCCACGCTCGCTCCCACCAGCTCTCGCAGATTCCGCCCGCCCTTTTCTCAGGAAGACGATCTCACAAACAGCAAAGTCCGATCGGGAGGCTCGGTGGTGTCCGGCGTTTGGGATGGGAAGGACTGGGACTACCGTCGCAACAGCTGGAGCCGGCGATGGAGCCCAAGCCAAGATCCAGATTACTCAATGCTGGGCGGTTCAAGGCGTTGGACCCTTTTTGGGCCCTTGCTATGCGCCCGCCTGAGGTCATAAGGGTGGATGTTGACGGAGTGACTGATCACTGGAGTTGCTAGGTTGTGTCCAAGGGCCGCGAATCCCGCACGTCTGCGTGTGCATTGGAGAGCCTGTGCCGTGGGCTGAAGGCTGCGCTGCCTGCTGGCCGACAGAGGCACACGGCCTTTTTTACGTCCCTTCTTTTCCTCTGATTATTTTTGGTTTTCTGGAGCTCCGGTGCGCTCTGACAGGCGTTGGTTCAACAGTTCTGCTGTCGCCTGCATAACAAGGTACCTGGGCGCCTCCTCAGCCAAGGTACCTGAGCTGCTCGAGAGGTGCTCTTCTGAGCAGGGGTCCTGGCATTCACCGGGTAGGTACTATGTATTGCCTTCTTCACCAACGTCGCCTCGAGACCTTGCGAGTGCGGATCGTAGACTGAAGAATGGCTGCGGCTGGCCTAGGATGATAGTATAGCGACGCTTGCATGCGAGGACCTACACGGAACAGTTTGGCCGTAGTCGTGCTTTGTAATTCGATCCGGCGGAGAGACAGACCCTTACCAGTCTGCTTACAAGTTAGTGACGGAGGGATTGCCTTTGTGCATCGAACCCAATTGCCCACCGTCTAGTCCTATGCCGTCAGCGCCGGGCGAATCAAGGCGACAGTGGGCATGACTGACTCTGTGCACGCTGGAGCTATGCCAGGAAGCTTTGACTGCCAACCAGTTTTGAGGGATCTGCTCTTGCTCATTGGCACTGCTGATGGACGGTGGACGCGCAGAGCTTAAAACCGATAGATACGTGTGAATCTCCGGTGGCCGCTCAACATTTCATCGACAAGACCGAGGAGTGCCCCTCCTTTCCCCCCCTCCATTGACATCAACCCTGTTCAAGTCCCGGATCCAGGCCGGCAAGATGAAGTAGAATATCCCGGCGACATGAACGAGGGGCCCGTCTTCCCAAAGAAGCACCGAAACCCTCTGGAAAAATTCATTGATGCCCGCCTGCTCACTAATCCTTCGTCCGTCTCCGTGCGCTCAGCTCCTGGCTCTCCACAGCTCCGTCGACGACAGTCCGGAGAGAGCGGGCGCTGTGTAGAAAAGCAAGGCTCACCTGTGCCAACCCATCTCGCAGCCGACTTGACTTGCACCTACCCACTTGCCTACCGAGGGAGGCTTACCCACCGACTCATTCGCTTCCAAGCGCAAAAAGGCGAGCCGCGGTGCGTTTGCAGGAGCTCGCGAATTCGACAAGTACCCGAGTACAGTACCTCCCACGCTACTGCGTAGTGAGGGAACACCAAGAAAGGGCCTTGCGACTGTGAGTAAGCTCCCCCTGGCCTCCCGTCTTGCTTGGTCAAACCCCGCCTGCGCACGCTAGGGGCGGTACGTCGACCTAATCGCAGGCCAAGTACCTTTTTAGCTTCTAGCCCGTCTCGTCTAGCAGCGACTTTGTACGGTACCCGTCCCAAAGCCCCTCTCCTTCCACGCTTGTGTCTCGCTGTGGTGACAGGTGCGTACCCGTAGACTACTCCGATTCACACAGGCTGTACCCATACCTCTCCGCCGCGCACCCCTACCTCGAAGGTGAGGTACATCTGTGCTTCGTCATTACTAAATACCCCAATCCATCCGTCCCGGATCCCGCCCAGTATCTCTTTCCAAAACCTTCCCATCTCGCTCTTCTGCCTTTCTGCTTGCTGACTTGGTTTCCTGCTGTAGAGGCATATCCATCCCCTTTCTCTCCTACACCTCTCATACCAAAAGAACTGTCATAGTCGAGCCACTTCATCACCGACTTCCTTCACAATGGCCGACCACAGCTCCGCCGCAGCGTATGTCACCCCGCCTTCCTCACCCCACCAAGATGCTTTTGCTGTTCGCTGCGACTCTGGAGTCTCGCCCAGCATCATCGACTGCTCGGAAATAGACAGTGTCCCGAGAGCCGCAATCGCAATAGACCTCATTTTCTCCTCAAACTCAAGTTTGGCTGACTCGGGCGCGTTTCCCACAGTTCCATGGAGCTCAAGGACAACACCGTCATCGTTGTTCTCGGTGCCTCCGGAGATTTGGCGAAGAAGAAGACCGTACGCAATCAGAACGCCTCCATGATCTGGCACTTTGCTGACCTTTTCCCAGTACCCTGCGTTGTTCGGCCTGGTACGATCTCCTGGCCCGCACCGAGATGCCATACCCGCGGACTTGGCGAGCTAACCCGCGCAACTAGTACCGAAACCAGTTCCTCCCCAAGGACATCAAGATTGTCGGATATGCACGGACAAAGATGGACCATGAGGAATACATCCGTCGCATCAGATCCTACATGAAGACCCCCACAAAGGAGATTGAGCAGCAGCTCAATGATTTCTGCAACCTCTGCACCTACGTCTCCGGCCAGTACGACAAGGACGACTCATTCCTTAACCTGACCAAGCACCTCGAGGAGCTTGAGCAGGGCAAGCCCGAGACTCACCGTCTCTTCTACATGGCGCTCCCCCCAGTGTCTTCACCATCGTGTCTCAGCACCTGAAGAAGTGCTGCTATCCTACCAAGGGTATTGCACGCGTCGTTGTAAGTGTCGCCGCCTGTATCCCTAGTTGGTTACGGATGCGCTGACCTGGTGACAATTGCAGATTGAGAAGCCCTTCGGCAAGGACCTTGCCAGCTCCCGCGAGCTGCAGAAGTCTCTTGAGCCCGACTGGAAGGAGGAGGAGCTCTACCGCATTGACCACTACCTCGGCAAGGAGATGGTCAAGAACATCCTCATCCTCCGCTTTGGTAACTCCTTCTTCGGCTCTACCTGGAACAGGCAGAACATCGATAATGTCCAGATCACCTTCAAGGAGCCCTTTGGCACTGAAGGCCGTGGCGGCTACTTCGACGAGTTCGGCATCATCCGCGATGTCATGCAGAACCACTTGCTGCAGGTTCTCACCCTGCTCGCCATGGAGCGCCCCATCTCTTTCGCCTCTGAGGATATCCGTGACGAAAAGGTGCGCGTCCTCCGCGCCATGCCCGCCATTGAGCCCAAGAACGTCATCATTGGCCAGTACGGCAAGTCTCTGGACGGCAGCAAACCGTCGTACAAGGAGGATGACACCGTTCCCAAGGACTCGAGATGCCCCACCTTCTGTGCCCTCGTCGCCTACATCAAGAACGAGCGCTGGGATGGCGTTCCTTTCATCATGAAGGCCGGTAAGGCCCTGAATGAGCAGAAGACCGAGATCCGAATTCAGTTCAAGGACGTTACCTCGGGTATCTTTAAGGACATTCCCCGTAACGAGCTTGTCATGCGCATTCAGCCTAACGAGAGCGTCTACGTCAAGATGAACTCCAAGCTTCCCGGTCTCAGCATGCAGACTGTCGTCACCGAGCTTGACCTGACCTACCGCCGTCGCTTCTCCGACCTCAAGATCCCAGAGGCCTACGAGTCGCTGATTTTGGACTGCCTCAAGGGCGACCATTCCAACTTTGTCCGTGACGACGAGTTGGATGCCAGCTGGAGAATGTTTACTCCTCTGCTGCACTACCTTGACGACAACAAGGAGATTATCCCCATGGAGTACCCTTACGGTGAGTGTTTGTCTATTTCTTATGTTTGGCTCAGTTGCTAACTCGCCCGCAGGATCCCGTGGACCTGCTGTCCTCGATGACTTCACCTCTTCTTATGGCTACAAGTTTAGTGACGCGGCTGGTTACCAGTGGCCCACAACCTCTGCTCAGGCCGCCCCCAACAAGTTGTAAGTCATGTTGCGCGCGCGTGTAGCGTAGCTACCTTACATAGACGAATTGATTCTAAATGATGTTATGAACAGCTGAGCACACACTATCATACCACTCCACACAAAAAAAACATCACGCCTCGGCCATTGTACCCGCGATATCCCCTGCGCCGCTGCCTCTGCTGTGTGCGCAACGTATTATATCCATCGAAGGGAGGGCATAGATCCCAAAAACGACATAAACAAGGGAAGCCAGGGGGAACACCCATGGGTGAATACTGGTAGGACGATGGAACTTTCTTCGCTTTGCTTGGCCGGGTCAGGGAGGATAGAAAATCAATGAGATTCACGTTTCCAATGACAAACTGTTTGTTCTGAATTTGTTTCTCTGAGATTTGGAAAATGTAGACGTTATGCATAGGACTCACAGAGATCCAGCAATGTGAATGTGTGAGTGACGTGAGAGCTCCAGTTGCGCTGCTGGCGAGTCATTCATGACTGAGGTACCGCAATACTCTGTACCAAGACAAACGTCATTATTTGGGGCTCTCCGGTTCATTCGGCCGGTTTTTATGCGTTCAGTCTTACTCAAGTTCTAGTCTTTGACAAACCATCCAATGTGATTCTATGATAAAAAACCAAATCAAAAAAAATCTTGAAAGCGTCAGCCTCGAGGAGTGTAGCACTCTGTTGACCATGTCCCCCATCGAAATACCCACCTACTATGCAGTGACATGAGACAGTGGGCATCGCTAGAATGAGATCACTATCCAAAGGGTGATAGAGCTTCCTGGTGACGAGTCGATAAGATAAGGTTAATTGGTTAGGTACGGTTCAACTCGGTCGCCAGGGGACCCGTAGCCGGGAATGGGCGACTTTATTGGTAGAGGTCACATGACACACCAGCCGGATGAACAGCAGGGACAATCGACCTGCTGGAGCCTGCCCGAGAAAAATGCAGAAGGCTCGGGTTGCACCTTGTCCTCGTTTCCGCTCTGCTTGTCTGGCTGGCTGCACGCTCTCCCCATCGCATCACCACCCTCCCAATTGTCAGGCAGCCGAACATTCGATCGTTTTTTGCGCCCTTCCCAACCAGCGCCGTCCCGGCGCCCTTGCACTTCGATTTCTCCGCCCGGCGACTTACTCTCGACGGGGTATTTGCCGACTAAATCCCGACATCGATACCGCGTTTCCCCCCATCAACGATCGACGCTAGGTCGTATCCTCGGATTGCGATCTAATCGCGTCTTCACGACACCACGCTTGCGCTTGCGGACCACGTACTTCGACGATCAAACGACACAATCCCGCATCGCGTCTCGCCTGGTAACTTCAGTCGCTCGGTTGATGCGATTGCGCTACCCTGCCGGCTTGCGCATCCGGCGCCGATGACTGCATCCCGTCTCATAGCCACTTAGCAACGGGATCGGCCCTTTGACATCCTCCGTCGCTCATCCGTTACGACCTCTTGGACGGCCGAAGTCCTGTAATCTTTCAGAAAGGATTAACGCCAGCCCGTATTTTGGGGGCCGGTCGTGAGGCAGGCAACGAGGCAGGAAGGGCCCTCCCCCGATGCCTGGAATCGTCAACATGGAGAATGGAGGTTTGAATGGCACACACCCGAATCATGACAGAAACCTGAAGGCCAACGGCATCAATGGTGGAAAGATGGAGGGCCAAACATCGCCGAACAAGGGCAAGGCTCCGGCCGATATCCCGACGTCAGACAACATGACGAACGGCGCCCCCGACTCGCAAGACAAGCAGCAACCCCAAATGTCTACCGGACTCACATTGCAGCAAAAGCCGAGGATGAACGACCTACCTGAGGAAATCGTGCACATTACACAGGGATACATCCCCTTGTCCATGATCGTCTCGCGACTTGCGCAGCGCACTCACGAAGACTTGCAGAAAACGATCATGGAGATGGCGGCCATCAAGTGGGCGCCGCCTGCTGTGAACGGAAATACACCCCACGGTACCGACGCACCGGACGATATGTCGGAAGGAAACAAGAGAAGGAAGATGCTCATGCTCAAGTTTGCTCAAGATGCGCACTCCAAATGGGTCAAAGCCCTTGTCATCACGGACTGGAGCAGGAACGCAGAGGCTGTGAGCAAGCTCATCGACATCAAGGCGCACATCGACTCCAAGCGGATGCTATTCGACTTCTGCCAGGACTTGTTGATCGACTTGAAGCGATCCCTTATTTCTGCGCGGCTCCCTAATCCTGATCTGAAGACTGCCTTACAGGTTCTGACGACTGGTGAAGCGTCATGGATTCCCGAGGTCAGCTTACCCTATTGTACTTGAGAACTATCTGCTAACACTCCTCAGCCGGGTTACATTCCGCCGCCACCCTTGACACCGGAGGAGCAGTTGAAGTGGATCGACGATCTTAACACTATGCTGTCTCTGCGCCTGAACCTAGACGACTACGACAAGATACCGTATCAGTTCAAGAATTATACCATACAGTCGGGCAGAGTCACTTTCAAGGTGAAGGGCGAGTTTGAAGTGGATCTGACCATCGCCGATGAGGACTTTACGAAGCAATTTTGGTTCATCGACTTCCGATTTGCCTTTTCGCCTTCCTCGAGCAAACTTTCCGATGCGCTGGTATCATACCTTGAAATAAGGGTCAACGAGATTCTGGGCCAAGACGGCTTGGAGGGGTGCTATCGATTCCTCCATGAGTTCGTCCTCACTCACAAGATCAATGAACTCAGACGACAAGCCATCGAGTTGAGTCGCAGCACGTGGACCGGAACGTTGATGGTAGAACCCCTTAACCGAGCTTTGGCCCTTCAATACTGGACCACTCGGTACGGACCCAACGGGCCCAAGAGCTGGGTCATGGTTGCTGTTAACAGTGCCAAAAAGACCAACGGCCAGACCGACCCAAAGCATTCCAGTCGATTGGTTGCGCGATGGTACCGGGACAACAAGGAGGTCAAAGACGTGTTTCTGCCATTCGATGTTGACAACCTGTGCGCTGAGGATCTGCTCAAGACTGCTGTCGCCAGACACGTGGAGCACATTCTCTCTTCCATTCACACCAAGCTTTTGTCATATCCGCGGTTCATGAAGAGGGAGTCCTCCATGACACTCAAGATCTCACGTACAGAGCCGATGGAATCATGTCTCAGCATGCAACTGGGCTCGCGAGACAATGTCACCCTCGTTATACAACCGGTGACCGGGTTTGCGGCTATCAAACCTCATACAAGGTACTCTCTCACCGGCGAGAACCGACTCAACTACGGTGGCAAGGATCCTGCCGAGGATGGCGTTACCTGCCTAGAAAACATCAGGTGGGGCTATGTCATCGAAGAGTTCAACCGCAGGGGACGGAGCGTGGGCTGGAAGGGTTGCAAGAGCCCAATTGGAAGTGAAGACATCAAGCAAATCATTCGCACTCGGGAGGCTTTCCAGACCATCTTCCTGCAGCGTCAAAGTCTAGGCCAGGAATGGTATGTCATGGTATCCTTGAGCCTGAGTGGGGACGAATGGTGGTTGCTTGAAGTGTAAGTTTGCCCCCTGAACACTGCTGTTCATAGCGCTTGACTGACAAATACAGTGACCGCAGCACGCCGGCACGTCCAGTCAAGTTCCAAACCAAATTAGAGCTCACTCGAGGACAACCCGACCTGGACGACTCCTTCTGGTCGAATTTGACCCTCTTCGTTACTGGCATTATTACTCAGGCCACTGATCTGGAAGATTTGCACCAAAAGGAGGTTAAGTACCTGACCAAGGAATCGACAAATTACTCATTACCGCAACAAGTCCGGCTCCCGTCTCTTATTCTCAAACTGTCGCAGATATTGCGATCGCCAGAGACAAGTACACAGAATGCATCCAAGGCTGCCCAAAATCAGAGGGGCAACCGCAATTCATCTTGGGCTCAAGATCAAATCGAAGTCAAGTTCAAGGGGCTTCAACCTCAATCTTCACTCAGCCATGGCCCAGATGGCAACGCCCTCTCGGGTGTCGATGTACTTGAGAATATCCAACTCAATACTGTGGTGGACGCCACTGTAAGAGTCAAGGACAAGACGAAGTTTGCGCTACTCAAGGGTCGCATCGATCGGGACGTAACTTTCAATCCCAAGAAGGGCGAGTTCATTTTCCGGATTCGCCAATCAGTCGGGCAACCTATCCTGGAGACTTTGACAACCCACGTCAAGTCCATTGATCGCCTCGTAGGCTTCCTCGAGGCCATGGGCAAAGCACGCGGAGACGTCAAGTGTGAAAGAGTCAGTCTTCGGCAAGTCATCTTCACATACAGCGACATCACAATGCCTGGCGAAAGCGACACCATACAAAAGCCCAAGCGTTGGCGGGTATCCCTCGACTTGGCCAAGAGCGATATCCGAATGTGCTTGGAAAGGGGGAATCCGCACGTGAGAGTACTCGACTTGCTCACAACACTCGTCAACACTCAAGATGGTCTCAAAGCATTACTGATCTATATGCCGTTATTGCTGCCCATCCTAAGAACTCTGGACAACATCGAGTCGAAGTGGGAGCCGTTGGCAACAACGAACCAAGGGCGCTTGGAGATATTTGCAAGGTCCATCGATTGGATCGCTCTTCGTTACACTCTCCCTGGATTGAACGGCCAACCGCGAATCCTCGTCCTGGAAATCAGAAGCAAATTGCGGCGCAGTGAGGTATGGTGGAATTTCTCCCGTACGACCCCGGGCGGGCCACCACCCCCGATGAAGAGTTCAACAGGGTCTTGAAGGGGATCTGGGAATCCCACGGCGATGGATGGAGGGGTCTTATGACGGGCGCAGCTGCCTTGCCCGGACCCAGCACCATGGAGCTGCTTACGAAGCTCGACGACACTGTACGAGCATATGCTGTGACCAGTGACATCAGCGAAGCACCATCCACACAGGGGCACAAACACAACCGAGCCAGACATTCTCGGCAAACCAGTCTTTTGGCACGCAGCCCACTAGCGTGAGCCAGGGAAGCAACAGGAGCAGCGGAGGAAGCAAGCAGGCGCCTCTGGTGCTCGACTAAGATACTGATCCCGGTGTTCAATATCGGCATCAGAGCAAGCAGGCAAAGGGAGGACTCGATGTGGGCTGGGGCAACTCGCAGCCCAGAGGCGTACATACCTGACGAGCGAGCAGGGTGGATGACGCCACTTGTAATTTTCTTTCGATTCTTCCTCTATCATTATTGGCGTCGTGATACCAAGGGAAGGGTATACAGGACAAGGAAGGACGCAGATGGCGCGGAGAGCGCGCAAAGATGGTGCTTCTAGAGAAGGCCAACCGCCCCTTGACCAGCAGATGGTCGCAAAGATACCTCAAAATAAACATGTAAACTTGTCAACGCTGGTGGTCTTCAGTACCGCATGGTCTCCGATCCAGTCACTTCCGTTGACAGAGTACACTACGTGATTCGATCTATCCATTTTCCCCCCACCCGTATCCGTGAATCCTCTATACTTTTTGTGTTTCGTATGGTACAAGCGGAGCGTATAATACAGTCGTGTCTCGGGGAAAGAGAGCTCCTCGCGCCCCTCATCGGAGGTAGTTCCTCCACCCAATCTTCTCCTCGATGTCGCGCCCGATGGACCTCAAGTGCGCCCGCGGCACCTGGAACAGATCCGTCTGGTGACTGCGGAACTGCGCGAGACCGGTGTCGCCGACGTGCGACTGCGGCGACTGGGCGACGGCCGCGGCCACGTCGTAGCCGGCGCGGATGCCGCCCGTGACGCCGATGCTCGTGTACGACCCGCCCGCGACGGCGAGCTTCCCGCCGTAGGCCGCGTACAGCTCGTCGGCGGCGCGGGCCATGCGGTCCCCGTGGCCGACGTGGTGCTGCGGGATGCAGTCCTTGGCGAGTCTCGCCATGGCGAAGGCGGGTTGGGTCTTGGGGATGCCGAGGTGGCGCTCGAGGACGGACTTGGCCATCTCGATGCCTTCCTCCTCGGTCGGGTACGAGGCGTACTCGTCCCAGTAGTGGCCGCCCATGAGGACGAAGAACTTGGTGCCCTCGGGTTCCGACGGCGCGCGGGGCACTACGTCCGAGTCGAAGAAGACGCCGAGGAGGCCCTCCGGGTTCGAGTCGACGGCGCGCGGGACGAGGTAGCCGACGCCTGGGTGGGAGGCGTTCAGGCCAGGCTGCGGGTACCAGAGGTTGACGGCCATGATGGAGACGTTGGGGGAGCGGGCGAGGGAGGGCAGGGCGCTGTTGGTCGCGGCGGCCAGGGTGTTGCTGGTGGTTGTGGAGATGACCTTGTCGAATTTGGCCGGGGATTTGGAGTTCTTTGTTGAGAGCTGGGGAGTATGTTAGGCGACCGAGAGTATTGGACTCCAAGGAACGAGGGGTTACTCACTGAGATCTGATCGGCCTTGCGGTCGTAAGCGAGGTTCGTCACAGGCTCGCCGAGCTTGAACGTGACATTCTTTCTCTGTCGCAACCCCTTCTCGACAGCGTTTGGCAGGCTACTCAACCCCTTTTTAAAAAACACGAGCTGGTCCTTTTGCGCAGCCCGCGCGTAGCTCTGCAGCTCCTGGTCCTTGGCCAACGTCTCGAGCACGCCGGTCTCGTTGCGCGGGATGGTGACCCAGTCGTCGCGCTCGCCCTTCTGGAAGAAGCGCCACCACGGCCCGGGCATGAAGCTGCGCATGCTCAGCCGGTCGGCGTCGCCACCCCAGATGCCGTGGATCATGGCCGAGGCAAGGTTGTCCGTCAGCTCGGGGCGGCCCGTGGCGAAGCGGATGAAGTCGCCGACCGACATGTCGGCAGGGACGGGCTCGTTGCGCGCCTTTGCACGGCGCCAGAGGAGGGTCAGGAAGCCCGGGATGACGCCCTTGAAGGCGGCCTCGCTGAAGACGTTCTTTGGGTGCATGGTGACGAGGTGATCGGGATAGTAGATGTAGCGCGGCGGAGACTTGATGCCGAGGTACTCGCTCTGCATGTCGAGATCTCTCATCTATGTGGAGGAGTTTGCGTTAGCAACCAAGGTCCCTCAGCAAAGACTGGAGTAAACGGGGGACTGACCAGGTCAAAGAGGACGAAATCGTCAAACTTCCAAGTATCTTTCCCCATCCCGCGCAGCGTTCGCGGCCCACGCTCGAAGCGCACAATATTCTTTTGCCCATTCACCTCGACCTCGACCTCCTGCGTATGGATCCACCCGCCCAACCGGTTCGCCGCCTCGTACACGGTGATGTTGGACGTCTCGGGGAGCAGCTTCGCCAAATAGTGCGCCGCCGTCAGGCCCGTGATACCGCCGCCGATGATGGCGACCTCCTTCGGCACCTTCGTTTCATTCGTGAGGGTCGGAGCCGCATCGGGGCTCGATCCCGGTGCTTCCTGGCGTCGCGCGAGGGCGCTTGTCGAGAACCGCGCCCGTGTGAGGATGCCGGCGCCGGCGCCGTGGGTCGCTGCGCGACAGAAGCGCTGCGAGTGGTAGGACCTCAGTAGAGCCATGAATGCATTGTCGGCTCTTCTTAAGGCCATTGAGTTGGGAGAAGAGAGGCAATGGCTTGGGGGAGAGAGAAATTGGGAGCGTCGACCGTTGAGTTGTTGGTGGTACAAAGTGGCGTCACGACCTGCACTGGATGGGTCTCGCGGCGAACAGCTAGGTACGGGACGTGGACCAGGGAGCTTCCGGCCCCACCATCTTGAACCAACATCACCTCATTTCTCTCTTCATTTCGGCATTTGACTGCTGCTCTTGTCATTTTCTAGTTCTAACATGTTCTACCATTGGCGGTCTTTGCAAAGGAGCACCTCGCATGAATTAGTAAGGAAAAGGCACCATCAAATGGCTTGGGCTCATTCGGCACTCAGAAGCGGCTGACAGCACTGATGTTACTGTGGCCAAGTTGATGACGTGCAGTATCTCAAACATGACGCGCAAAAAAATAGAAACGTAGTATGAGGCCAGATAAACAACTGCATTCTTTGCCCCAAACGCTCTCAGGGACCACAGTTTTGAGATCCTCTAAGTCGTGTCGTGCCAGCTTGCCCGAAGCCACGTCTATACATGAATAGAACCATTGCACCCGAAAACGCCAAAAGTGCCATACCGCTTCGGCAATACATCATCGTCCAAGTATCATACAAGAAGTCGCCGCTCCAATACCACCAATATCTCTTTGTTTCAAGAGCCTCATGATGGCCTCCAAAGTCGAGTGAATTCGCAATCATCCTCCTAGGGTATACCACAGTTCCGATGCGAGACGCCATCCCGCGCTTGGCTGACCTCTTCACCCGACTGACTACTCGTTCTTGAGTTGAATCCTTCCACGGAGGCAACGCTTCTTGCATTGTGCAGCCTCATCTCCCAGTACTGCCGAGCTATGCTTGTTCACGCATATGCTTTACCATGTCCTACCAGATGATGTCCTCCTAGCTGATGACTTCCTGAGCATTGCTTTGCTCTTGGTTCGCGGCATTCTCCGACTCTGGAAGAATCACTTCTGCCTGGGCATTTGAGTCCACAAACTGACGCTCACTAACGTGATCGTTGCCCCCCTCAGCGGTCCAGACCTTGTCCTTGAATACCCCCTGTTGGCCTTCCTCGTGGGTATACATGCAGTGAGGGTTCTTGCAAGGGTTGAATCTGCACTTGACCTTAACATGTGTAAATTTACAACCCGAAGTCGTGCACCCAGCACCGTTGCGACACAAAGGCATTTCAGGGTGCTTGAAGGGGCACCTCGGATTCGTGCAATTGGGAAAGAATTTGCAGTCTTGCTCGCTCTGATGGGCAAGTCTCGCTGCCGGAGAGGGGTGGCGACCGACACACTTGCGGTTTTTGCATGCGGCACCGAAAGTACAAACATCGTTAATGTCGACTGTTGTGCCTGGTGGTGCCGCAGGAGATTGATGCGCAAACTTGCACTCGCGGTTGGTGCAGTGTAGGTTGTACTTGCAGACGGTTTCGTCCGGGTTGGGCGGTTCGCGCTTTGATTGCGACATTTCGACATCATCTCCTTCGCCGCCTTCTCCCATTGCCGAATCTTGTTTGTCTCTAGACTGGTGCTGACGGTTTCCGAAACCACCGCGAGAATTCTGAGTCCGGTCGAAAAGTGACTTGCCTCCGCGGCGTCCACCTCGCCCACCGGATTGGTTCATGAGCTGTTGTTGGAGTTGAGACATCATTTGCGCTTGTTGCTCCATCATCGCCATGAGGTCCATTTGCGAAGGTTGTCCTTGCGGCGGCATCCCCCAAGCGGCAGCCATGGGGTTCATTCCAGGGGGTCCTCCATGCTGACCATTCATGCCCGCCATTGCGTTCAGACCGGCTTGGATATTGACTCCACGGTTGTTCATCGATCGTCCGCCGCGTCCCATGCCGCCCCTGGGGCCTGTAGGAGGTCCGCGGGCATGAGAGTTGATTCTGTCGTTGCCACGAACGCGGTGAAGGACTGAGTCGCCTGTCCTGTCCATAGCCTTGGTCATGTGGCCAAGCATGCGCTTCTCGCGAGCGCCTCCTCTCGGGTTAGGACCGTTTCGCATGGAACGCGGGCCCGTCGGACTGCGGCGAGTTAGTAACTGATGAGATGTGGGGGGCAATCGGGAGACGAACGCATTCAACTCATTTCCATCGTTGGCACCCATATCGGTGTCGAAGTCGCCGTTCCCTTGAGACATGCCAGACATGGCATCGTTGCCTGCCGCCTGGGAGCCGTTCAGTTGCGCATTGATCTGTTCTGCTTGTTGAAATAACCATGCCGCAAATTCCATAGCACCAGGGTCTTCCGGGCCGAGGCCAAGGAGATCGGCCGAGAGCTCGGTGGCAATCTGCTCCTGCGTGCGACCGTTAACGAGCATGAGGATGATGTATTCGACGAGCGCGGCATCGTCGTCAGAGCCTGATGCCCAGCCGGCCTCGACGAGTTTTGGCTGAATGGCGGCGCTTAAGGCATCCGCCAGCGGTGTGTTGAGAACGACCTGAACCGTCATGTTGATTGGCGCCGATGCGGCGAGTATCGCGTGAAGCTTCGGGCGAAGACGCGAGTCGTGGTTCGGTGGGTGTGGAGGAGAGCCGACAGGCGAGACGCGTTGCTAGTCGGTGGTAAAATTCGGCAAGGACGGCGCCGGAAACTGCTGTCGAGGTTTCGGTGCGAGAAGCGCGCAATGGGATTGTGTCGCTTGCGTTGGGGTATATAGTAGGCAAGCAATCGTCGTAGGAGAAATGGCGTTGCAAGTCGACACAAGCAACAAAAAAGAATGTTGTGTATGATGGAGGAAGTGGATGGAGATAGGTAGGTGAGCCAGAGAACGTTCTTGGAGATGACGGAGAATTCAGCGGATGCTCCACAACAATGTATCTAATTGGGTGAATACCAAAAGATCACGTGAGCTTCCTGCAGGTCGAGAGTGTAGCCGTCTCCTTCACCGGAGAAGGTTCAGGCGAATTCCAAGTGTGGCTTGACTAATTCAGGCACATTATTCAGCGCAACGGCGCTGCCTTCAGCCTCTTTCCATCTAAGCCAGTGTCGCACCTAGAGCCGCCGTTGACTTTGTGAGTTTGATTACACGATCTTGATGAATCGTCGCCAAATATCGCTCTTTCTTTCGACTTGCGCCTGGTGGCACAACCGACTCTTTCAGCGTCGTGGCCGATACGGCACATTCGAAAGCTTTGGTGATGCATAAAAGGGGGAATTGTTTCTACAGACCATTAAAGGAGTCCTGGCTTGTCTGGGGGACCTGGGAAGTGACGGGGGGTTGCAGACGAAGACGACGAAACAGTAGGTAGGCTTCCGGGAGGCCTAGTCATTGGTCCATGCCGGTTGTTTCTTGCGCTCCTGGCCGTTCGTTGAGTGGCGAACGGCAGGTGTCGAGGAATGCTTCCCAGTGACCTAGGCGGAGGGCTGTCACGCTAGATGCGGGGATACGGACCACCAAATTTCAACCTCTCATGATATGTCATAGTGCGGCCGCGAAACCTCTTGCATGACTCCCTTGAAGTGGTCTAGAGCACCTGATATTTCCTCCCGAATCGGAATCCGATGCGAAGTAATGAAGTTAATGGGAGATGAGATTTGCGAACCGTGCGAATCTGTCTGCCGCTAGCCTGCAGCTGTGAGCTACCATCATCTACGCAGTAGGCGCTTGGCTCTGAACCCTGGCTCCTACCCCGGCTCCTTACCCGTTTGGTTGGAACTGCTATGGTTCTTCTACTGAACTACAGAACGTGGCAAGATCAGACGTAGAAGGGATGTAGCTGCTGAGAGGCAACTGGATGCAGCAGAATCGCAGGCAATGATGCCGTTGGTTGTGTCACTATGTTTTCTAAGTTCACACCCGGGTTTCTGCGCTTCGTTTGCATACAGCGCACCTGCATCTCGGTGATGGACCGTATGGGGGCTCTATAGTCGTGCCTTCGCCGCCTAAGTGGCCGACGAAACCCTGCTCAACAGCTGGGATGACCAACGAATACGCGCAACACGTAAATGTTAGCCCTTTGACGAGCCCGTTCTCGGTATGATACGCCGTATGGATGGGATCTAAATGTAAGATATCTTCGCTGGAATTCAATCCGGATACTCAGTAGCAGTCACAGCAGTGCGATCATGGCTCGGAACGGTGATGAGGCGCGATGTCCCGATTCACAGAGCTTAAGGTGGTCTACATCGTCCAATGGGTCGGAATATTTCAAAGAGGCTGCCACCAGAAGATGAAGACCAGCTCTGGCTCGCGCGCCCCGTTCTCACTCTTGAAAACCAAAAAGACGAGGAAGCTGCGAGGGAGAAAACACGAGGACGGCTTGCTGCCATCGTGGAGCAGGTCCGAACGGAGAAGCTGCGCAAAAGGGAGCGGGACTCGGACATGTGGAGAGCGGCGAGCGCATTGCGGCGGCCGAGGTGGATCCAGGAGCTTCAAGAGACACGAGAGCGCAGACGACGGACCGTAAGAAATGGATTTCTTGCGTGAATAAGTCTTGCCCGTATATTGTATACCATGTGGGTTTATCTGGGAGCTACACTATATGCGAGGCAACACGTCTCTATCGCTTTTTATGATGAGTACCTTGACTTAAATACAGGTGGCTTACGTCGAGGCTGTGTTCGATTGAGTTATCCTTGCTGTTCGCTGTTTGCTGGCTCCTTTACTTACGACCGGTCTTATTGCGGCGTGAGGCTCAGATGCACATGATGCTGAAAATGGGCAATTTCAGCGGCCAGATCTATCTCATCTATGCGCCTAACATTCCAGGCTTTTGTTTCAACCTCAGCCGGCAGGTTGGTGCATGTCCTTTCCATAGACAGCTAGGTGCATACGGTAGACGGGATGTTCGTCAGTGCCGTTCCCCCGCCCCCTGCCGCCACGCCGGTTGGCTGCGCTGAATCGCCTTTGTTTCTTGGCCACTACCACCCATGACTTGTGCCGCGACTCCTCACTCTTCCCCTCCTCGCCTGTTGCCTTCGTTGCCTTGGTTTTTTTTTTGTCTTGGACCTCAGGCGACATTGATGATCCCAATAGCCGCTCATAATATCAAGCACCTTGCATTGACATTGAAACTGAAATCACTCACAAACTTGTTCATAACGCGTGCCACACTAAGCCTCTATACCACCAGAGCGTCTTGTTTCCCGCCTTTCCCACCCTTTGGAATTAAGCTTGGCCACTTTAAACTTTAAACATCATTGTCCCTCTTCCGCCCTGGGTGTTCCTTTCTAAGAAACACTCGTTCACCGCTATCTGCCATCCAAAGGTCCCTGCGCGCCGCCGTCCTTTCTTGACCCCGTCGACTGCGCCATTCGGCTCTTTGTACTCGATAACTTTCCCGACGTTGCATTAGCATCAAAGCACAGCCAGTGTTTACCATTAATTCCATGCGCCTCGAGTAATCTGAGAGGCATTTCCCTTGTCAGTTGTCCGTCAATGACGAATCACAACCCAGCCTGTCAATCTAGAATATCAGGAACTGGAGACTGGGAAAGATCAAGATACTGGATCGTCGTACCATCGCTCAACCTAGCGCTGCGGGTCGCGGTCATCATACAGTATAAGACCTGTTCGCCGGTCTACCAAGTTCCAAGTCTTCTTGTTTCTTTTTTTTACGACCCCATAAGACCGGATCATCCCGAGGATCTCCTCCATAATCAGCCAGCCCCCCGTCGCTACCAAGTGGTGTGGGTTATCAAGCGGACTCAGTCGACCTCCAAGCTTGACGTAACGTTGCTCCGCGGACTGTAGCCACACAATCGCATCGCACTGCCAATTGGCCGGCCTGCTCTCCAACCACCAACGGTCATCCAAACTGCCTGCACGGTTATCTGCAAGGAGAGGCAAGAACGTCCACAAGCAACTGTTGCTACGTTCTCGTATGTCTTTCTTCTGATGCAGCTCAAATTGACACGCGACAATATTCTGCTCGTCGGTGGCTAAGGGGTCATTTCTTACTTCCTCCAAAGAACTGCGGCCCGCAAACACGGCCACTCCTGCCTCTAGTAGTTGATATAAGCAGCCTCGGTGCCTAATCTTGTTTCTTTAGCCGAGATATCTCCTTTTCTCCTCTCTCTCACATCGGTCCTCCAACTTCGCCAATATGTTATCCTCTTTCTTGTTCATCTCCCTCTCTCTCGTCCTGGGCCAGGTCAGCGCCGGTATATGGCCGGCGCCGAAAAAGCTCTCTACTGGCAAAAACGTTTTGTTCATAAGCCAAACACTGGAAATTACATACAATGGGGGATCTGTACGCTGGCTTCCTTCTTCCAATTCCTCCCCCAATGATGAGACGCAGCATACTGAGAATTTCTTCAACGCGCAGCTACCTTACACTTACGGTTACAGCCCGGCCTCAGGATCGACCTTCAACAGCAGAGACATTGTGCAAGGCGGCGTGTCACGCGCCCTGGGTGCCATTTTCCAGCAGAACTTTGTCCCGTGGAAGTTTCATGAAAAGAACAGCGACTTTGAGCCAGACGTCTATGCGACGGACAAGAAATCGGTCAAGTCATTGCAGATTACCCAGACCAGCGAGGACAAGCCTAGCACATTCAAGCCAGCAGCCGGCGAGGTAGACGAGTCGTACGCGCTGAACATAACCGAAGACGGCTCAGCCACACTAGTGGCCACGTCTTCTACCGGTGTCCTGAGAGGACTCGAGACGTTTGTTCAACTCTTCTACCAGCACACGTCAGGAACTTCCTGGTACACCCCATTGGCACCCGTGACGATTGAAGACGCGCCAGAATATTCCCACCGTGGAATCCTCATGGATGTGGCGCGAAACTTCTTCCCCGTCGAGGACGTTCTGAGGGTCATAGACGCCATGTCTTGGAATAAGCTCAACCGGATCCACATTCACATTACGGACTCGCAGTCATGGCCACTCGACATTCCTGCGATGCCGGATCTGTCTGCAAAGGGCGCCTACCGAAAGGGACTGTCCTATACGCCGGAGGACCTGGCAAAGATCCAAGAATATGCCGTCCACCGTGGAATCGAGCCCATCATCGAGATCGACATGCCAGGCCACATCGGCTCCGTCTCTTTCGCCTACCCGGAGCTCATCGTGGCCTACAATGAGAAGCCATACTACTGGTGGTGCGTGGAGCCACCTTGCGGTGCCTTCAAGATGAATGATACCAGGGTCGATGAGTTCCTGGACAAGCTTTTTGATGACCTTCTGCCAAGAGTCAACCCCTACTCGGCATACTTCCACACTGGTGGCGATGAGCTGAACAAGAACGACTCGATGCTGGACGAGGGAATCCGATCCAACTCGAGCGAGGTCTTGCAACCCCTCCTGCAAAAGTTTATGGACAAGAACCATGCCCGGATCCGCAAGCATGGGCTCGCGCCGTTCGTCTGGGAGGAGATGCCGCTCGAGTGGAACATCACTCTCGGAGACGACGTCGTGATTCAGTCATGGCTAGGAGGCGACTCTGTCAAGACTCTGACAAGCAGGGGCCATAAAGTGATCGACAGCAACTACAACTACTGGGTGAGTTTGCAACTACGGGCTTGAGGGATAGTTCATTAACAAGACAGTACGCCGACTGCGGCCGAGGACACTGGATGAACTTCGACAACGGGTTGGCTTTCGAAAGCTTCTTCCCATTTAACGACTGGTGCTCGCCGGCGAAGGGATGGCGACTCATGTACGCGCATGACCCGAGAGCAAACCTCACCGACGAGGAAGCCAAGCTCGTCCTCGGAGGGGAGGTGGCCGCATGGAGTGAATCGATTGATCCCGTCAGCATCGACGGGATCTTGTGGCCGAGAGCTAGTGCGGCCGGCGAGGTGTTGTGGTCGGGTCGGCAGGATGCTTCGGGGCAGAACAGAAGCCAGTACGACGCGGCGCCGAGACTGGCCGAGTTCAGGGAGAGGATGGTCGCGCGGGGCGTGCGATCGGAGCCGGTGCAGATGACCTTCTGCACGCAAGGGGACGCGACTGAGTGCGGCTACCCCATGTGAGAGCCAAGAAGATGACCACTGCTATCGAGGTTTGGGTTCACGACCGGACTCGGGAACGGGCTCCGTTCCTTCACATGGGCTTGAGTTGGGGAGGCATGAGGCATTCCGTACACTTGATATACCTTTCTGTACATGTCATAGATCAGGCTTTGTGCCCGACGCCCAATAATGTTAGATGACTGATGGACTGCCTATTCCGGTGCCAGCGTGAGAAGCCAGGGTTCCCGTCGGCGAGCTGCCTCGGGCTCACCAACCGGCTTCCACCCACACCTCCGAGCCCGTAAGCAGGCGCCGTCGGTGTCCAGGTTTGGTCCGTTGGCCAAAGATTCGTCCGGATGCCCGTGGGCCTGCGGGGAGGCAACGACAAGGTAATCTCGACGTCGTCAAACCCGGGGTTGAGTATCTAGCGCGTTTGGGGACTTCGCATGAACGGCCCTGTTGCGAGACGGGATCGACCAACGCAGCAGCTTCTAGGAAGGGAATGGCTAGTCACGTTGCGGGGGTTGCAGTTGCACATGTGTGATTATCCCGGGGATCAGCTGCGCTGTGAAGGGGGAGGGGGAGGGGAGGCCGTTCAGAGTCGCGTGGGAATGCAGGCTTTGTTCTTCGAACGAACATTGGTCTCGCGCGACGCTCCCAGTCCAACCCTTTTTCTGACATCCGGATCCGACGTCACGCTCCGGCAGTGAGATTTTGTTGCAACATTGCTGATGGCTGTACAGATACCTACAACGCGCTAGCGGGAGGGGCCAGAGAGAAAAGCCACTCGGGCGATGGAAGCAGGGGGTGGGGGGGGAAGCTCAAATTGCGGGGGAAGCTTGGAGTGGAGGCGTGGTGGGGACCTCGGTCGCTGCAGCAAGATTCCCTTTCTGGGTATTCAGATCGTGGCGGGTGACCCGCACGGTGCGAACTTTTAATCGACATAAAGTTGCCAGTCAGGTCCAGCGCGGGAAAACAGCAGAGCCTCCGAGCAGAACTCGAGAATGATGTAGAGCAGTAGTATAGTGCGTAGCAGGCCTTTGTCTACTAAAGAATAATGTATTGGGTCACCAGATACAGGTGTCCATCTCACAGCGTGGAGGGCTACATGGTGTTCTACAACGCCGAGCCGACAACGGAACCAATACGCTTTCGAAACAGGTCACAATGTGTGTGGTTCGATGAAGTCGGATGTATGTGTGGACGACACACCTCTGCTGGGCACGCCGCGCGCAGACGCTGCACTGTGCGCAGCCAAAAGTCTCACTCGCGTGTTTCTTGGAGTCAATCTCCCGAAAAGCTCCAAATTCTCTGATGATGATGATGATGATGATGATGAGAAGACGGCGCAGCGCTAGAGCAGACACCGAATTCGCACCTCGGAATGGAGGATGAGTTGTCCCTTGCAGAGTTTTCCTTTGCCTTCTCTCGCCGTCACTCGACTAGGTAGCTGATAGCCCGCCACTACGGGGTGGGACATCTGTCGAGCAGACGACCCGATGCAGGCTCGCTTCACCGTGCACAGCGCAGGGGAAGGGACCGGCTGCTTCCCAAGATCGATTTTCCCCACAACACTTTGGGCCTGGGATCCGCTTACTATGTACTCGTGCCTGCTTTCAAGTCAAGTACTGCATTACTGTACGTTCAAACCCCCTGCAGACCATTGATGTTCCAAACAGTCCTGCCGCAACTCTGCAGACAGCTGGGTAGCTCGTCTTCTCCGTTTCCTGCCCTGTTCCCCCCCCCCCCCCCCCCGCGTGTGTGGTGCGGAAAACGTCAAACAGGGAGGGAAAAAAAGTTCGTGTGGTTGAGCGGCGCTTCCGCCGTACAACGCAACATGGATTCTCTCCACCCATGCTTGTGCTTGTTCTGGCGTGGTTGCGCACAACGGCCGGTCAATTTTTCTTGCTTGAGGCGAAGCCGCGCAGTGGGCATGTGGGTGAGGTATGTTACAGATCAGTCAAGGCACGCCGAAGCGCGATACCTGACTGGTGTTTGGTGACATCCTGCTTCGCTTGTGATACGGACCCAAGACTACACTAGGTAGTAAGCAGAACACAGAAAATCAACATGGGATGTGGGATGTACTCGTTGTACTTGCTGTACCATACCATGTGGCTTCAACGCGGCCCCTAGCACACAGAAGGGTAAGTGTTTCGGCCGTGGGCGGACAGACGCGAGGGCATCCGAACAATGAGTGATGTGATTTGCTTTGCAGCCCGCCGTTCTCATGGATGACTCTTTTGGGCCATCTGGGCACCCTAGTCGTCCTTCTGGCATCCTTCCCTCCGCTCGTCCTCTCATGCTCCTCACTCTATCTCCCCGAAGCATACGCTACATATCTACCTGAGAAAGATCAGATCAAGCCGGCCCAGTCCTCATGGAGCTCTACGAGCTGCTTCCGGAGCACCCCCGTAACCGATGTACAAGACTTTGGACGGACTGGGGGTCGAGATCCAGCGTCGAGACATTAAGTGGGGATGAGAAAGTAGGAGTCTCGAACCTGTGGGCTGGGTAGCGGTCACTGCTTTTAGACAGCTTTTAGCTCATTCGATACATACTTAATACCATCGGCCTCACCTATCCGCTCCCATGCTTCAGACGATTATGCCCATCTCTGCCAAGTCCTCTTTTTTTGGGGGAGGGGGGGGAGGGGGGCTCTATTGCTGTAAGTCGGATCATTGATTCCCTCCGTCTCTCCGCAGCGTCCTTCGTCATCTACTTCCTCCACCCTTTCCCTCTTCTTCCATCGTGAGACACGACGCCTTTCTTTTTCTCCTTTCACCATTGTGCGCCGTGGTGGCATACGACATATATTCCAGGGTCTTTCTCGACCATTCTCCAACACCACCTTGCTAAACTCCAGCTCTCGCGCATCCTTTGGAGACGCGGCCCTGCATCATCTGCTGTGATCCTGCCCTTAGTCGATTTACACTCTCTGCGACCTTCAGATCCCATCTAAACTATCCTCTCGGAGCGATTTCGCCTTAGACAAGAAACACTACACTGTAAAACCTCGCCATGGGCTTGATAGATAACATTCTCGGGTATGTCAACCTGAAGGTGGTTGTCGTATTCGGTGTTGTAGCATGGTGGCTATGGATTGCCATTAAGCGTTTCGATGAGACTATTCGACTGCGCCGGTTGGCGCCCGGTACTCGCGGTCAACAACTCAATTCTCGCCTCCCTGGTGGTAAGTCCGATCTACTTACTTCAGACGGTCTCTATCACAACGATTCAGTGGCTGTGTAACGGAGAGGTACACGCTTCTGGGTTACTGTTCACTTACAAATCCTCTCAGGTATCGACTTCATATACAAGGCTGTCCGCGGGACCATGGCACACAAAAACGTCGAATTCTGGGAGGACATGCTCTCCGCCGTGAAGGGATGGACCGGCGAGAAGAGGGTCCTCGGCCTGCGCATCGTCTTCACTGTCGAGCCCGAGAACATCAAAGCCATCCTGGCCACCCAGTTCTCCGACTATGGCAAGGGCGAGCCTTTTCACCGGGAGTGGAAGGAGTTCCTCGGTGACAGCATCTTCACCACCGACGGCGACCAGTGGCACGCCAGCCGCCAGCTCATCCGGCCCCAGTTCATCAAGGACCGCGTCAGCGACCTGCACACCTTCGAGTCGCACATCCAGACGCTCTTCAAAGCCATAGCCAACGGCGGCGCCCTCAACGGCGAGGACCAGCACGTTGCAATGGATGCCGTGGACGGCAAAGTCCTCGACATCTCGGAGCTCTTCTTCCGTTACACCCTCGATGTGGCTACTGACTTTCTCCTGGGACACGACGTGAAGTCGCTTTCGTAAGTGTCTTCTTGGGACACACGTCAACGTTATCCAGGTCGCAGACTAACGCAATCTTCTCAGGACCCCCAAACAGGAGTTCGCCGAAGCCTTCAACGAAGTCCAACGAGTCCAGAACATCATCGCCCGCGCAGCCAAGCTGAAGCCCTTAATGCCCCTCTTCTCATTCCGGGCCGGCCTAAAGGTCATCAACCGGTTTGTCAACAAATTCATCGAGAGGGCCCTCCGCCTCAGCAATGAGGAGCTCGCCTCCAAGACCAAGTCCGACCAGGGCTACACCTTCCTCCACGAGCTCGCCAGCTTCACCCGCGACCGTACAGTCATCCGGGACCAGCTCGTCGCCGTCCTCCTTGCCGGTCGCGACACTACCGCCTCCTCGCTCTCCTGGACCCTCTACGAGCTGGGCCGCCACCCGGAGGTCGTCAGCAGGCTGCGCGCTGAGATCATCCAGCATGTCGGCCTCGATCGCGCCCCTACGTACGACGACCTCAAGAACATGAAGTACCTCCAGAACGTCATGAACGAAACCCTGCGCCTGTACCCCGCGGTCCCCTTCAATGTTCGCCTGGCCCTCAAGGACACGACCCTGCCCGTCGGCGGCGGTCCGGATGGCACGCTACCTTTAGCTGTCTGCAAGGACACGCCGATCGGGTACTCGACGCTCCTCATGCAGCGGCGCGAGGACTTGTACCCTCCCGTATCCGAGACCTTTGCAGACCCGAGCGAGTTCTCGCCCGAGCGGTGGTTCCACTGGCAGCCCAAGCCGTGGACCTACATCCCCTTCAACGGTGGCCCACGCATCTGCATTGGTCAGCAGTTCGCCTTGACGGAGATGGGCTACACGCTCTGCCGTTTGTTCCAAAAGTTTGAAAAGGTCGAGAGCTACATGGACGCCGTTGATGGCGGGAACCCAACGCTCAAGGCCGAGATTGTGCTCCAGCCCGGCGATGGTGTCAAGGTTGCTTTCTGGCGGGCCAACAAGGGTTAACTCAGACCGGGAACCTGCATCAAAAAAACAGTCTTTTTTTTTTGTTTGTGGCGCGATGACGACGGGGCGTCGGGGACGACTCTCTAATTGTGAGATTGATGATGGAAAGATGGTATCAAGTAACCAAAATCAGCTCAAACCAGCCAGGTCGGCAAACGTGGTCATGTCGACTATGGTGGACAGGCGACCACAACAACCAAGGAGGTTGAAACAAGCCTCCTTGTCCCAGCAAGCCATACAAGGCACCTCGGCCGCATGTTGCCCTCTTCTTACAGCTCACGTGGTCTAAACTGCTTACAGACTGGGGAGACTATGGGACGACAGCGAAGCCATAAGCAGATAACTGGACCATTTCAGTAGATTGCCGTGCGCCAAGGTGAGCAGCGCAGCCAGCGCCGGGTGGCTGCTGACGTGCATGGGTCCTCCACGGCACGATGGAGGGTACGTGGTTGTCTTGTCAGGCGCAGCCTTGCAAGGAATTGTTGGATATGCAGCCGGGATTTTAGGAATGGGGATTGGTCATGGGATATGAATGTCGGCGATGCATTCGCTTCGCTCCAGCTTCCATGGTGTTCTCAAGCAGGCAGATTGAGGAAAGCCGGAGTTCTCACTTGGTAATCCATAACAAAAAAATGTTGGCATTCATCACGCTGCTTGTAATCTAAAGATGCCTGTCTAGTCCTTGATTTTCATGACTTCCGCAACCGGATGGCCCAATCGTCTGGCATGCAACATGAGCATGGCGCCCAACAGCCTCGAATACGCCTTGGACTCTCCAAGACGATGCCAATCTACCCAACCTAGACAAGATGATTCTCGACAACCAATGGCTCAAAGACAAGTCCCGAAACCCCAGACCAGGAGTAAACAGAATGCCTTGAGTTCAAGAAATCTGGAAGCTCCCCTTGATAGCGGCACCCAAGCGCTGGATGGCCTCGTCCATGTCCTTCTCACTGGCCGACGCGAACGTGGCGCGGAAGAAGAGGTCCTTGAGCGGTGTGTCCTGCTCGGTGCGAAACCACGAGCCGCGGGCGCAGAGGACGCCCTTGTCGATGCACGAGTTGAAGATCTCCTCCTCGACCTCGAGCAGCGGGCGCGAGGGGCCGTCGGGGTGGGCGGAGTGGTCAATCTTTAGCCACAACTAGTACGGGGGAGCAAGCAAGTCAGAGGGGTTCACAATAAGGAGTCGACGCACGATCGGCCGGAGGTAGAGCCAAAACTCTGGAAGCAGAAAAACAAAAACAAAGGGCAGACTCACAAACATGCCGGCAGCAGGCGGCGTCCAGCTGACAATGTCACGGGGGAGATGCCTCTCGCACGCGGCCAGGAGCCAGTCGCGGCGCTTCGTGTACTCCATGCGCAGGTTCATGAGCCACTGCAGGTACCCCTCGTGGCCCCAGGTCTCGTCGAGCAGCTTCCACACGGCGACCTGCGAGAAGCCCGAGGGCCCCTGGTTGGCGACCTCGGCGTGGCGGATGAAGCGCTCAATGACCTGCGCCGACGCCGTCACCCACCCCAGCCGCGACCCCGGCACGAGCACCTTGGAGAAGGAGTCCATCCGCAGCACGCGGCCGTCCGTGTCCATGCTCAGGAGCGACGGGATCAGCGTGCCCAGGAACTCGGACACGGAGGCCGGCGGGGGCGCCGCGGGCGCGTCCGGGCCGGTGTAGGGCTGCATCTGGAGGAAGTAGTAGGGCTCGTCCTCGATGATGTACAGGTCGTGCTTCTGCGCCACGGCGTAGATGGCGCGCCGGCGCGCGGCGGACTGCGTCGCGCCCGTGGGGTTCTGGCCCGAGGGGACGGTGTAGAGCAGGTGGGGCTTCCGGCGGCCGCCGCGGGCCTCGGCGTCCCAGTTCGTGAGCATCTCGTCCATGGCCTCCGGGAGCAGGCCCTCGGCGTCGACGGGGACGCCGACGGCCTTGACGCCGAGCGGCGCGATGGTCTCGAGCGCCGTGGAGAAGCTGTACTCCTCGGTGAGCACCGAGTCCTTCCGGTCCTTGTCGCAAAACATGCGGAGCGTCTGCTCGAGGGCGCCCGTGCTGCCGACGGTCTGGCAGCACTGCCAGTCGGCGTAGGGCGGGTTGTAGACGAGCTCCGTGTGCTCCGTGACGAAGCGCATCATCTGCGCGGAGCCGGTGGACTGGGTGTAGTTGAGGGCGATGGAGAGGTCGTATTCGGCGTTGGGCTGGTCCGGGTCGCGCGTGTCGTACTTGCCGACGGTGAGCGTCTGGCCCGAGGCGATGGTCTCGGCCTCGGAGAAGTGCGGGGCCGTGGGGACCCGGACGGAGAGCTCGGCGAAGGGGAAGTAGGCGCTCGAGGGGAGTCCGCCACCGAGGGAGATGAGGCCGGGCTTCTTGAGGTGGCGGGCGGCCTGTTTCAGAGAGCAGGGATGCCGGGAGAGGGATTCCGGTGAGAGGTGGTCTGGATGCGTAAGTAAGTGTGAGTCAGTGAGTGAGTGAGAGACGGGAGGGAAGGGAGGGCGGGCAGGCTTACGGTCCCATCGTTTTGCTTGAGGTTTGCCGACGGCCTGCGAATGAGAGTCAGCATGTTTGCATTGGACGTTGTGGATGTGTTGCAGCATACGGGGGCCTTGAACATGTCACTATCTGATGCCGCGGCTACGCCTGCTATCAGCTTGCCGGCTTTGGCCCTGCGCTCCCGGACGCCATCGAACGGCGAGGGCTCCTGTCTCTTCTCGAAGACGGCTTTCCTCTCGACTGGGACGGCGTCCGCTACGGATCTGTCACCGGATTTTGAGTGGAATGGCCGCTGGATGAGGGGTGCTGGTGTCACGGGGGCAGACCCCAGGCCCCGGAGCCGGATGTCTGTAAGTCGAGACGTCTGGGTGTTTGACAGGGAACCGGCAGCCCGTGGGAGGGAGCCATTAAGGCCATGGCGAGCGGCTCTCGAGTACATGATGATCAGATTCGTATCAGTGGGAGCCTGTTGATGAACGATGCAAAGTCTATTGTGAGGTTTGGGAGTCTTTTTGGAGTTGTGTCATGGTAGTGTCGTTCAACGGGAACCGAGATAAAGGGCGTAGGGCGTATCTGACACTCGAATCGGGCGGGCAGGCAGTGAGTGGGTGGTGGGGCAGCCCGCAGCTACCCGCAGCTACCCATGTCCCCCGCCTGGTGCTACTATTCGTCCGTACCTTTTGGGTAATTAGGGGTCCCTGACCGCTGCGGGCACTGTGAGTGTTCTCTTCCCGTTGGAGGGACACAGTCAATGCCTATGCCGTGTGGAAGGGAGCGGTAGAGGAGACCATCGGCTTGTTCGGGAAGGATTGAGCGATGCCGGCCGCGGGAGAGTGGGCAAGGGAGGGGTAGCTCGGAGCCGGGGTGGGTCCCATTGAGTTTACCTCTGAGGACCGATCCGGAGGGCTTTAATGGTCGGCCGGATCCAGAGCTTACATAGTTCAATCTAGATATTGACGAGACAATGGTATGGGAGCCCGAGATAGTATGGTCCAACCAAATTATGCTGGACAAGTTCGTGGTACCGAGTCTGCAGTCGAAGGCAATGATGTCATTCGCCCTTGGAGTGCACAGAACTTCGAGCCCACCGCCAGCACACCGAGACCAAAGACAGCGCAACGGCTCCCGCCTCGTCTTCGATGCATCACGGATCATGTCGATGAAGTGTCACCGTTAGCTATGTGCGTCTCCGTCCGAGACACCTGTCTGTCGACAGACGCGAGCGTCACGGCCCCCGCTGCTGGCATCCGCGTAGAAACCCCGAGAAGACCCCTGCCCCGTCAACGATATGAGCCTTCGCGCCCCGCGCACCGCGGCTGTTCAGTGTTTGTCCCTGCCAGACACACCGTCAGATATTAGATGGCACCCTTCCAGTATGTGGAGAGGGTCTTGCAGGTTTCTTTACACCAAGCCAACGGGTCCAACGCCAAGTCTTGTGTGGGCTCCCAGCCACCCGCACCCGTCAAACACCAGCCACGCCATTTTCAACGCTACCTTCCCAGCCAATCATGAGCCAAGGATTCGTCCCAACCTCCCCTCATCTCAACTTTCTTTGCCGGGGAGCCAGGCCGAGTTGGATGGACAACGAACAAGGAACAACACTACGTGCCCATTTGATTGCTTGCTGTTCGTGTGCTGGAGGCCAAACATCTCGATTTCTTGTCCCTTCATTTCGGTCTCCCGTCTGCAAGACCCCACACCCTCCTGGCAATCTAGGCGGCGCGGCGCATGGGCTTGGGTTTCCAAGGCCCGGAAACCAAGAGAAAAGGAGCCCAAGGGGCCTTGCACGGCCCGATGACGCTACTGCAGCTGCCAGTGGCTGGATGGAGTATGGAACATGCAGAGCCATATAATTCCATCTGCTGCTGCCATCGATCACGGCCCGCCCGTGTGGTGTGCCCTTTCCCTCCAGCTCTTCCCTACTCACGTCTTGGCCCTTGTGTTACTTAAGTGCGACGTACCACGGACTTACACGGATCCTTGTTTGCTTCTTCCGCCTGTGACGTCGACAGCTCCTTAGGCCGTGACCAAGTCTCCCCGTGGCCATACTTGGGGGAATCATCTCTTCAAGTGAGAGAGATTTCTCACTGCACCTCGCCATTCCTCTCGACTTCCCGGTCCAGCAGTAACACATCCTCCTTCACTCATATTCGGCGGTGCAACACCCAAACACAAACAAATCACACGATGCTCTTCTCAAGGAGGCTACTCGCCGCCGCGGCGCTGGCAACAAGGGCATCGGCGCAGACATATTCGTCGTGCAACCCTCTCCACCAAAGTAAGTGGTCTCACCGATCGTCACGCGAACCCCCAATGCCATGGAAGTCGTCGCTTGTGTACTAACGAGCCACCTCTCCAGCAACCTGTCCCGCAGACACGGCCCTCGGCATGGCCATTCACGTCGACTTCACCCAGGGCGCCGTCAACTCCTTCGCAGCATCCGGAAACCCTACATACGGCGACGACGGCGTCACCTTCTCCGTCGCTGCCTCGGGCCAGGCACCTCAGCTCATGTCGCTCTTCTACATCATGTTTGGCCGCGTCGAGATCACTCTCAAGGCTGCCACCGGCGCGGGAATCGTCAGTTCCCTCGTGCTGCAGTCCGACACCCTTGACGAGATCGACATGGAGTGGCTCGGCGCCGACCCGACCGAGGTGCAATCCAACTACTTTGGCAAAGGCGACGTGACGACGTACAACCGCGGGCAGTTCCACCAGACGGACAACAACCAGGAGAAGTTCATGAAGTATACCATCGACTGGACCTCGGAGCGCATTGTCTTCTCCGTCGACGGCACCGTCGTCCGCACCCTCACCGAGGCCGAGGCCGACGAGAACCAGTACCCGCAGTCGCCGATGCAGGTCAAGTTCGGCGCCTGGTCGGGCGGCGACCCAGCCAACGCCCCGGGGACCATCTCCTGGGCCCGCGGGCCGACAGACTTCAGCCAGGGGCCCTTCCACATGGTCGTCAAGGATGTTTCCATTACCGACTACTCGACGGGGAAGGAGTACAAGTACACCGACACCTCGGGTAACTGGGGCTCCATCCAGGCCGTCGACGGCCAGGTCAACGGGAATCTCGGCAAGGCGGGCCAGGTCACATACACGGCAAGCGCTGCCGCCGAGACGGGCTCGCCCGCGCCAACGGTGCCAAGGGGCGGTATCGGCGCCGACGAATCTGCCACCGCGACGCAGACCGGCTGGCCGTGGGTCGCTAGCGCGAGACCGACTGGCGGCTCCGTCCCGGACGGCTGGCGCATGAACTCTGAGGGCAAAATCATTCCGGACGGCGCCGGGGCCTCGGTACGCCCTCAGTGCTTGGCCGTCCTGGCGTCTTTTGTTCTCGGTGCTGTCGCCTTGATTGGGCGGTAACGATTCATGATACCCATTGGAAGAGAATTTTGGTTTGGAAAAAGATGAGAGAAGTGGGCGTCAACGTGTTACGACCTTTGGAGGACGCTCGCATTGGATTCTGGCGGAGAACATTAGAGAAGCGGCGGCTTAGGCACATCTGGACAGGACTTTGCATAACACGGCGTTCTTGGAGCATTAATGGGAGCATGCATTGGATGGGACATCGAAGGAATCTGGTATGAATACATAGGGATAGATGCAGTGTGTTATACTGAGCCACCTCAGCAAAGAGATAAACGGCTCATGAAGTAATTGTACAACTGTTGTAACGATGGAAACCACTACCTTTCTAATAAACTGCATGAACAAATATTTTGGCTGTGCGGGGCTGTCTCTAGTGAAGGCTACATAGGATAGCTAATTGGAGTATCCTTTATCAACCGGCGTTGTGGCAGAGTGGTCTAATGCGCAAGACTAGAAATCTTGTTCCTTCGGGAGCGTCTGTTCGAATCAGGCCAACGTCGAGTTTTTGCCTTTTTGAGCCTCTTTCATCTTTACCGATACCGTCCTAGAGCGCACCACGCTGCAGCCTCCTCATTTTGCTTGAATTCTTTCACCTTGTTATCCTCTATCCTCGTTGCTGCGGCACTTGACATCATTGTCTGTGCCGGCAACGACGTTCTATTTCGGCCGACACGATCTGCTACCTCTGTTCTCCTTTCTTCTCACAAACTGCCCTTCGTCCTCTGAGGAGGCACATGCAAATTTGACGAACTTCCGACCGCTGAACAGCATTGGAATGTCAAGTCCTTGTATGACCCACAGCTTGCATCTCCCAGCCCCTTGCCGCTGTCGTTGTAGCATTTCTGATCATCGATAAGCTACTTTGTCGCGGTTGATGTACTGGAAGCGCAGCCTTGGGTGTCCGGTACTCCGTATAAGCCGGACGTTTGTATGCTCAACGATCTCATCAGAGATCGTTGCAACAGTATTGCCATCAGCATCCGAGAGGTATTCCGACCCCCTGGCCCAAACTGAAAAGGACTCATACAGGGAGGGACGAGATAACGAGGAGCAGTAGTAATTGTGACTAGGCATGACGAACAACCCAAAACGATCGCTCGCTTGTTACATGCTGAGCGGCCCTGCTGCATGGAACGTTGCAACTCAAGGAATCCAACAAGAACACTCAACACAGTGCCAGAAGATAGATTAGTCACGCATAACATAAGCTTTATGTCACTGGAATCAAGTGAGGGATAGCATACATCATATGTTCGTATGGCTGAAAGATCAGTGTTACTGAATTCGCTGTCTTGGAATTAACTAAGCTAGTATAGTCTACCTTGGACTGTATGCGGCTCTATGGCAAAGAAAAAGAGCGGCCGGCGGCAAAGAGAATCTCTATGCTCACCATTCTTGACGGAGGCTTTATGTATCCCCGTGTGGCATTTTTCTCCCCCTCTCGCTGTATGCATGAACACCTCAACTGTGTCGCCACTGCCGCTTGATTTATGCTTTCCTCCCGCCGTCGTAAGTGCCCAACGCCAGATAGCAAACCGGGGCTTTGCCGCAGTCTGCACTCAGACTGTGCGGACTGTTGGCGCTCGGAGTCGAAATGCTGAAATATCGAAATGCTTTTGGTACAAACAAATACAGTAGTAAAGGTTGCCGCGTGACGAATGGCTAGTGCAGCAAAGCACCTGTGAACTCTTAACGTCCGGATCAGAATTCCCACTCCTCGTCGTCAACGGACTTGATAGCCCAGCTGAACTTGTCACGGAGGGTCTTCGAGAAGAACTTCTCAATAGGAACGTCAAACTTCTTGGCGAAGACGACAGTGAGGCGAGGGTCGATGTAGTTCTGACTTTCGTTAGCATTTGTCTATCTTTAGTAGATTATCAGAAACTTACGATCTTAGAGGTGCTCAGAGCAACCTCCTTGTTGCCATCACGATCGGCGGCCTGCAGCTCCAAAGTCTTGACTCTGTCATCAAACTTTTTGACCTGTTCGTCAAGCTTCTCGATTGAAGGACTTCGGCCTTCCGGTTCAACCTTCTTCGACTTGTTCTCCTTCTTGAACTTCGCCGCAAGTTCATCGGCAGCCTTGAGGCGCTCCTTGAGCTCCTTGTCCGGGAACGGCTTCTGTCCTTCGGCGAGACGTTTCTCATTATCCTTTTCAAATTTCTTCGTGATCTTGCTACGCTGCTCTTCCACCAAGAACTTCTGGTGCTCGAGGATCCATTCGTCGGTCAGATCCTCGGGACGAGCAAAGAAGTCAGCGCCCTTCTTCTTCTTCACCTTGTTGTCAACCTGAAGCATCATCATTTTCGTCCGCCATTGCTGGTATCGGAGACCCTTAATACGGTCGCCAAGCTTCTCCATCTGTGCTTCATGCGCGGCACCGACTGTGCGCTTGTGGTTGCAAAGAATGGCCACCTCACGGTTGCAGTCGTTGTAAAGCTTGACCTTCTCCGCGATCGTCAAGTTCTTGTGGTCAACCAGCTTTTGGAGCAGGTTGGACATGGTGAAGGACGCGTTGTAGGTACGGAAGACCTTCGCTGTCAGACCTGGCATGTAATTCTTGAGATGGTTGTTCAGTTGCGTGGTGGTCAGGCGATCGAAGATGTCGTCGCCATCAGTCTTTGGCGGCTTCTTAAAGAGCTTTAGGTTCTTGAAGACCTGCTTTTCAACCGTGACTTCATCGTAGAAACGAATACTGTCCTTTCCGAGGAAGTCAAAGATGACGGTGTTGGGTTCTCGCAAGGTGATGTGCTCGTACTTGAGAGAGCAGCAACCAACGGTTTCGGCTTCGTTCTCGGCGTCTTTTTCGTTACCCGCTCTGAGAGCGAACTTGTCGATCAGGTACACTGCTGTGGCTCTCTGTCGGTCCGCCATGACCTCGCTCTTGAGATCCTTGGTGTAATCTCTACGGATCTTGTCGATGTGCTTCTTCAGCTCGCGGGCCTTCTCGAACTTCTTCATGTCACTCTGACCCTTGATGGCGCTGGCAGCACCAAGCATCACGTACTTGTAAGCGCCGTTGATGTTCTCCTGCCACATGGCCAACCAGGTAGCCTTGTTGTCGTGGACAACTGCCTTCCACTGGTGGCCCTTGGGAGGTTCCGGAACCTTGGCATCCTTGCCAATGTTGATCGTGATTTGCTCGGGATACACTCTCTTCTTGAGCTTTCCAGTCTTCGGGTGCTCGCCACGACCGCGGAAGAGACTCGGAGGTTCGACACGGAAGTTGCCGACCTTTTCTTTGCGTCCGTCCCACTTGCAATACATAAACGGAGCCTCCAATTCGTCTTTCTCTGCCTTTGCTGCTTTCTTCTCCGCCGGAGACCTGGTCTTTCTGATGGCGCTTTGCTGCTCGTAGTACTGAAAGATTTGTTCAAAGTTCATCTTCGAGAACTCCTTGATGTCGACCTTGTTGCCCTGCTTGTCAGTCGCGTGGCCTGACTCCTTCAAAACAGCCTTGAAGTCATCAAAGAAGTTCTTTTGGAACACAGGGTTATCAACGTTGTGCTTAGAGTTAAGCATGGCTCCAAAGAATCCGGCAACTTCCTCAGCTTCAATCGGAAGATTAACTGGCTTCCCGTCGTAGAGCAGCCTGACGTTCTTGGGAAGTGGTTGGTACTCGGGCGGGAACATGACTCCGTTGTGCTCCAATGTGGTCCACTTGACGCTGTCGTCCTCCTTCTTAGGATCCTTCCACCACTCGTACTCCTCTTCTTCGTCTTCTTCGGGGCCTCGCTCTCTTGCTTGGCCTTTGCGGCAGCCTTCTTGGCCGGTGCCTTTGCGGGTGCGGCAGCCTTGCCCTTCGCCAGTGGAGCCTTGGCTGGGGTAGCTTTCTTCACTGCCTTTCTCGCAATGGGCTCGTCGGAATCCGACTCGGCCTTCACACCATTCGACTTCTTCTTAGCAGAGCCGGCGCCGTTCGATTGGCGCTTCTTAATCGCTGACTTGGCCAGAGGCTCATCGTCAGATGACTCATCTTTGACAGCCTTCTTCGGTGTAGCCTTCTTTGCCTTGGCCTCGTTGGCACGGATGCTGCGAGCCTCCTTGGCGGCCGCCTTCTCAATGTCGGCCTTCTTCTTTGCGAGCTTGGCACCCAACGGCTGGTCGTCATCGGAGGATTCGTCGGGCAGAGCCGTCTCCTTGTACGAAGGAGGCAGGTTCTTGCCCCTCTTTGAGGTAAGCGGCTCGTCATCCGAATCTGTCTCTGGTGCCTTGGGCTTCGTCCTTTGTCGCTTGGCCTAAAATGATACCGTCAGCCTCGGATTCCCCCACCGTCCATCTGGCATTTGTAACCTACCAAAGGGGCGTCGTCGTCACTCTCGGTTTCGTCCTTGTAATTGACCTTGGGCAAAGATGAACGAGACTTCCGCTTGCCATTCGTAGATGGGCCGTCGATGTCCATGACATCGTCGTCCACCGGGCCATTGCGAATCGAAAGGCCAGGCGGGGCCGCTCTTGCCTTGGATGCGGTTCTGTCCATGTCGGTGTCGTCGGCCTTCGAAATTCTCGATGCAGAGACTGCAATGAGCGAGTTAGAAAGTTGCTAAGTTTTTCTCGGATGGTTTCGTAGGCAAAGGCCGGGATGGAGTGCAAAGGCACGCGACGAGTCAGGTGGGTTTGTGTGTAGACGTGGAGAGAGAGGGAAAAAAGTGACACGTCCGGCGTAAAGTGGCAGGCGCGAAAGGCAAAGCGTCCAAAAGCGCATAAAGTTTTAAGGTGGTTTCTTAGCGCACTTACCGTGTCCGTTAGACCTCGCGAGAGGTGCGTCGTCGTCGGAAGAGCTCATTGTGAGAGCGAAAGGTATCGGTTCGCGACGTTTACGGACGGTTAAGTAAGAAGTGAATCGCAAAGTCCAAAACCGGGGCCTTGTGGAGCAGAAAAAGTTGTGGTAGAAGCCGATCCGCGCAGAAGAATCGCGTAGATATAGAGGCAAGAGCCGGATGGTTGGAAAGGCCGCCACTTGCTTGGGTTGAAGACGCGGGGAAAGCACCCACGTCAAGTTCGACTCGAGGAAGGAGGGCGAGGTTTTCCGGGAGGGAATCGAGGGAAAGGAAGCTAGGAAAGGATGGGCGGGAAATTCATCGAAGACCTTCCAGCTGCGAGCGAAACTTAATGGGGCTGCCCCTAGGAGTCTGGGTAATCCAAGGAACCAGTAGGTAAGCCGGGAAAGCAAGGGCCAGTCCCGTCCCAGCCAACGCCTGCGCCACAGTCTGGACCACGTGACCAGCTACCGGCTGCCGGTCAAACTCAGTTAGCCGGGAAAATGAGGTGGATGGAGTCGGGTGCGAAGAATGCTAGCCGGGGAGGAAAATAACCTCGAACCTACCAATCTCGCTATCCCGAAGCACCGTCCGACAGCGTCAATTGATCTCGAAAGCGGTCGTGATCAATTGGTCCCCACACACGGCAGAGGCTCGATCTTCTTAATACCTACCAACTTTCACAATGCTTTCCCGGGCGGCGAGACCAGCTCTGCGAGCTGCGGCTGCGGCTCCCTCGCGGTAAGTCGGAATCCACATCTTCCTGAGCTCGGAAAATCGGAGGAAAGGGACTGTACGTAAGAGGACGCCACCACCGACGGTCGGTCATCAACGATTGAGGAGGATGCAATGGGACATTGGGAAGCGAATGGAGGCGATATCGAAGCAAGGATATAAAAGAGAGCTGTCATGCTGATTGCGGCGTTTCCAGAGTCACGGCCAGCGCGCCTATCAACGCTGCCACCTTCGCGACTCTCCGTGAGATCGAAGGCCGCCTCAAGTCCATCCGCAACATTGAGAAGATCACCAAGACGATGAAGATCGTCGCTTCGACCAAGCTCAACCGCGCCCAGAAGGCCATGACCGACTCCCGCGTCTACGGCGCCACCTCCAACGAGGTCTTCGACTCGGCCGAGACCAAGCCCCTCGAGGGCGAGGGCAAGAAGGAGCTCATCATTGTCTGCTCCTCCGACAAGGGTCTCTGCGGTGGTATTCACTCCGGTCTCTCCCGCAACATCCGCCGCCAGTTCCTCGAGAAGGACGCCTCCGCCGACCTCGTCATCCTCGGCGAGAAGTGCAAGGCCCAGCTCCAGCGCACCAACGCGAAGGACATCCGCCTCAGCTTCGCCGGCGTCGGCAAGGACGTCCCCACCTTCGCTGATGCCCAGGCCATCACCGACCAGATCGTCCAGCTCGGCGGCGACTACTCCTCCATCAAGATCCTCTACAACAAGTTCATCAACGCCACCAGCTACGAGCCCACCACCATTGAGGCATTTTCCGAGGAGGCTATTGCCGCATCCCGTAAGCTCTCTTCCGCAACATGAGCAGTATATCTATCGTACGAGTATATCTAACTCTTGATTCATAGCCAACTTCTCCGCCTTCGAGGTCGACGAGGAGCTCCTCCCCAACCTCCGCGAGTACGCCCTTGCCAACTCCATCTACTGGGCTCTGGCCGAGGGCCACGCCTGCGAGATCTCTGCCCGTAGAAACGCCATGGACGTACGTAATTCCCCTTCGCGATTACATATCCATCAAATTATTTTTATGAGCCCATACTGACTTGAGATTCGTAGAACGCCTCCAAGAACGCTGGTGACATGATCAACAAGTACCAGATTCTCTTCAACCGCACCCGTCAAGCCGTCATTACCGGAGAGCTGGTCGAGATTATCACTGGTGCCACTGCCTCCGAGGACATGTAAAGCGGGTTTGGAAAAGCGCGCATCAGATAGAGATGATTACTACCTCTCTTCCCTTTGTATCAAGCTACCAAGGGCGGCTAGTTGCCCTCAGTGTACCAAATCCTCGCGAATACATCCTGATCTAGAACATGGATAATTCTGTTTCACCTTTTATTGCCCTTCTCAAAACATTGAAATCATTGCCTATGCTGGTCTCATTCGTGATGTTGCTATGTACGGGCCTAGTGAGTACTATATATGTGTAAGGCTCATTACTGGGCAAAGAAAGAAGCAGCGAGACTCGCATCTCAAAGGCGAAAAGAGGATGACTATGACACGTGGGTATGCAGGACTCCCCTCAACGCCGATAAAACAAGACCATAGCCCCCAGTATGCATTTCGCCGCCATACGCGCCTGTTTGCAAGAGGCGAGAGAAAGCCATCTAGTCCGCTCCTATGTGACCATCCGTGAAGTAGTGAATTATGCTCCAGGTTGCGCCTTCGAAACCTCGCAATCACCATCAGAACCCAACGTCGCTGCCGTCACTTTCGGCGTAGCTGACATGCTTGGTCCTACGATGCTTCTGCGCGCTGCTCTCCCGCTGCGGTCCGCCGCCCTCCCCGTTCTGCGGGTTATACGGGTGCTCCCGCTGATACGCCGCCAGGATCTCGACGTAGTCCTTGTCCCACTGCGCCGACTTTTCGTTATATGCCGTAACGGCATCGGCGTAGGCGGCCTTCTGTTCGACCGCCTCGTCCTCATACGGCTTCCTCTCCTCGGGCGTGGCGGCCTTCCACATCTTGGACGTCATGACGCGCACCTCATTCGGCACAGGCTTCTTCCGCCCCGCGCGCTCCTCCTCGCACTTTTTGCGGGCAACCTCGAAGAAGGCCCGGCTGTAGAGGAGGTAGGCGTTTGCCGCCAACTTCGCCGGGCGTGAGGGCCTCTCGCCGATCTTGGACTTGATGTATTCCCAAGCCGCAAGCTCATAGGCCTCCAGACGCGCTTGTTCCGGGTCCTTGGGCCCTTCCATGTCCTTGCGTTTGTTGGAGACGCTTTCTTTGGGCAAAACCAAGGGCGTTGGAATGTCTATCGGGCCGAGGATAGAATCAACGACCTCCGATGCTGCGCGGAGTCCCGATAGGTAAGCTCCGTGAACGGTGGCAGGATGGGTGCCGATCGTGTGCTCTCCAGCGAAGAAGAGGTTGCCGATCGGGCGCGACATCGCATCATAGTCGTCCGGTTGCATATCTGGCCCGGCCGAAGAGTAGCTTCCTCTAGCAAACTTGTCTGAGGCCCAGCGGGTCACAACTGACTCAACGGGGCACGGCACCGCGGGTCCAAAGACGCTGCGTAAGACCTCGGTCGCCTCGGCGACCAGGTTATCGTTACTGTTATGCTCCGTGTCAAAACCAGCGTCACCCGCCATCAGCGCCACGAGGCATGGTAAACCTGTTGTCTGCGTGACGTTGAACCACTGGAAGAGGCGCCCCCTCGAGGATTTGTAGTCGCTCTGATTCAGACTATGCCGGTTAGGGGCATCTCGCAGGACACCAAATATGTGCCTCTCCGTATCCCAGAAAGGGTGGTCGTAAACCAGGACTAGTTTGTTGAGCACTCCATATCCTATCCGGGTGATTACGTCTGTTTTCCACTCCGGCAAAGGCGGATCGAATTCGACGCTGCCCTGCTTCAACACACCAAGCGGTATTGTCGAAACGACATAGTCTGCGTCAACTATTGATCCATCTTCACAGTGAATAGAAGCTCGCCCGTTTTCCTGCGTGTCGTACTTAATCTTCTTGACGGCAGACTTCGGCCTAACGTCGAGAGGCGTCGGGCAGTGCACAAGGCCTCTGGGGACGCTCTGGTACCCGCCAACGATCATAGTGTGCTTGCCTTCCCACTCGTTCCCAGCGTCAATGTCCCAACCACCTAAACTAAGGTTGTGAAGATTGGTGGCATTGCTGTATTCCAGGTTCGCCACATGCCAATTGATGAGGCGGTGGTCTTGGGCAGTCAAATCCACAATATTGCGATACTGAACGACGGCCTCGTCCATGACTGAACCAAGCGTTGCCGCTGGCAAACTCACGGCTTCGTTCAAATCAATATTAGCGTCGTTCGTAGAGCCATTTTTCAATGTCCATCCCATCATCTTAGCCTTTTCAGATGCCTTGAGGATGCCCGGGGTACCAGGCTGAGTATGTACACGTCCGGTCAGCTTGTCCGAGGAAACTGGCACCAAGTTGACTCGTTCAGGCACGTTTTGTTGAGAGACAGGTGGCGCATGCGGCAGTGCGGCAGTCGCTTCTTCAGCCTGGCTGATTGTCCTGTGTCCGTCACTCACGGCATCTCGCGCTTCATTGATCAGGTCTCGGTTGCCCTCGATCAGCTTGGAGGGCTGTGACTTGAACTTGTATTCGCTGACTCGATCCAAGCAGTCGTTGTACAAATTCTCCACAAGTTGATCTCTCACATAGTCCACGGGCTTGCCGTTTGAATCGTAGATTGTTGTCTCTGATCGCAGGGCACGGTATGGGAGACACAGCTGTGCACGTACAAGGACGTTCATTGGGTTGCCGCGCTCGAATCCCGTAATAATCATCCCGCCCATCTCGGCGGTAAATCGCTCCCCGTCAAAATCCGGCAGCGGTAGCGTCGGCTTTGATTTAAACTCTCTCGAGTATACCCTTCCACCAACTCGACCGCGCCCCTCAAGTACGACAACTTCCGGTAGCGGCTCTCCGAGCGCACGATATCGATCGGAATACTGCCTTATCAACCCATCGAGGTGTCTTGCGCAACCCAACCCGGACATACCAGCACCGATGACAACAATCCTTTTCCTCCTGGGCACGTTATCTGCAGCCGCGACCTGCTCGGCTTGGTCGCTTGTTGCTGGAAACTCTACACAACCAAAATTGATGTAGCCGCGCCGCACCAGCCAGTCGTAGCAAACGCTTGCAGTGTCAAACCACCGGGTGTTAGCGCAGCCGACCGCCTCTTTTCTCGTTACTGCGACACGCGGGTTGTTGTACCAAAGTCGAAGGATGCCGTTTCTGATGTTGAGATATGTAGTTACCTGGACATGACTGATGTGCTGTCGGAACATCTGGTATTCCTCTTGATGCAGAGCGTATGGGTTCAGCCTTGAGGACTCGGCAGCTTCTATGCATTGCCTTGCGTAGTCATAATTTGAGAGATTTGATGGGATAGACGATTTCGGCTTTACATCGAAGGATCGCCGCACTGCCTCGCGTATTGGAGGGGTTTCCGTCGATGGTATGGGGAACTCTTTATGCCCCTCTAGGTCCACAGGCGTCGTTGCCTTACTAGACACCGATGAGGGAACTGAAGACAGCTCAGACAGCTCGTGGTCTGATAGATTGGTCATCGGTGACTCGAACGACTCGTGAGGGGTATCGTGTGACTGGATATGGAGGGTTTCTGATTCGGCATCTTCTGCCATGGGTGAGCTGCTCGAGGGTCAGTAAAAACGTGCACTTGGTTTTGAGGGTAAACATGACGACACAGTCAAGGCATCTCATTGAAAGAGAACGAGCAGCCACGTACCCAGGGTTCGATGCGGGGACAGAGGAGGGCTCCGCCTCATCCTGACTTGTGTCATCTAGCTCCATGTCTTCGGTCCAGACGACGATTTCCGGTGCGATTTCCGAGATCGCTTCTGATGAGATTCGGCTTGATGGAGATGGTGTCGTCGAGTCTGCAAAGTTTGATGTCGATATCCGACTGAGCGTCGCGCTAGCCCTTGAAGGCGTGAAGTCTGATATGCGTGAGTCCCGATCAGGGAAATCCATCAATGAGCCCTTTCCAAATCCAGAGTCCTGCTTAACACGAGATCTCGGACTGGTTCTCATATTTCAGTCGTCGACTTGGATTGGATTCGAGGATGAGGTATGGCTATATGTTGGTGGAGGCGGGTGGTCGGCGATGAAAGATGCTCGGCCTGAGCCCCGTCCGGGGGTGTGATGTGGTGGGCCTAGTCCCAAGTCGACAACATGTTACGATATCTTAGCTCAGGTGAATCTGAATAGTTTCGCTGTGTAAGATCCGTCAGTTGATTTAGGTTCTCGGATTTGCAAGTGTTGGATATAAGAGGAGCCAGACATAAGGTACTGACCTTTTGACTGCGGAGACGCCACTGGCCCTGGCCGCAGAGCACTGTCCCGTCCTCGGTTGAGTGAGCCGTCCCGATATCGTTCGAATCGTGATGGGAGAACGCCGAACGAAGTGCATGAAATAATGGCTTATTGTTCTAGACAACTCTGTTGAGGAGACAGAGTCGTAGGCATGAAGAGGGAAATCGTCAGATACATGACCCGTTGAAATCGCTAGGTTCGGCACTCGACATGAGGAGCTCCAGCGTTCGAGACAAAAAAGGTGGGTCACGTGATGCTCTGACAAGCCACACCATTCATTGCCTGCACTCTTCTGGACTGATTGCAGGTCCGAGCCAAACCGACAACATCCTCTGACGGAAGCCACTGACTCGAGACACACTGGCCGAGCATTGCAACCCATAAGGACGAACATTGATGCTGCTAGTGGTTTTGGATCAATCCCCTGTGAGAGAAGCTTATTATCTAAATGCTCGTTTCGTCTTTCGCCCTCGATTACATCGCTTCACACCAACCAAATGCTCCTGGTATCGGTATTTGTCACACTCTGCGAAGCCTTCAATGCATCTCACAGTGTTGGACTTGCAGGCTTGACATTGTCTCTTGCGAACGACTCCTTCTCGATCGCCGCGTCCATCATTCGGTCCCCGTTTATGATCGACGTCGTACAGATGATAATGTTTCTTCGAGCTGCAGAACAAACCGGTTAGTGCCGTGTCGCTTGAGGAATCCCTCTAGAGTCACTTACATTCTTCCTGCTTCGCGATGAACCGCAGAGCAGCGATCTCAGTGAACGTTATGCCTCCGACAAACACGACGAATACCGTCTGCTTTTCTGCCCCTCCCGACAAAAGCGCACGAGCCTTGACGGCTTTCTCCTCACCCTTCTGCAATTCGTAAAACGTTTGCCCACGAACGTGCTTGATAGCTTCGTCAAACCCGTGCCAGCCCTGTGCAGCGGATCCTCCCGGTGCACCGCTGACGCCGTTCCCTCTCGTGACTTTGAGCAAGTACTGCTTCTGCAATACGCACTGGACAAGTCGGACCGACAGCGGCGCGTATCCGCTGTATACATATGCGATGTCATTGGGATCGTCTTCCTGGACTTCGTCAACAATGAGACGCAGAAGTTTACGGAGGTAAGTGTAGTTCGTCTTCGTCCCCGTGTTGTTACCGCCGGCGCCAGCCATGGGAATCATTTCCGCCAATGGGGAAGATCGTGACAGGAACAATTGAAGCTTCTCGAGGTTGTTTAAAGTCAGGATATGTTGGTAGCCATAGCCCTCCAGAATAAGTCGCCGGAACTGGTCAAATTCTTTGGGTTTGATACCGCCTGATATGCACGAGTAGATGCAAAGCAGCCGTAGAACTTCCGGCAATGGTGTATCTCGAGCAATCAGCTCTTCAATGGCATCGAACTGCGATGACGGGTCCGCGCCAGCCGCTAGGTTCTGCTGCGCTTCCAAAAGACCCTTGAACTGGTCTGTCCGCGTATACTTTATAATCTCTTCCGCCAAGCCCGTATGAATTCTCAGGCTTTGCTGTTCGGCCTGGTATCCTGGCAGCTTACTGACAAAGTCTTTGAGTTCGGCGATCGATTTGTGACTATTCCGACCCTCGTAGTCCTTTTGCAGGTTCTGTAGGCGGCGAGCAACTTTGTTGAGTAGGCTGCCAACGATAGCAAAGTTGGTATCCCGCAGTTGCTCGTATAGCTTGTCGGAGGAATCCAGCTGAATCTTTCGTTTTCTGGCCTGCGCACTAGTTGCCGAAGACTGAGACGGGGCACCGACCACGGTAGTATCGACTTCAGCTTGGTTGTTTTGAATGCCAAATACCTCATCAATGAGTCCCTCGTAGGTTAGTTGGGTTAGCAAAGGAGTGACGAAGTCCACTTCGCGATCGATTATTATAACACTTTCGGTGAGTGTGCTTGGTGTCAAGCCACCTCGATTCGTTTCGTTCGCATCTTCACCAGCAAGTATCTCTTGTCGCATCCGTGCCAGGAGCTCGGCTACTCGTTTCGCGTTGTCGCCTTTGCCGATGATCCGGGGGAACAAGCCATGATTCTGCTGGATTTCCATCAAAGCTTTGGCGAGCAGAAAGGACGGCGTTACGTCTTTGGAGAGATAGAGGTCGCGAAAAGATTCGTCTAGCTCGAGTGAAAGAACGTCTTTCTCCAGGGGAAAGAAGTATAGTGGCAGCTCAGAAATGTTGACATCGCCCAAGACGCCAGCCTCCTCTAGCAGTTTGTCGGAGACGAGGGTCCGACGAGGCACCCAGAAGATATGAAACTCATGGCCAGTCTGACTCTCGCGCTGTAAACGTCGGATCTGCTCTGGGTGGTTGTTAGCAATGAGCACGACTTGCTTGGTCTCGCAAGAGATTGGCCATGGTGAGGTGTCCCATCATGCCACATCGATGTCGTCAACCAGGAACACGGATAACGAGACCCAAGCGCGAGAGTGTGAGGTCTCTCGGCTGCCACTTGCAGAAGGCCTCGCGAGTTCGCATAGTGGGGAGCGCTGACCTGCTATCGTTTGTGCATGACGCGCGCACTCTCCGCGGGCTATGAAGATGACATTTCGCTGGCTGGTGTCGGCGTTTTTGTTCTCGAGGAAGAAGAACTTGTCTACGCCGTATTCTTGGAGAGTGGCGACTTTGACGATAGTGCCGATTGGACCGGCCAAGCTGCGCTCAAGAATGAGGTTCTTCTTTCCGCGAACCTGATGAAGCCGATGTGGTTAGCTCTTGGAGGGCAGGCTGTCAGCTCGGAATGCCTTACTTACAGCCTCGAGCAGGTAAAGGAGGTCCTTGCGCGCTTTGTCCTTTATCTGGTCCGTATTGAAGCCAGCTCGAGGAGCCATTTTCCGCTCTCCATGCGTTTGGAGGATATTTTCGTGGGGCGGCTTGGACTGACCGCTGCTCAGTGAGTGAATGAGGTAGAAGGGGAGGAATGGTAAAGCAAAGGTGCTTGATGTCTGGAGCTACTGGTGGGAGAGATTAGATAGAGCACGGGACACCACACCTCACACTCAGAGCTGCGTCAGCGGGGCCTCGGCGGACAGATGTCACTTGGGGTTTCCAGCTTGCGTTACAGCGAGATGTGCGCCGTCAGGCCCTGCGCATGTATTTTGCTCCCTTGGGACAGGTAGTTAATCGGGGGGTTCCATGTTGGATCAGCGGGGTCCAGTCACTGCATCTGGCCCGCTCTCAGCGCTGCCGTCATAGTTCGACCTCGACCACTTTCTCCAAAGGTTGGCGATCGTTCATCCACGCATGCTGGGTAAGGTATTTTTGTTGTTGGCGATGGGATACGCTTGCTGACCGCTGAATGTCATTATCTCATTGACATAGCGCATGGTCTACTCTCTGCCAAATATGCACGCTGGGCGAAAGAATAAAAAGTCGCCCAGCTTGGCGGACAATTGTCTCTCATCCTGTTAGCCGTCGACATGGGGCTAAACATCGTCTGCGGGGCCCCCGATTCTGCTTGCGAAACACTTTTCCTGACGCTCTTTCCGAAGTACCGCTCCATGAAAGCTGGAGAGGATCCATCAATACCATGCCAGTATTCTCCTGCCTCTCGCAGAGAACCAACTCCGTAACCATCTGCCTGTCATGAGTTCCCGATCTGTATGCCAAATCCAATCCAACGCCGAAAACAACCCTGCCGCACAAGACACCGTCCTCATAATCAGACGGTGTTATCGTGATAGTAGAAGTCGATATCTCTCGGTCGCAGCCTGTTGCTCCGAACGAACTCGTCATCTCCCGCCGGTCGTTCGTTCTTCTCGTTGCCAGTCAACATGCTCTGTATGCTCATGCATACGCTCTCTACGTTCTGCACGGGACTCCAGCCTTGGCTGCCGAGCAAGTCGAGGCAAATAATTCCATTCGAATAGATGTGGGGGTGCATGGGAATCGGCCGCTCGGTCGTTTTGACGAATGTGACCTCTGGGGGTTCTAAGAAAACTGGTCAGCTTGGACAGCGAAAATGAGCAACGGTGAGTCGAAAAGGCTTACCTATAGGGTATTGTTGGGAGAACTTGAACTTGAGCCTGTAGACCTCATCCTTATAGAGCGGGTTTTCGTCTAGAACCCGTATGTCCATGAACCATTCTTCAAAGTTGTCGGCCGAAATGAGATCGATACCGGGGGGTAGGCCGGTGTTCAGCTGCACATGAAATGTCAGAGATTGTTGCGACACAGCGAGCGTGTGCAGCACGACAGTCGATCGTGAGGCAACGCAGTAGCAAGTGGGCTGGATGCGACGGACCTTGGAAAGCTCTTTGGCTAGCCGCTTGGAAGCGAAGCTGGATGCCATTTCGAAGCGCGATGAGATGCAGAACAACGCGAATGAAGTCACGCGTGGTAAACGACGAAGAGGGCGAGGACGGAGTAGGGCGGCACCGCAAGTGATGACCGTCGGCGGCTCGTGAAAGCAAGGCAAGGCAGAACACGGAGGGAGGGGCTTTGTCGGTTGTTGGAGGGGCTGCCCAGAGACGGACCCCACGATTCGGTGGTTGCTGCCGAGAACAGCACAACAGTGAAGGCGGGCGATGTGATGACGCGCGCCGGAGTAGCAAATGCAACAGCTGGAGCGAGAACCTGATTGTGAATGCAGGCGGACTGAGGCGAAACCTTTGCCTCCGAGGTTGTCTATCAGAAACGAGCCGAATATCGCAAAGATGCAGAAAAAAAGACGATGTAGAAAAATTGCGCCGTCAGAGAAGATGCAAAGAAGAAGAAGAAGCGACAGCCTTTGTCGGTCGAATTCCGGCAGGCCTGCGCGTAAAGGCACTGTAACAGTAGACAGTGCTCGGATTACAGGCGCGCGAGGTCCGGACGCAGCGAGCAAGCTAGCTGGACAACACCTTGCCTAAGAGTCTGGAGGTCAAACAGCGCCGCAGGCAAATATGGGCGGCTGCTTCTGACACTGGGTAGGTACATAATTACCTTATACCTACCCTAGGATGCCCATGCTGCCGACGATCCACTTTCCTTTCAGTGATTCAGGCAGTTCTTGGTTCACTGAAATAGTGTCCCCGTTTGTTACACATGCATGCATTTCTGTGGATGTGGCGGCAGACTATCAACCCCCCCCCGTTTCCGGTCACCAACCTTTTGACAGTGGCTTGCAGGATATGGAGAGTACCTACGCAGAAGCTTTATATAAAGCGTGGGGACGTGTGTGACGATAAGATGGTTGTTCCCTAATGTACTTACGCAGAGTCGTCTCTACTCGTAAGTGATATCTTCGGGGTATGCTCGTTTTACTCATTAACCTTATGAGATGTCCAGCTTGCCGATTTGTTATTGTCGCTAGCGAGCTGTGGGTGTCGCTAGGTCTGTTCTTTGTTGTTCGGTTGCCATGTACCAGTCCCTCAGACCGAGGAGCCCTGGCCGTTGTGTCACCGTTCAGTGGCATGGCTGCAGAATCGCACCAACAACAAAAGGGACAAAGGCAGGATGGCTTGGACGACTGTGTTGAACTAGGGACGGCAGTTGTGTATGGTTTTGCGCAGAGGGAACCAGCCTCAAGGCCCGAGTCGGGAAGGGAACCTGGCTGTCAGTCTTTCCTCCAGACCCTGCAACGCCTTGTCTACCACTTTTTGACCCTCACGATGTCATCGCCAGGAAACAATGCGTACCGGGATGGGCCTAGGCCCGGATTTTCTAGCCTTGCAGGCCAGCAACCACCTCACAGTTCTGATGGCACACCACACCAGAACGCCTGGCCGGAAGGCAGTCAGTGCTTGTGGCAGCGAACGCGGCGTGCCAGAGTGAAAAGCGGCCTCCTCAGCCACAATTTCCAAACATGTCGTTGGGATACGGCAATCCACACTCGGGACCCCTGCAAGCAATCTTTAGTGCTCCTGGAGCGCAGTGTCATCACGGCCATGTCCGTGCTTCCCTTCTCTGCCCCTCCCTCGTCTGGCTGCGGCTGAGCATCCTGTTTAATTCTTAGCAGCCCACAAGGCTCACTCCGGCTGGCCATGACCCCTGGAATGCTGTTCCCTGTGATGGATGGATGAGCTGCCTGTTTTTTTCTCTTTGGGAGCCGTACTGCCTAGAGGCTGCCTCTGCTGCCTCTGCTGCCTCTGGGGGCTCTTGTAACTTGCTGGATACTAAAAGGGAACCCATCGCGGTCGCAACCGCTTAGCAGAAAAAGCCACCGCTCATCCGTCAATCTGCCATACCAAGCGAGCACCGTCTGACTTGTCTGGACCCCAGAGTCTCTATCTCGCTTGTGAAGCTCACCTCTCTTCTCCTCCCCTCCCATCGCACCTCCCGTCTTTTGTTACCCCACTTCACCCCTCAGCCCAAGCACCAGCAGCTACCAGCACCCCGACCCGGACCCCCCTCTCGTCAGTCGACCTTGCAAGTCTCCATCAGCAACTCTGCTTCTCCGTCCAGTCCAGTCCAGTCCAGGGTTCGAGCCTTCTCTGACTGCTTGAATTTTCCCTTCCCCTACGCCAGCCTCGAGCATCTCTCCCTCACACACGCCCGTCTGCGCTCCCGTTTCTTACACTCGACTCACTTCTCCTCGACGACTCCATCGTCTCTGCGCCTGTCGTGTCTGTCCAGCCATTAAACCACCCTTCCGCTCGCTGCGACCGATTACCATTCCCACAAAATGAGTTGTAAGTGCCACGGTCGCGTTGCTCCCCGACTCTACGATGGCCTGCGACCGATAGCTTCGCTTTGTCTCCATTGCTTAATGTCGAGTCGCTCCATGCAACACCTTCTTCAATTTCTCCTCGCCTACGATACAACTAAGGCTGACCACGAGTTCGTCGATAGTCTCCAATATGCTGAGCAGGCTTCAGGGCCAACCCGAGAGCTACGATAAGAAGTTCGAGCCCCTCCTCGACTACCCCTCTGACGATCTTACCCTAACGTGTTCGTTGCAGGGCCAAATACCGCTTCGGACGCACCCTTGGAGCTGGAACCTATGGTATCGTCCGTGAGGCTGATGGTCCCACTGGCAAGTGCGCCGTCAAGATTATCCTGAAGAAGAATGTGAAGGGTAATGAGAGGATGGTGTACGACGAGCTGGACATGCTCCAACGCCTCAAGCACCCCCACATCGTCAAGTTCGTCGACTGGTTCGAGTCGCGTGTAAGTACCGCACCGGTGAGAGCCGTGTCCTGACCCGACCTATCTGACAGCCGTCGTGCAGGACAAGTACTACATCGTTACTGAGTTGGCTACGGGCGGAGAGCTTTTCGACCGCATTTGCGAGCAGGGCAAGTTCACGGAAAAGGATGCCTCGCAAACCATCAAACAGGTACTTGAGGCCGTCAACTACCTGCACCTGAACAACGTCGTCCACAGAGGCAAGTTTTATCTGAAATCTCTCGTGGTAAACAACACCGCTAACGCAAAATCTAGATCTGAAGCCTGAGAACCTTCTCTACTTGACCAGAGACGCCGAGTCCGACCTGGTCTTGGCTGACTTCGGCATTGCGAAGATGCTCGACCGGAAGGACGAGGTTCTTACAACGATGGCCGGCTCCTTTGGCTACGCAGCCCCTGAGGTTATGCTGAAGAAGGGCCACGGCAAGCCTGTGGACATGTGGTCCATGGGTGTCATCACATACACACTTCTCTGTGGTTACTCTCCCTTCCGCTCGGAGAACCTTCAGGACCTCATCGACGAGTGCAGTAATGCCCAGGTTGTGTTCCACGAGCGGTACTGGAAGGATGTCAGTGAAGATGCCAAGGATTTCATCTTGCATCTCCTGCAGCCGGAGCCTGTGAAGCGCTGGTCGAGTGAGGTATGTTGCCCCTGAACGGCCGCTGTGACGGAACAACACTAACAGAACAACAGGAAGCTCTTCGCCACCCCTGGCTCAGCGGAGAGAACGCTACCGACCACAACTTGCTGCCCGAGATCAAGGCTTACATTGCCAAGGCTCGTCTTCGCCGCGGCATCGAGATGGTCAAGCTGGCCAACAGAATCGAGACGCTCAAGGCCCAGGAGGAAGACACGGAAGACTCGGATTTCCCTGCCGATGCTATCAGCGCAGCCGACCAATCCAAGCATGTGGGCGCTCACGAAGTCGCCGTTGGCGAGAAGCGCAGTCTGTCCAAGACGATCAAGGGGGCCATCTTCCGCGAAGTTGTTCTTGCCAAGGTCCGCGAGATGAAGCAGCAGCAAGATACGCTCAAGGTGAAGGAGGAGGCGGAGAAGGAGCACAGAAGACGCAGCTTCCAGGGCTAGGGAGTGTCGCCCACGTCTTCGCTTCGACGCTGACTGGTTTGTCGGGCCCAGGAAGATGATACCACACGGGTTGAATGATACAGCAGAGCCCTGATCACTGCTTTGAAGCGTATTTTGATATTGTTGACATTTTCTTCGTCATCGTGCTGCCCCCCCTTTTTTTTGGCACGCGCATTTCGTTTCAAGCCCGCGGGGTACAGGACTTGGTAACTGTTATATTTTTGTTGCTTTACCAGAGCGGGTGGGAGGAACAGAAAAGCGAAGCAGACACGTTTTCACAGCAGTCGTCAATTTCATCCAGAACCGAATTTCGTCTTGACAGTCCAGGCCGTGTATTGCGTGAGCCATGCAGTCTGAACCGTATCCTTCGGATGACATTTGACATGTCTGATCGCCCTCGCTAAGCACCGTTGACCATTGAGAGGTCTGTTCCCCTTGTTGGGCAACAATTGTTCGAATGCGCTCCCCATGCATATAATCTAGACATCTAAAATACGGGTGAGTTAGGTAGATTCGTGGCATTTCATTTGGGTCAAGGAAGATATTTTCAAGATGAACTTTGCAAGCTGGCATTGCTACTACTTGAAGTCAGGGAGGCGGGGAGCCCACCATCTTGGAGACGCCCTCCTCCCTGCTCTAGACTACACTAATAATATTGTGGTTGTTCATTGAGAGTCGTTGATGTTGGTTGTACAAGGTATATCTCAAAAGAAGACGACTTTAGAGAAAAAGTCGAGCAAGAAACCGCCCCCCGTGGTGCGCCGCCCTGCTCTAAAATGCTGAAACAAATGAGCCAAAAGCAAAAAAACCCTGAAATGCAGATGAGAAAAAAAACATAATCCCCCCTTCCCTCTTTCCTTTTGCATTAACCGCCCTGGATCCTGTACGCTTTTGATTCGCCGTGCATGGCTAAAGGAGGAATACGCCTCGAGGAGAAATAAATGGCACAAAATGCGAATGAGTGAGCATGTGCCGGTGGTATCATTTGAGAAACTGAAAGCAACAGAAAAAGAATAAAACAAAAGGCGTGAGTTATTGGACGGGCGGAGCGTGTGATCGAGACAGAGATCCGATCATCATGACAACTCGGCGAGGACGCTCTCACGAAGCGCCTCATAGCGGCTGGCGTCGAAGCGGCGACGCTGCCAGTTGTTTTGGCGGAGACGCTCGATGCGAGCCTTGATGTCAAGGCTGCGCAGCTCGTCTTCGAGCTCTGGGGTTGCAGCTCTGGTTGAAAGCGAGTCGGGGCCGGTGGCGTCTCGGAAGGGCGCAGCAAGCTGTTCTTCGACGTTGGCGATGTGGACTGCGATCTGCGATCGCAGGCTAGACAGCAAACCGCAATACCGGTGGATGGAGCGCTCCTGCAGGAAGTCGAAAGCGTCGCAGTCCTCGCTCAGAGGCTCGGGTGTCGGCGGCTTTGTCATCTCCTCGGGCTCATCGGCGGGCTCCGGCTCCTCGGGGAGGACAGGGAGATAGCGCGGCTCGGGCTCTTGCGGGGCGCACAGGAAGTCTTCAAAGCCAAGAGTAGGAGAGTCGGGGCGAATGAATGGCTCCTCAGGAGCGTTGCAGAAGGTAACGCGCTTCTTGGGCGGAGGCTGGTTGGCAGCCATCTTGTTCACTGCATCCTCCACGGAACAGACAGACGGAGTGGGTGACGAAAAGGCTGTCGAGTTCGTCCAGGTTCGGGATGAGGCGCGGGAGGAGATGGAGCTTGAAGGGGAGTGCATGCTTGAGGTTGCCGCCGAGGATGGCCGTGATGAGCGGGCCATGCTCTCGTCCGCTGCCTTGCTCAGATCCGACGCCTCCATGTAATGGGCCCGCGCCTGCTGGAGCAGCATTGTCCGGTACGGCGAAGTGCCATGCAAATGCCGCGAAAGCATGTCGAAAGAGCTGGCAGCGTAAAAGTGCAGATATATCAGGTACGCCGGCTCAATGTTCGCCTGATGATTTGGGTTAGTATGGTTTCGGGCCGCTTCGACTTCAGACGACCATGACTCACGGATTCCTTCATGTTGTCCAAGATTTCGCAACAGCGCAAAGAGCATGGCCGGTACTTGCGGTTTAGGTACTGACGCTTGACATCAGAGACAGCCTTGATCCATTCGGCGGATGTGTAAGGCAGTACTGGAAGAGCTGCCGGCGTCTGCATTGACAACCGCCTAGAGGCCCGTGCTTTAGGAGGTGCAGGTGGGTTCGTCATTGTCGTCGTTGCTACCGTTGACTGTGGCGTAGAGGCGTTCAAAGGTGCTGGGCCATTGGTTGAAAAGACGATACTGCTGCGGGAACCGGCGGCAACGGGCTTGAGAAGCAGAGGTATTAAACCACCCATCGTGAATGCTTTAGAGTGCGTGCTTGTTGGGAGAAGGTTCCGGATGCAGAGTTGGCTGAGTGATGAATAGGCACAGCTAGCTCGGCTCGCAACTTGGTCGTCCGATGTGAGACCAATCGTTGTACAGGATCGTGCCCTGATACTTGCAGTCGTCGATGCTCAACCGCCAATGACAAGCAGGTGTTATTGAACTAAGAGATAGGGTTCGTAGCACTTGATGCTGAGAGGTCAAACTATCGAGATAGCCGGAAAAGAAGATTTAATTCGGATGACCGGAGGCCGGCAGGACGAGCAGTGTGTGGAAGGGCTCCTCGACGAGTCGACAAAACACGGCGACTCGGCTTTCGGCGCAATCGGGTAACCCAAAAATGCGTAACGGGCGGTGCACCGGGACTCGGGAGCAGTCTCAAGTCGCGTGCAGGCTGCTTGTTGGCATCAAAACTGGGGATGATCTTCGGCCAGGGTTTGTATCAGAAGACGTCTAGGTGGTGCTGAGTTTATGGACGTTTGGGGTTTCCACGTTTGTGTCTTCGAGCTATGAAGACGAACTAGAAGGGAGTGACGCGCGCAGGTCACAAGATGGCAATGTCGCGTATATTAGGATGGTCGTACGGTCGATGATTCGTATATCCTTGCGGCTCCAGAAAGCGGAACAGCAGGTTGCGTCAAGTCGAACGGGGCTGGCTGAGGGTCGAGGAAACAGAAACAGGGAAACGCCAATCGTAAGAGTGCCCAACCGTAGGGATTGTGTGCGTGGTTGCGAGGTAGTGGAAGTGGCGGCTGAATACCAAGACAAGTCGTCGGATGTGAGACCAGCGACTGATGGCAAGTCTTAATTAATGACGAATAGTCCACCGAGCGGAAGCGTGAATTAGCTGAATAGGCCCAAAGAAAGAAAGCAACTCTCGTGGTATCTGTAGACCGAAGGTTGGGAGAGATTATGGCACCTGGTGGGCAAGCGAGATGATGCGAGCAACACAAGAAGAAACGAGGGGAGAGGTTGGGAATCACAGAAAGGGATCTCGAAAACGCAAAACCAGATGCCCTCCGGGGCATTGGAGGGGATGGGTCGTGTTCAAGTACCTCAGGGGATGCATCCAGCGGAGGTGATTTCGCGGATCCCCCCAAGCACTTGATATGGGTTTCCGTCCAACTCGAGGCTCGAGCTTCTCCCCTCGAGCTTGCTTTGGGTAGGATGTTTGCGCATCGACGTTGGACTAGGGAGAAAAGGGGAACAAGCTTCAGGCGTGGCCCGCGCAACGAGATTTTTTCGTCTCCTTCGAGGTCCTGCATATCGTGCTCCATCTCGCTGTGGTATGTTCCCCTGGCACCGGCGTGCCTTATCCTGTTGACCCTGGCTACTAGCCCTGCTCATCATTGGAGCTGCCCATGGTGGTGAACCCACACCCAATGCACGCCCCTCGCGCACCAATGTAACTATGTCGGTAGTTTGTGCGTACCTGACTACGAGTGCACGTCGCGCCGCCACGTAACGTACCCGTTCGCATATTGAAGAGACTAGGTAGCAAATGGTCCCCTGGCCACTTGCGTGGGTACGCTGTGAGCTGCGAGGCGTTGCTTGGTGTGTGGGATGGCTTGGGATGGCTTGGGTTGCTCGGGTAAGGAAGTGAGCAGTCATGCTCTGTAATCTGCAAGGTGCGAAAAGTCCCCACCTCGCGGCTGCGCCCTAGTCCGTTACATGGATACGCTATGAGCGATGCTCGTGGACGAGGCGTGGAGAGGGTCTCCGACCGTCTTGGAGGGCGTCTGTGTGCGCGAGTTGGCGAGATCCGTCCCCGATGCTATTCTTTGCAGCCCTGAGAACGCCGTGACGATCCGACATGGTAGAGATGACAAGTAATCAAAGACTGTCTCTAAGCAGGGATGGGTTCTGCGAGTGTCATGTTTGAGAAGTGGGAAATGGGGATGGGGGGAGACGAGCGGTTTGCGGTCCCGTTGTGGATTGCACGGGACGGACGGAGATGATTCGCGCGCGGGCTTGCTGGTGTCATTTCGCAAGAGGGATTATGCTGATGAAGACTTTCGATATTCGAGTCACGACGCACAACACACGACACACGACACACGCCAGAAACGCCGTGTGTATCTTGTCAGCAGGGAACCGTGTCTCTGGGCGACCAACGAACCGGAAGCCAGAACGCAAAGTTCGAAGGGAAGAACCCTTTGCTTGCAACATCAGCCCAACCAACGGGCAGTGGGTTATGATGCAAGACGGTTGGACGACACTCGAGACCCTTGCGCCAAAGGGAAAGGAAAAAAGAAAGACGCACGAGGCGAGGCGACGGATCCTCTCCCAACGGTGACTCAAGCAGATGGCAGCGGAAACCAACGGCCAAGCAGCAAACATTCACCCAGTTTAATCACCGCGGGTCTGGACTGGCATCTCCAGAGCCCAGAGTCCGGGTCCGGCAACCTCGTGCCCTGCCTGTTGCTGTTGGTGGACGAGGGCGGAGAGGAAGACGCGGGAGTGCCGTCGCCCTCTCCCTGGGATTTGGGAGGTGGGAGCCGACAGGTACCTGCACCGGCAAAGGTACTCGCGTCCAATGGCTGGACGACGCACACCTGCATGTACTCTCTCGTAAGGGAAGGTGGCTTGGTCCTGCACCGGAAGCCACGAACCGGCAACCCAATGGCGGGTCCCATCCTACCCTTGCATCAGATCTCCATCGTCGTTCCCTTCCGAGGCTACCGTCACTTTCCACACAGCTTCCTCCCCTTCTACGCCCCATTGAGCCCCATCTCTCTCCCCTGTCACAATCCTCGCAACCTCGTCTCACCTCTGCCTCTCATTGCACCCCATTGAACCCGATCCTACAGCTGCTGGGCCTTCTTTGGGTTGATATGCAGCATGCACATTTCTTCCAGGTTCATGACAAGTGATGGCATCCCACCCACTCTGGATTCCCAATTGCGCACCGTGACCCTGGAACCGTTCAATGGGATGTGGACCAAGAGCCTGGCCAGCCTGCGATCTCCCCTCTTACCCTTGAGCCCTTGGGTCTCTTGTTCAGTCATTTGGGTACCCGGCACTCGAGTAATGCCGCTTGATTCAATCATGACACGCCAGCGAGCCTCCGCCGAAAGACACGATGCCAACGTTCGCTACCACCGACACCGCCCAGCGGTCCCAATAAGGTGGTAACATCATTGTTAGGTTTGCTCCGATTATCCACGTCTTGACATTTGCCATGGCCACCGTCAAAATCCCACATTCGAGTGTCTCACCACGGACGAGGTATTCCTTGGGAAGGCTGTCAAACGAAATTGAGTCGCGCAGCGACACCGGCCGCCCCAGCAAGAAGATGCAACAATTTGCCTTTTTTGCTCTCGGGACTTGAGGGGAGAAACAAGCAAACAAGGCTAACACCAAAGGAAGATTAGAAGTTGCGAAAGAGGAAAAGGAGGGGCATCGTTGGTGTTCACCGTACTACCCCCAGTAAGAACCCGGCCCTCGCCCAATTTGCTGGCAGGTTTGTCGGAGACCCGTCAATCCCGTTGCCTCTCATTGTCTTTACCCATCCGTCCAGCACGCTTCGGGCGACCCAACAGCTCGTGCTCGTTCTCGTAGCCCCGAACCTCGGGCAATCAGACAAACGTCAGAAAACGACTGGATCTCCGATAACAAGTGTGAAAGTTGCCGGAAGGCGAGATTGGATCAAGAAGAGGCCTCAGCGCTGCCTCACGGACTCCGGACCGTGGAAGAAGAAAATACGGGCCCGAAACGAAACGTTTGCCTTCCCTTCCCTTCCCTTCCCTTCCCTTTCCTTCCCTTCCCCTCACCAATGCGACTCCGGTTACCCGCACCGCACAGATCTCCACCTAAATACCAGACGGCATGCACCTACCTACAGTCCATCATCACCGTCGCAATCGCGTGCACCTTGGATGTCTGTGCTTGCGCACTTCGCCTCCTCACCACAAGATCAACCGCCAGAATGATTCGTCCAACCAAGCTTGAGACTTCTCGAAGTCTGGTTTCGAGTCGGTGCTTGTTGTTTGAGCCAGATTCAACGCGACAACCAGTACGCATTCAACAAGGGATGTGTAAAGCGAGGTAAGGACAGGCCTTGCCGCATCTGAACAACCTGACTCCGTAATTGAGAAGTGGCCTGGAGGTTGGAGGGAAATGGTGACGCGAAAGACAAGATACCTACCTCAAGTTCAGATGAACGTTTGCCCCACCTAGCTTCGGCCCATATTGCAATGGCGGATGGAAACCATACCACAGCAAACAGCTCTTGGTCGTCAATTAGCCGATTCGTGCAGCTTTTGAACCACACTCAAACTGCAAACGCTCAACGTGGACTTCAGTCACCAGCTTCAGAGAGACGAGGTTTGCAAAGGTATTCTACTTTTCGTCCCCTCCTTGACCCTGTCAATGGCCTGCTATCGACCAAAAGACCCTGTCAACTTTGAACAGAGCCCTTGTATCCGCCTCACGATGTTGGCGGGGTTCGCGACTTGGGAGTCCTTGAAATCCCCCGCTCGCTTGCCCGTCGTTGATGTTTATGCGGTCGAGGCAGGGCTGGTCGTGAGGGGTAGAGCTGCCCCGAGCACTCGGGTCCACACCAAAGGGCATATGTGATGAACCTGTCGAGTGCTTTGGTGAAGTCAGCGTCGGTCGGCTGGATTTCTGGTGGTCTCAATCTTGGATCGATGGCGCTTTCTCTCTTGTGGCCGTGCCAATCTCAAGATCCCCTCGAGCAATCAGTCAGTCGGGGACGCGAAGCTATCAATGTTCCAAAAAAGAAACCGGGCTAGTTTCCTGCATCGGCCCATTCATCTCCTCAAAACCTGACGGGCATCGATCGCCGGCCTGGAACTAGCTTGCTGGCTAGGGTTCGTGAGCCCGTCCCTGCGCGCATCGGCTCCAGCACTAAAGCCCCATGGTGCGACGAAACCTCAGGTTTCCTGTGCCTGGTACTCCCGCCATTGCTGCTGCTCCGCTCGAGCTGCTTTGGCTGGAGATGCCGGTCCCTTTGTGTGTGTGAGAGGTTCCTGGAGGGAGCCAGTCGTGGTCCATGCTTCCTCCTCTACCCACGTGGTGATACACAGGGGCATTGAACGCCACGGCTGACGTAGCTCGACCACCAAAACTACTAGGGGCTCGACCGGACAATCCTACCTGATCATGGCGGCTGCCTAATACAGACGCCATCATGTTGGAGCCAAAGTCCCGGTGCTAATTACAGATTGACTTTGTAAGATGAAGCGACAATGGTCAAAAACGAGGACAAGATCACCGTCTGAAAGGGGGGTAGCTGATATGCTCGCTAGTTGTCTAATCCGGTTTTTTTGTTCTGCTTTCTAGTGCTTCATTCGCCGTCCGCTTATACGCTCGGCGTGTCCTCCGTCGCCTCGGCGGGCTTCTCTCCCTATGGCACATCGGCAGCCGGTGTCTCGGCGGCGCTCTCTGCCACCTTGTCCGATGCAGACGCGGGCTTGATGTCCTCGCCCCGCATACCTCCGACAACCCTTAGGCCCTCGGCCTGTCTGGCAAGGCCGTCGAGCTCACGCTTTCGTGACAGACGCTTCTGTACCTCGGGGACGAGCGACGCCATGTCGACGAGCTCGCCGTCCTTCTGGGGGTGGCCCTCAGGGAGACCCAGCTCCTTGATCCGGACGACGCCCTTCTGCACCTCGTCATCGCCGAGGATGATGGCGAACGGCGTCGCGTTGGACTCGGCCGCCTTGAACTGCGGCGGCAGCTTGGGCTTGACTTTGTACAGGAACTCGGCCTAGAAATTTCGACAGGGTGTCAGCGTTGGCTCCACCTTTGACTCGGTATAAGTCTATCCATGCTTGTCCTTCTCACCTTGATGCCTGCGTCCCATAGCTTAGAGCAGACCTCGAGTCTTTCCTTGATCAGGCCGGCCTTGGATCCCAAGGACATGACAAAGACGTCGACCGTGCTTTGCGGAGTTTCGCTCTCGGCCTGCATCCGGGCCTTGGTGATGCTGAAGATTCTTTCGATACCGAAAGAAACCTAGTTCGGTATTAGCATCTCGCCCGCTGTGCCTGGTGGTCACGTGCACTTACACCAACGCACGGAATCTGGGTCTTTCCAGAGAACATGCCAACAAGGTTGTCATAGCTATCATAGAGTTAGCGGACTGAAAAGTTCGAGTCAGGAATCCGGGACATGCTCACCGTCCACCAGCGGCGACACTACCAACGCCAACACTGGGGTCGTCGGAGCGGTCCTCATCATCCTTGTCCTTGCTCTTGCTCTTCTTCTTAGATTTGACTGTCTTGTCATCCGCATCAGGGGTAGCAGCAGGTGCTGATCCTTCCGTGACGACCTCATAGATGACACCGGTGTAGTAGTCTAGACCACGGGCAAGGGAGAGATCAAACGACACCCTGTCAAGGGCGCCAAAGGCCTCAAGGTAGTTGAAGAGGAGCTCGAGATCGGCCATACCGGCCTTCATCGAGGCGTTGGCTGAGAGCTTGTCATCCCGCTGCAGTTTCCGGAGGAGGTCCTGCTTGCCCTTCTGGACGACCCACTCGCCGATCCTGTCAGCAACCTCTCCGTCCAGACCCTTCTCCTCGGTCATCTCCTTTCGCACGTCCGCCCAAGGGAGCTTGTCGAGCTTGTCAACAGCAGAGGATATCGTCCGGATCTTGTCTTCGGGCACACCGCAGACCTCGAAGATACCGTCGAGAATCTTACGGTGGTTGAGCTTGATGGTGTAGTTTCCGTTCCAGCCGAGGCCCTCGAAGACCTCAACGACGATCCGGATGATCTCGGCGTCGGGGAGCATAGAGTCGTAGGTGCCGGCAATGTCGAAATCGCACTGGTAGAACTCGCGCATGCGGCCCTTGTTCATGGCAGGCTGGTCGCTGTGGTATGTTAGCGAGCTGCACCAACGTCTTGCCAAGGCTCGCGTGTGTCATACCGGCGGTAGACCTTTGAGATGTGGTAGCGCTTGACGCTCTGGATGTCCTTGTTCATGGCGAGCCATCTTGCGAAAGGGACGGTCAAATCGTATCTCAGGGAGGTGAGCTCGCCACCCTGGTCGGCAAGGTCGTAGATGAGCTTCGAGTCTTCGCCATACTATCACAGAAATGTTGATCAGCATCTTATGTTGGCTCAATGTTCCGAGTGGATCGCGGGGTTCGCGCGCGCATCGCTCGCAGGTGGGGGGAGGGGTAAACACGATAGTCGTACTTTGCCGGACAGGATCTCCTTCAGCTCGAAAACGGGGGTGTCAAGTTCCATGCCACCGTGCTTCTGGAAGACACCCTTCAGCTGCGAGAAGATCTTTTCGCGGATGAGCATGTCCTTGCCGAACCCTTGAGAAAATATTGTATTAGTCGCGTCATACGATTCCTCTCTCGGCGCAAATGGCGGCACGGAAGTGACTGACAATCCTTGGTGCCCTTGGGGGTCTTCAGCTCGAACTTCGATTTGGGCGCCATGGCGGGCAACTGTTCGCTATCGGTCTGGTAACGAGGAGACGACGACGAAAAAGCGCGACAACTGGGTCTGCTCCGGATGACGATGCTGCTTCTAAGCAAAAGAGGGGGTGGAATTGGGCTTTGGGAAAGAAAAGTCAGTCGGTAGGCCGGTCGGGCGGACCTCGAGAAAATCTTCACCTGGATCTGCATTCACCTGGCTTCCAACTGCGCAGAGGGGAAACCGATTTCAAAGTAGGAAAAGCGGCCCGCGGGGAATCTTGGTGGGTGACTCAATCGCAAGTTTTGGAGGGGCCCGACTGACTTACGACTGTTTTTGGGGGAGGGGGATTTGTGAGGTCAAAAAACTGCTGCAAGGCTGCGACTGGACGGGGATGCACCTGCATATGCGCGCCCAATGACGTTGCCGGTTCACAGATGACAGATCCCTGCTCCTGTAGTAAGGCTGGCTGCTGTCGGAAGTTCTTCGGGCGAATGATGAGTGTCAATTTAGTCGCCGGAGACTGTCATTTTAGACTTTTGTCGCAGTAAGCATCGTACTCCGATGTACTGATATGAGTCCTATGATGCGATAGAACACCTTGTTACAACTCGGCTCGTGGTGCCCGACGTGTTTTTTGTTAATCTGAGGTCAACGCTGTCTACCTATACAGCCTACAGCGAACCCCTAAGCCCTACTTCTGATTTGTATATACATAGTACTTTTCATTTTCCCACCTCGAAACGTACACATGCCCATCAAGCTACTTTTTGGCCACTACAGCACAAGGTCTTGAGTGCTCAAGTGTAAGCCAATGAACGAAGAAAAGCGACAATGGAGAATACTACAGTTCTGCGTTCAGCCAACCGACCCCTATTCTCTCAAACCAGCTTGCGTGGTGCTCGAAACTGACTTCGGGTTCATTGTCCCGCAAACTATCCGAGGCTACTGGCGGCCTTGAAACCTTGCAGTCGGAGTCTTGCTCATAATCCGACTCCGAGGGGATGGGGCAATACCCGGCATGACGAGCGACAAGTCAGATAAGGTGCGGCCGAAGGAAAGTATGTACACTATTTCCGATGACTTTTGTTTTCTCCTTTACCTCGTCCACATCATACCTGGAATCGCGTGGCCCTTGGTTGCCTGTTTTTGGTCTCTCGAATCAGGACGCGTAGAGGAAAACATGGGGAGCAGAGCGAGGACGAGAAGCATGGTGAGAACTTGCGTCCACCTCTCCAGCCAGTTTCCCATCTGCAAGGAACATCTTCAACGAGGTTCTTAGCATGTAACCCAATGAAACCGGACGGAATTCTGCCCCTCATTTGAACATTGATAGGCGGGACGTGGCGGCAGGCAGAAGCGGTCGCTCTGGTGGCGCATCAAATCAAAAGAATGCCTGCCTGCCAGGCTTTCCCTTAGGCAGATCAGAGACCTCGCAAATAAGTGCCACGTATCGAGAGCCCTACACAATGTATCATACAGAAATGAGTCATTAATTTGCATAAGGGCGAGAGAGTGGTGAGATAGGTATGCGGAATATCATGACAAAATCGGGTTGTTGCAAGTTGTCTATGGCATCAGTATCGCCACCAGACAGATAGCTAGCGCACGGCCCGTAATTCTTTTTACGACGCCAGCATAGTGGATGAGAGACATTCGGCTAACTGTTCTGGGTTATTTACGAAGTGAACGCTGATAGGCTACAGAGTCAAGCAGCGACACCAGTCTCCACATAAAAGTACCTGAGCTTAGCGACCTATATCCAAGTGTTAGATTGCAAACGGGCTGGAACCGCGTATTCGCATTGGGCAGCAGAGACTTGAAATTTTGACAGAATATTCTTTCATCCCAAGTGACATATATGCCGCCCGGATTCCGTCTGACTTAGGGAGACCCCCGATGTGAGCATCAACCTGTGTGGGGTTTGTATGAGAACCAATTCGGGGTCTGTGAAGTGAACAGTAACTCTTGTTACCTGAATGTTGCCAAGAATAATAAAATGCATGCTGCCTACCTCTTCAGGCACTTGCGTGTACATAGTACATACTTAACCCTTCCAACAAGGGACTGTCACAAGCAAGTCCATTTAGACTCGACCGAACTCCTAGTGAAAGAGCGGATGGGGCATGCGCACTTATCTGACCATTCATAAGCGGGACAAATATCCACCGTAAGTGGGTCTATCTGACTTCCCGTCGTTAAACTTGGGGTCCCCCGGTCAGCATTCTTACTAGGTTGCCTCGTTTGGGGACCTGCCAGCACCACGCTGCTGCACGTCTCGTAAAAGTCCACGGTCGGGATTATGTAGAACTTTACGAAGGATCAAGAAAGAAAGAAGGCTTGTAATGGATTGTGGAAATCTGCTTCAATTCTCCGTTTGGCTTTTAGCTGTCTCCTCGTAGCTCACGTCGTCATCACTTCCTCAGTATGTTCTCCAGATCTGCTCGTATAAACACAGTTCGACTACCCCTTACCTCTTGTTCTACTATCCTTTTCTTCCGCTTAACAAAGAAGACGCCTGATTGGTCTATTTCGCCCATTTTCGTTTGCCTATCAAACTAGTTGAACACTCTTCAGGCGAAATATCGCCCAAGTGTTCCCCTCCTCCAACATCGCCCGAGGATAATGTTTAATCGAGCTCCATCCTCCAAGACCGCGTCGACATGAACCCTATCAAGACGGAGACGGTCGAGACAGATGGGTTACCACCAGTGATTGCAGGCATCGTCGACGACGAAAAAAACGGCGCGATACAATCGACCTCCGGCGGTAGCGAGGCGCCAACTCCCGAAGTGAAGATCAGACCTGAACGACAACCTAATCTGAAGGACTACCTCCGCGTCTTCACATATGCCACGAAATGGGACATCTTTGCCTACTTCGCGGCCGGGCTCGCGTCGATTGCTGCCGGAACTACTTTGCCACTGATGAACAGTAAGGAACGACATGCTATTTGTGATGCTTTAGTTTCTGACTTGCACGTGCAGTCGTCTTTGGCCAGCTTGTAAACCAAGTCAATGGCTTCGGTGTCGATGGCGGCACAACGTCAGCAGACGATTTCAGGAGGATTGCGGACAGGCAAGCACTCTATCTCTTCATTCTGTTCATAGCCCGCTTCGCTCTCAACTACATCAACAAATTTGGGTTTCGAATGATTGGAATTCGCCTATCTTCTGCAATTCGCTTGCACTACCTTCGATCCCTCTTCGGCCAGACCATCCATGTGCTTGATTCGATGCCGGCCGGCGCGGCAGCTACAACCATCACCTCTACCGCAAATACTCTTCAGATTGGCATTTCCGAAAAGCTTGGCGTCTTCCTTGAGTTCAACGGCACTATCTGGACTGCCATCATAGTGGCATTCGTATACAGTTGGTCTCTGACTCTTGTTACGGCATCAGTCATCCTGTTCATTCTTCTGGTCTTGGCAGTGCTGTTGCCTTTCATCATCAAAGGCCACAGCCAGATGACCAAGGCGGAAGGAAAGGCTTCTGCTGTTGCCAGCGAGGCATTCTCAAGCATCCGAATCGTTGCTGCTTGTGGAGCGGAAGACCGAGTTGCTGCTCGGTATGCTCGCTGGGTTGAAGTTGCCCTTCAGAAGGGCCAATTTACGGCCCCTCTGATAGCTATTCAATTCGGCCTAATCGTATGCCTGTCTTCCTAACAGTTGATAACTTGATCTAATCATCGGTAGTTCTTCGCGCTGTTCGGCACCTTTGGACTGTCGTTCTGGTACGGCACACACTCTTGGGTGGATGGACGGGTCAACAATGTCGGCGAAGTCATCATGTAAGTATGTCTCCGCCCTTTCTGGATCATTTCCTAATTCAGCAATAGTGTTCTTATGTCAGTAATGCTTGTCGTCATGTCTCTCGAACGCCTTAGTACGCCTCTTCTTGCTATAAGCAAGGCAATGGTAGCAGCATGCGAGTTCCTCACTATCATCGATGCCCCCCTCCCGAAAACGGGCGAATTAAAAGATCCTCAGGTGTCCGCCAACCAGGACCTTGAATTTAAGGGCGTCACCTTCGCGTACCCCAGCCGACCGCACGTCAAGGTCCTGGACGATCTTGATCTGACTATAGAGGCTGGAAAAGTCACAGCCATCGTTGGGCCATCAGGTTCTGGTAAGAGTACCATCGTTGGTCTGATTGAACGATGGTACACTCTGCAGGACCAGCATGTCATCGCCAAGACAGTCGAAAAGGACAAGATGAAGGAAGCCCAGAAGAAGAAGAACAAGAAGAAAGGCAACGAGGACTCTGATGTGGATGACATACCCGAACCTGAAGAGACTGGTCCAGCTATCAAGCTTGAGGGCTCTGTTACCACGGCTGGCCATTCTCTTGAAGACATCAACTTGAAGTGGTGGCGATCTCAAATCGGCTTGGTACAGCAGGAGCCTTTCTTATTCAATGACACCATCTTCAAGAACGTTGCCTATGGTCTTATTGGATCACAATGGGAGGACGCCTCAGAGGAGAAGAAAAGGGAACTTGTCAAGGAGGCCTGTCGGGAGTCATTTGCAGACGAGTTCATTGACCGCCTGCCCGATGTGAGTTATCCCCTCCTCTGTTCTAAATTTCAAGCATACACAGACTGACCGGCATCATCAGGGATACGACACTCGAGTCGGTGACAGCGGTGCAAAGCTCTCTGGCGGTCAGCGTCAGCGTATCGCTATTGCTCGAAGCATAGTCCGGAAGCCAAAAATTGTCATCTTGGATGAAGCTACTAGCGCCATTGATGTCCGTGGCGAGAGAATTGTCCAAGCTGCTCTCGACAAGGTCTCCAAAAATCGAACAACAATCACCATTGCTCACCGTCTTTCAACCATCAAGAAGGCCGACCGAATTGTTGTCTTAAAGAAAGGAAAGGTGGTTGAGCAGGGCACTCACGAAAGTCTTCTGGAAAACGACGAAGGCGTCTACTACGGATTGGTCCACGCTCAGCAGCTTTCGCTTGGAGACCAAACGGAAGATGGCGACGAAGACAACAAGCAAGAAGATTTGGGTGCAGTCCTTAACCGAGAGAAGAGTGCCGCGAAGTCCGAGGTTGGAAGCACTAGCCATAAGGCCGAGGCTAGGAACCGCAACCTCTTCCAAAGTTTTGGACGCTTGCTTTACGAGCAGCGGGATCGCTGGCTTCTCTGCGCTCTAACCGTGGTCTTTGCAGCTTGCGCTGCGGCTGGAACCCCTCTGCAAGCCTGGCTCTTTGCCAAGGTCATTGTGGTGTTCAATCCTGAAAACACTCCCGACAAGATCCGTAGCGACAGCAACTTTTGGTCTATGATCTGGGCGGTCCTGGCCGTTGGCATCGGCCTTTCGTACTTCTTCATGGGACTCGCCGCGACACATTTGGCAAACTTCATATGCGCGGCCTACAGACAGCAGTACTTCGAGGCCATTCTTTTCCAGAAAACATCATTTTTCGACGAGGAAGAAAATGCACACGGCAGCCTAACCGCCAGGGTGGCAGGCGATCCCAAACAGCTGGAAGAGCTCCTCGGTCTGAACATGGCCATGGTTTATACGGCGATCTTTACTCTGGTTGGCGCCATTGCTATTGCTTTTGCTTTTGGGTGGAAGCTAGCCTTGGTTGCCCTTTGCGTCACAATGCCCATCGGTATCTTGTCTGCCTACCTCCGTTTCAAGTATGAAATCGAGTTCGATAAGATGAACGCGGCTGTTTTCGCCGAAAGCTCCAAGTTCGCTGCCGAATCCATCGGAGCGTTCCGAACCGTGTCGGCACTGACCTTGGAGGACACGACGTGCGCGCGGTACGACAACTTGCTCAAGGGTCATGTCAGTCATGCTTTCAAAAAAGCCAGGTGGACTAGTTTCGTCTTCGGCTTCTCAGATTCGGTTTCCATGGCCTGCCAGGCTCTTATTTTCTGGTACGGCAGTCGGCTGCTGGTCTCCGGAGAATACAGCTCTCAGGCCTTCTTCGTTTCCTTCATGGCAGTAATACAGGGTGCTGAGGCTGCAGGCCAGGGTCTCAGTTTTGGGCCCAACGCTGCCCAGGTTACAGGAGCCTCGAACCGGATCATCAACATGCGGGACTCTAGGAACCAGGACCTCATTCCGGCTACGGAAACCATCCCGGACACCGAGGGTGGCGTTCAGATAGAATTGCGCGACGTCCATTTCAAATACCCAACTCGCGATGTCTCTGTCTTCAAGGGGCTCAACCTGACAGTTGAAAAGGGGCAATTCGCTGCCCTCGTCGGGGCATCTGGCTGTGGCAAGACAAGCATCATTTCTCTCATGGAGCGTTTTTACGACGTGCAGAAGGGCGCCATCCTCTGCAACGGCAAGAACATCAACGACGTTAACGTCTACGAGTACCGGAAGCAGCTGTCGTTAGTAGCCCAGGAGCCTACCCTGTTTCAAGGCACGATCAGGGAGAATATTCTCCTTGGAGTGGACGACAAGAGTGTAACGGATGAACAACTACACCGGGTATGCCAGGATGCTTCTATTCACGACTTCATTGTCTCCCTTCCCGAGGGATACAACACCGATATTGGCAGTCGAGGCGTTTCTCTGTCTGGTGGCCAGAAGCAGCGTGTGGCTATTGCCCGTGCGCTCATCAGAAACCCGCGTATTCTTCTACTTGACGAGGCTACAAGCTCCCTTGACTCTGAATCCGAGAAGTTGGTCCAGGCTGCCTTTGAGAGAGCAGGAAAGGGTCGCACCATGTTGGTAGTCGCGCATCGTCTCGCAACGGTGCAGAACGCAGACATCATCTTCGTCCTGGGAGAGGGCAAGCTGCTGGAGAAGGGCAGCCACACCGAGTTACTGAAGAAGAAGGGAGTGTACTGGCACATGGTAAGTCCGCTACTCGAATCTTGATCCGAAGCATGTTACTGACCGTTTCTTGCAGTGTCACAGCCAGGCGCTTGACCGGTAAGGTGACTAGTGTACAATTGAGGGATGTGAAAGCTCCCGAATTGTTCGTGGAGGTTTTAGAGCTGGTCGCGTGCCCCCGAATATAAGCGACGCCGCAAGGAAACTCCTCTCCGTCATTTCAACGGTTTACATCGTGTGTTGACTATTTGTTGGAACTGGGACTGGAACTAGAAAAGCCATCCACTTCAAGATATAGCCATACTATACTAGAGGCCTACATGCCTAGAGTCAGGAAATCGTGCAGAACAATCACCCGTCACAATTGACACTCTCCAATCGGTGTTGTTTCGCGTCGACTGCCGCAATAGAGCGACACTATTCCAGTAGATGTTTCTGATCCGCCAAAGGTCTTCAAGTTACCGAAGGGGGAAATCCTTCGATGTTCTAGACAAAAGCACCGCCACTCTGTAAAGAGACAGGTTTTTATACAGGTGGACAGACAACCTTGAAATAATGATGGCGTGGTATTGCCGTCTGCTAATGAAACCCAGTGATATATCCTCCCCGCAAGCTCGTCTATGATGCACTTCCGTAATCCAAGCGTCCGAGCGCGCGCGCGTGTATACCCTCCATGTCTACCTTTGCCAACCGTCGCATCTCCAGTCTGGCCTCATGGTCTTACGACTGCACCTTCAACCCCCAGAACGCATCGAGCTCGCGCATGATAAACTCGGTCTTGGTCATGACAAAATCGTGGCCGCCGGGAAGCACCTTCCACAGCACGTTCTCCTCGCCGCCCAACAACGGCAGCCCGTCCTTGGTGTAGTCCTCGACGTCGATGACCTCGTCCATCTTGCCAATCAGCACAGCCGTCGTCCCCTTGGGCCGCTTGCCCAAGGCGCGCCACGTGTCGTGCTGCCCCGTCAGCGGCGCCCACCGCACGCACGACATGAAGGCCGGCACGAAGCCCTGGTGGTGCGCCACCATCCAGGGGACGTAGTCGCGCACCTGCTGCTCGACCTGCACGTCCCCGTCGCCGGTACCGTTGGGCCCCGAGACCTCGGCGGCCGCGACGTCGACAAACTTCTCCGCCGGGTCGTCCTCCTCCGCGACAGCGTTGGAGCGCTTGCTCGCCAGCGGCCTCTGCAGCCGCTTGCGGGTGATTGCGGCGAGGATCCGCCCCGGGACGAGACCCGACTGGAACGTCAGCTGGGCGAGGACGCCAAAGTTCTCGGCGCGGATGAGACCGGCGGGCGCCAGGAGCACGAGGCTCTCGACCATGTGCGGGAACGCGGTGGCGAAGGAGGCGGCGACGGCCCCGCCGAGCGAGTAGCCGATCACGCGGACCGAGTTTGTGCCGGACCAGGCGAGCGGGGAGGAGGCGAGGGCGAGGAGCACCTGGGTGGTGTACAGGCGGGCGTCGTGGGGAAGGTCGCCGACGCCGTCCGAGAAGCCGCGGCCGAAGAGGTCGAAGAGCATGACGCGGCAGCCCCGGGCGGCGAGGGCGTGGGCGATGCCGCCGAGGGTCATGCACGAGGTGCTGATGCCGTGGATGAGGATGACCTTGTGGCCGGCGGCGGGGCCCCATTCGTAGACGCGGATGGAGCCGTACTGGGGGAGGGGGAGAGTGTTAGCCTTGTGTCGAACTTGGTATCCATGATGATCCCCTAGAAAAAGTGGACAGAGGGGAAAGGGGAGGGCGTCTCACAGGCGTCTCGACATCCCGGGCGCCTGGGAAGGAGTCCGGCTGGTAAGGAAGCTTCTTGACCTCGTCACCCGCAAGCGTGGGGATCTTGGTTCTGAGCGGGTTAGGGATGGCGGTGCCCCATTTGGGGTAGAGACCAAGCCGGGCAAGGGATAGGAAGGAGAGCGTTGCGACGACCGTCGTCGCAACGATTGCCACAGTCCGTGGTTCGACTGACGAACCGAAGAGAGGATCCATGTTGAGCGTCGTTTGCGGGAGCGTTGGGGTTCAAGAGTCTTGAGGTATCGTGAGATCTCAGGGTCTAGCTGTGCCCTCCGGATGATACGGAGCGGAAGGGCGGGGGGGGAGGGGAGGCTCCCGGAGCTCCGTTAAAGCTTTTCGAAGCGGCCCTACAGATATTTCGGTCTTGACTCCGAAGTGAGTAAGTGAGTCACGACAAGCACCGCAGCTGATGGCCTACGGCCTAGCGAAAGCCCGGGTAGGATGTCGTCGTGTAGCGGAGTGAGGCGGCTACGGAGCTCAACTTCGGTGTTCAGTGGAGAGCGAAAGTCGCGCGCGTTTGGTGGAAAGATCACGTCACCTGTTTCTCTCCCTAGCCCCCACGCCCAAGGGACAAGCTGCCGTGAACTGTTCGGCTCCGAGAGGGGGAACCGCCCCTGACCATGCAGCCATGGCGCACCGCACCCCTATAGCTGGACCCACGTGGCCCTGTCATAATATGGAGACGATTACTACCAGCTGGCAGGGAACGGTGTCCGGGAATGTGCAGTATTCGCCGTCGGCTTTTCCGGGCCCCTGGTCTAGGGTTAAGCGGGCGTTGGACGAATCCGCACGGCTGGTACATCGTCGGACCTGGTCATTCCATACTCGAGATGTTCTAATCTCCTTCGGATTTGCAGCAGCCAGCAGCGCAAGCTAGCAGAAACGTGCTAGGCGTGAGTAATTTTGGCTCAATGTCAAAAGATTACAGCAAGGGTACCCAGGCCCCCCTGGAAGTCACAAAGTCCTAGCACCACCGCTAGCATGATTGCTTCCTGATACTGTGGAATCCGACTTCGCTGACGGTTTCCGCCATCTCGAAACCATGTCCAGTCTTCCAACTCATCCTGACGCGGGTTCGTCTCGTACCCATAGTTAAATGCCTGTTTCAGTTGGGAATGGCGATTCCCAATGCGGAGCGGGTCTTGTCCTTGGGGATCCAGACTCCACTGGCTACGCAGCAATGAGTCGCCATAAACGCTGCGCCTACCAGGGGCCGATGGCCGTGTTACGTTGCCACAGGGCAACGGGCCCTTCGTACAAATCACTGAAGATACGGCGCACCAGGCAACTTTCGCAAATCCATTACAGAACTGGCCGGACCGACGAAATATGCCATGCTTTTTCCTCCTGAGGCGGAGACTTGTGTGTGTGTATGCGTGGGAATCGTATGGGCGCCATCTCTTCAGCTCGGCAGTGGAGGTTGGACTAGGGGTGTCGGGGAATTTCAGGGACCAACCCAAATCCAACCTTCTCCCCTGCGCCCTACTGCCCCATAATCATGGGATTCCCGAACCATCGCCTGGATATAGTAAACCCCGTCACAGGGCTCGGTTTCGCACGCATGGCATAGGTACTATGTTTCTCCTCCCCTCGATAAGGGCACAGGGTCCCCGATCGTTCGTCCGTTGTCTGTGCAATTTTCTCTTTCTTTCGCCGGAGGAGGGAAAAACTCAATTGCAACTCAAAAGTCTCCACACCCAGTGGGGGGGGGGGGCGTAGGGAATACCTGTCATTGCGCATGCCTCGTTGCCGCAGGCTACGCAGCCTGGAACCGCTCGATCATACCTACAATATAGGAGTTGTGATCCTGGTACACTTCGATCCGCGACAAAGTCAGACGGAACCGAGCCAGGATCCCACTGGTTTTCATCCCGTCTTCTTCCCTACGCCACGGCACTATTCCTGTAGCGCAGAAGAGTATAGAGAAAACCAGATCTACAGCTTAATACGCTACCGCGAGGTAATAGTAGCAAAGTCTCTAAAAAGCCCGATAGGGCGCATAAAAGAGAGTTGGTGACGTGCTTGCTGTATGCACTAGCGTAATGGTCGTCGGTACTTCCGATGACGGGTTCCCCCGGTTGTCTTGCTGCGATAATCCTCAGACGGAGCTACCCGTGTGGAAGCTTTCCTCTATACAACATGACAGTCCGTGTGAAGAGCTGCTGTCAGTATGGTGGTGATGTGGGGCTAGTCCGATGGTTGCAGGACGGCCAAGTCAGGAAGAACGCTATTTCTGCCCGGCGCAGTGGTAGTCCGGCATAGCCTACAACTTGGCATTGACAGTATTGCCTGTGTGGCATACAACAGGATCACGATCACAGTAAGTCAAGATAGGAATGAAGTTCAGATAATTAATTCATATTTGTGACAAAAATCTGGTATTGCAGTCGCTTGGACTGGCGCAAATTCAGGGGTCATGCTCTGACAACGGGGCACGCAACACCCTTCAACGCCGTAAACATGTGCTGTTTAGTACAGGGGTATACAGCCATCCACCGTCCACTCTAGACTCCCTCATGGTAAGGAAAAAACAGCTATGCTCGTGATAAAATGACAAAATAAAAAAAGAAATCGTTATCCCATGCCCACTGCCCAAGCAGCGTGACCCAGCTGCTTGATTAGCAGGCATAGGTTCTCGACGATGGGCGGGTGAAGATCTCCTGAATCTCGGAAGTTGGCCCGGAGGATCTCCTGAGCGACCTCCATACACGCCTTGGGATCGTCAAGAGACGCCTCGGTGCCTCCGGCCCTGCTCATGGGTCCTGTTATCACCGGGCGACCCTGATTAAACCCAATGAAGCGGTGTACCAGGTTCGACTCGGTGCCGTCCAAGAAGACCTTCTCCTGCTCGTACTGAGCCGCCTGCTTCCCGCCCGCCTTCGAAACCACGCCGTATGTCCAACATGCAAGAGCTGCATGGTGAACGGCTACGGCGTAAAAGTCCTTGAGATGGCCCTGCGGGAACATCTTGGCTTGACGCAAGATCTGGCCTGCGTGCCAGAGCGATTGGCGCGCCTCGGCGCTTTGCGACCATTCGCGCAGATCGCCAAACACTTGGCGGGCCTGGTCCTCGCCCTCCTTGCCCGAGAACAGTTGAAGGTCGTTCAATGAGAGATGCAGGTTCATCATGAGAAGATGCAATACCAGGCTCTCCTGAGTTGAGAGCATCTCATGCCAGTTGGACGTAACCAGCAGAAAGCCCTGCAGGTCTTTGCACAATTCGGCATGCCTAGAGCGGAGCACCTCTTCGGACTTACCTCCAGAGTTGTTCAGCCAAGTCCGGGTGCGCAAGACGGAACAAAGCTGGAGGTATTCGTGGATGAGCGCCCAGTAGCCATGCAGGTATATCGAGATTGTGAATTGCAGATCCAACTGTTGGCGGTTGGTTGCAAGGAGGTTGATGTCTCTGAAGAGATCGCAGATTGAGGGAGGCAGCTTGCTCTGCCCAGCGGTTCGTTCGAGGCAGTGCATCTTCCATTCGGCCGCTGTCTTCGCAAACCACAACTCCTTGGCCTCGGGAAGAGGCAAGGTGAGTTCCGAGTAAGACATGGATGGGTTGGTTAGTGCAGTCATGGAGGTCTGAGCGTCTCGCACGAAGCAGTGGAAAAGTAGTCTAAATGTGTCAGCACAGGGATATCCCAGACATCAGGACTGTAAGCTTACCTCTTCCACGACTCACGCTCGCACCAGACCTTCCATTTGTTCTCCAAGACCTCGCCCTCGTCTGACATGCTAACCTCGATGATGGGGTATGATGCTCGCTGGAATTTGCCGCGATATCTCATCATCTGCCTATAGCGTGAGCAACAACTTCCTTGAAGGTGGCGGGAAATTAGTACTCACTGTGATGGGAATCAAAAGATGACACTCGGCAATCTCCATCTTGCGTCGGTTGCCACTCCACAAGCCGATGTCCTGGCCCAAGATCAAGGTCTGCAAAAAGCCCAGATTCTTGATCGAAGTATTAGCGTCCTCGAACCTTGCTGGAATGGTAACTCGGACCGCTTCCTGCAGGGCAAACCCAAACTTGCGCAAGGTTTGCACCGGAGTTAGGGTAGCTCCAGACGAGGCTGCGACAGCAAGCCATTCTGGCCACTGAGAGCTCATGGAAAACGAGCCGTGGTGAATCCATTGTGATGTCTGGCAGAAGTGCGACGCGAGGAATATGTGAATCAGGCTGTCCATAACCTCAAGTGACGGAAACGAAGATGCGACGCGGCTCATGATGCTGTCACTTTTGCAGGTTGACAATACAATTGCCAGGATCTGATCCCGACCCGACTGATCCAGTCTATCCCTGACGATTCTTGCGTGTTTCTTTCGGCTCTCTTGAAAGGCGGCGCTACTCGTATCGTCGGCCGGAACAGAGAAGTTCGGGTGCTCCACATAACCGGAGTCGAGCTTGTTGGGTGCCCATTGCCACGGCGATTCTGTCCAGACCTTGACCAGATTCTGTCGCATCTGCACCAGGTCGACGGAATCGTCGGTACGAGGTGTGAAGCTTTGATTCGATCCGGCGGTGCCCATGCCGTCCATGTTCCAGTGATCCAGAAGACCAAAATCCACTTCGTTCAGTTCGAGATTCGAGTTGTCGCAAAAGTCCAGAACAGCCAGGCCCTGCGCTTCCGCCATCCTCGACACCTCCATGCCTGGTTCGTAAATGACATTCTGGAGGAAGTCGGAGAAGGGAAGTGTCATGTCAACTGGCGGATTACCAATCTCGAAATTAACTGGCATTGCCCCATTGCCAACTTGGTCCATGGCGTTCCCCCGCGTGGGCAGATGGCCAGTTTCTGACTTGACGTGATGGCCCAGGCCCAGGCCCAGTTGACAGTTCTCGTCCCTGGGCGGTAGCATGGCATTGTGGGGATGCTGCTGATACGCCGTTGAGGGGCTGCTGTCATAGGCAGACTGGGAGGGGGAGGTAGTGAGGGAGCCGGGTGTCGAGGTCGTCGCGTGAGGGTTCCCAGAGAGGTGGAGAAGGTGCATGGCAGCTGCAGAACCAGCTTCGGTAGACGAGTATTCGCAGTTTAGATTACGGTTACGACACCGCGTGCAAGGCTTGACTTCCTCGCACTTGACGCGAGCCGTTGCGCAAGGCCGACACGCGTGAGAGACGCGGCCAGCGCCGGGAGACGTATCGGTGCGGCGTCTCTTCTTGTTGGGGTCGTTGTCGTTCTCATGATTGGTGACATGGCGTTTGAGAAGATCTTGGCGAGCAAATGCCTTTCCGCATATCTGACACGCAAAACGCTTCCCGAGGGTATGCGTTTGGATGTGACGGGCTAAATGCTCAGGACGAGAGTACCGTCGTTGACAATGAGCACACTGGTAGAGACTGGCGGTGGCGGCATGGCTCTGAGTAGCCGGTGCTGATGAGGGATATGAGGGTTGGTTCGACTGTGGTGGAGGCACAGGTGAAGGCGAAACCGATTGGGACAGACCATTCGGATTGTATGAGGGAGCCGATACGACAATGGTAGTGTTGGAAGAAGGACCTGAGGCGACGTTGTTGCGGTTGGTAGCGGAAGCTCTCTGCTCGTCGTTACCAGTGGCTCGGGACTGCATCATGTTGTTGCGGCCACCGCCCAAGGCGCCGTGTATTAGTGAGGCCGGAGCGGGCCCGGCAATCCGCCGCGGATGACCAACGGCCCCGGTGGAAGGCGTTCGGAGGGAGTTGGGTGGCTGCTAACGGCAGCGACGGCAGGGCTGGCAAAGAGATGTAAGGGGGGGGGGGGGGGGGGGATGGGTGAGTGCAAAGAGAACGGCAAAAAAGTTTTGCAGCAGAGCTGAGCTCAGTAGGATAGCTCCGGTGTGGGAGGTTGTCGGGAGGGGATAAGAAGGAAATATGAGCCAAGGGCGGGCAAGGCCCAGAAGAAGCCTGTTGCAAGCAGCCAAAAGTAAGCGGCCACAGCCAAGACTGCAGGACGAGAGCTTGCCTTGCTTTGTGATGGTGAGGATTGGAGTTGGGGTTGGGGAGGTTTCGGCTTTGGCTTTGACTTCAGTGTCGACTCTTTTGGGGCCGAACAGATCTGCTCGGGGAGCAGCCGTAATAGTAGTTGAGTCGTGCTCCAGGTAGGTCAACCGTCAACCGTCAACAGTGGTAGGACCTCGAGGTGAGGTAATGTATGCCAAGACTTGCTGGTAGGGTAAGAACAGCCAAGTGGGTAACCTCCTCCCTCCTCTTCTGGAAAGGCAGGTACGGTACGTACCCCGTGGTGCAGACCCGTCCCTGGTGCTGTGCAGTGTGCCTTATGGCGCATGAGCGCGCAGATGAGGAATCCGTGGACCTCTGGAGGCGGCGCTACGCAGTAAGGCGCAGCTGCGATGGTGATGTGGGACGAAAAAATGATGAAAAGGGTCTGGAGACGAGTGGTGAGGTGCCGCGTCAGGCGGGCACGGTACTATTCGTGGTAATATCTCAACGCCACATTGCAGTACGTCGGCCGCTGGCGATGGGTATATTGGAGCCCGGCGACCAGACATTGAAATGCGAGGGCGGCCCTAGAGACAAAGGGCAGCGATCGGGGGTGGCCTCGTCATCCTCTGGCCGGCACTGAACCTCAAAGGGGAAAGGCTCGAGCTGCCAGAGCTTCGAAACCCAAAACTCAGGCGTTGATTGCATTTGGTGGAACGACCAGGTCTGGAGTTATGCAGGGCAGGATGACTACGATTGGAGAATGGGACCCAGACCTAGATCCCGGCCGAGGCGACTACGCAAGGATCCGTCGACGGCTAAGCACTGAGACGACGACGACGACGACAACGTCGCGGCGTTTCCTCGTGCGTGCGAGGGTGCCGGTGCTATGCGCCGCAGACAACACGAGTCCGATCTGGCCTGCAATGTGTTGCAGGTGACTCTGGCCTACATAGTAAAGGTCCGAATACTCACTTCCCCTTCCCATCAGCATCGGCCGGCAGACGCATTTGAGAAGGGAACGGACGGCCATGGCCTACTAGGACACACATTGTGTAAGCGTGAGGGAGTCCGAGGCTGACTGCGACGGCCATTATCGCCAGATTATACGGGCGAACGCCTCAAGAAAATACATTATCTTGATGTGAATATGCGCTGGTCGGTCGTAGACACGTAGCGCAGACGGCCTCTTCCAACAAAGACGCCGAGCCGATGATGGCACCCTGTCGCTAAGTGAGCCGATGGGACCAATTACATTGCAGTAACCAGAGATCCTGCAAATCGACAAAAGCAGTAGACATTTCATTTGACCAAGGTCAGTAATGCCCCGTCGCGAAAGCTTTAGTCCAGTCCAATTTCGGCTGGTCCAGGACGATAGACCGCACTACAGCTCCGGGCAATCGCATCAACTCTCTTGTGGCCGTGTCAGTCGAAGTACAACGGTAACTTTTCATTTTTTGTGAGGACAATCAATGTTGGAGATCTTGATACACATGGTTGCCCGTCCTGCGCTGCCGACCGGGTCGGCTCGGGCGATGGTACAAGATCAAGTAGGCTTTCAGCTTGACTCGTGGCAAAGGTGACCAGTGGCCTGGCCTGCCTCCTGCCACCTCACCTGGAGAAGGTTAAGCAATCCGAAGCTCAATCTTGTTCGATAAGCGACCGAGTTCACCGCCGTACTGGACGGACATGGCGAGGGCGCGTCTTGCCGGGGGTGACTAAAATACTGACGAGTGGGAGGCCGGAGTTGGGGCGAGGACCGAAAAGTGAGCGGCGGAAAGCTCCTCTCCGCTGCCGCCAACGGAGAAGCAAGCAAATGCAATGCATACGCAGCCTGGTGTGTACTGTAACACACAAAGTGCATTCGGGCCCAGGGGTCCTAATCCTTGCGGAGTCCATCTCCATCTGTTCCCCATGCGCAAACCGTCCAAATCCTCCCGCCGGCGAAACGCACCTGAGGCTTTGGCAGCTGGCGGGTTCTAAAGGTAGGACAAGCCTTGCAAACAACGTGTCGATGCTTGCCATCAAAGGAGGGGAGAGGTCTAACTAGCGGATGAACAATCAGCAAAGAGCGTTACGTAGGCTCTAATATCTGTGCTATCCCTGAGCCTGCTTGTTGTCCCAAAGAAGATAAGCGCTATGGTGCTTCTCAGCAAGGACCCGCCTGAGATGGACGGCTCACTAACCTCTATTGATAGATTCCCCCCAATAATTCTTGATAATGAAACCCTTCACCATCGTAATTACGCACCACGCATTTCGATGTCTCGAGGTACGTACCGCACTAGTACCTTTGGACCCGCCCCTCTGTGGAACTCGTGCTCTAGCGCCACGGTACTTGGCCGTGCTAGCGGGCTTCTAGCATGGCGAGGTACTGTCGTACCTACATCTAGGTCGTTCCTTCATCCTACATAGCTAGAAGCGCCCCACATACTCCTCAACCTTGCATTCGATTGCTGCATGTGTGATTCCACGATGTCGTCTCCTCCACATGCACCAAGGCTGCGGGCGGAATTCAACCACACTGCTGTTTCTGCGTGACCGTAGCCTGACCTAGCCTCCATTGGTTCGACCTGTCATTGGCGGACAGGACTACAAGTGCTCTTAACTTCAGATGGCAGCTCAGCGATAATTCGCTGCTCTACTGGTTAAATCGTGACGAAAGCCTTCCCCCCGGTATTCTCTTCCCAAAACACGACCCGGCAACCATAATCTTTTCACCGATTATGGAGCCACTGCTTGAAGCTTGAATTATGCCTTACCTGACGGGGCACCTGGGGCAAGCTGAGGAGAGCAAACGCGTTGTGATTCAGAAAGCCCCATCATCTAAAAACAAAGATGACGAGTTCACTTTGTTTCGAGACGCCGGCGCCAGGCGAAAAAAGATGCAAAGATGGAAAATTGGAAAGCCTCACCCGACCATGCTGTCAACCATACCACATCCATCCCCTGTGAGATCGGGAAAACGTCAATTGAAATCCTCCTTACTTTCCGAAGTACGAAGCAAAGAAACGACCCTTACCAGAGGGCCGGCCCATGGGCGATAACTGACGACCAAGGTGCGACTGGAGCGCATGCACATTACCGTAGGATCGGCGAACCATGGCCTCGGCCTTCACAGCAGACTTTTCTGTGGTACCAAGTCACGCCTGCTTTCCCAGCTTCGGTTCACGAGTGACGAGATAACGACTCTGCATGTCATTGACACTGTCCAGGAACTGCACTCTCTGCCGACCGTCGTAGCATATGCACTGCACTGCCAGGACGCAGCTGGAGCGAGCCCTCCGTCACTAATCACTTGAGCGGCCTCGGAGGCTTTGGCTAGTCTCCGTCGAGGGGCGCCTCGACGGGGTGTCTACTACTAGCGGTTGTCCAGTGCCCACGGCAACAGTACCCCTCCAGGAATGTTACGTGGGGATCGCGTTGCGCGTCTCCTAGGCGAGACCTGCTAGGATGTTTCCGCGCAGGCGAAATGCTGCCATTCATTTGAGTTTTCTACCCCATACTGAGCACCAGCCACACTTTGTGCTGCGTACGAATGGCACACAGCCGGCCTTGATGGGGGGAAACGGCACTCTATGTCCTGCGCTTAGTTCATGCAGCACAAAACCATCATCCTCTCGAGGCTCCTTAGGCAAGGCTTGGTGGACCTGGTCAGACCTAGATCTTACCGTGTACGCGTGCGATGGTGGCGGCGGGGCCTGATTGGGCGGACGCAATGGAGTCCATGATTCCCGACTGCGATCATCATCATCTTTATTATCGGCAGGCAATGGGTCAGTGCTGTATATACCCCTTCTGTCGGTGTTAATATGCGGGAGCCATGCAGAGACGGACACATGCGTACGTACGTCTCATCTCGGAGCTGTCGCATGGTTCACCTGTCCTTCCCCCCTCCCTCGCCGACAACTAGACTAGCGTTCCTACAAGAGCCCACCAATTGATTTCTTCCTGGTCAAGATTTGGTCTCCCATGTCCAACTCTTGGCAAGATGCTTTGTTGGTGGGACTGATCCCCTTCAAATCGAAGACACCCCTGGGTCGCGGGTAAGACAGTGGCTGCTGCGCCTAAATCCCTGTCTGTCCCTTTCCCACAGCGCGTCGCCAAGTCTGTCCTCACCTGGCAGGATTGGGCCCTGACTATCTCCTGCTTAGGCCCGTCACTCATCCTCCATCAACCCTTGGGATATGCCACCCTTTGTTCCTGACAAGTTGGTTGCCCTCGCTGCTACTCTACGCCGTCCTCACTAAAGTGTCAGCAAGTGGTTCTTCGCCATCCTTGAAGTTTGCGACGTTAAGTTTATCTTTAGTGCTTGTATCGTTACCCCTCACCCGTCCCCTGCCTGCTTTCCTTCTCGTGTCTTCACCGACGACTACACACCGGCTGTCTCTGCCTCTCCTACTGCCGTATCGACGAACCGGTTCGAGATGGTTGAGTAAGCCCCATGTTTCCCCACAGAACCCAATCAATGACGCCCTACCGAGACAGCAAAGGTTATCCCCCTCCTGTCTCTCTCTTTCTCTCGCAATAGTGGCGAGTAGTGGCAGTAAACCACACGCACTTGTCAAGACCTCTCTGGTGTAACAACGTTGAGTGATCGACGCGGCAGATACATCTGGACTTGCCTGTTTCAGTGGTTGGGGACGTCTATTCAAGACGGGTAGTGGCCGCTCTTTTCAACGCTCCCCAATTCCTGGGGGCAGACATCAAAGCAACTCTATTCATCCGCGTTGGAAAAGAACAAGGTGGACACCCCTGAAGAGACTCCACGTTCTTCTAGACAGCCCGTACGAGGCAAAGACTCCATCGCCTTCATGTTCCAATAGGGGCACCCGACGGAACACAAGATTACAACAATGAGCCAAATAACAAAGAATGATTGGGGGGACAGTGACCGGGCGAGGACGCTGGGAAATATCCGTTTGAGGCATCCCGAGACGAACGAGATTATTCTAATTCCAGCTCCATCCACAGATCCAAACGACCCCTTAAACTGGTAGGCTCCATTGGCCCAGGTCTGGCGAACCTCGAGGGGCTCGTTTGCTGACTCGTCTAGGCCACAATGGTACAAGTATTACATGGCGGGGCTGATTTGTACCGCTATGATGATGTGCAACTTTCTGGCAGCAGGTGGGTGAAGTCCATCATCTAGGGCTCCGGAATGACCGCCTAACGACCTCATCGCAGGCCCCTCGATAGCGTTGTTGAACACCGCTTTGGAGTTCTTCCCTGCGGCCACCACCGATAATGACGTCCGCACTCTTGCAATCGCCCAGACTGCCTACTTCTTCACAACGACAGCGCTGCTCCAGGGCGTGGGCAACTTCTTCTGGGTGCCCATGGCCAACAAGTTCGGCCGACGGCCGGTCTACGTCGCGAGCTACTCCATCTACTTTGCATGCTCAATATGGCTCATCTTTGAACACTCCTACGGCGGCTTCCTGGCCGGCCGGATCCTGATGGGATTCGGAGCCGGAGCCGCAGAAACGATTGCCCCTATCACCATCGCCGACGTCTTCTTCTTGCACGAAAGAGGGACCATCATGGCGTATGTGCAAGTTTTGACGGAATTGCGGGTCGGCAGATCGCTAACGTCACAATCGCAGGCTGTACACCGCATTCCTCTCTGCTGGAGTTGGCTTTGGACTAGTGATTTCTGGGTAAGTGACTTCCGAAATCCTCCGCGTGGATGAAACCTCTCTAAATGTTGGTTCTCTGGCAGCATCATCACTATCAACCATGACTGGAGAGTCATTTATCAAGTTTCTGCTGCCTTGATTGGCGCCGTGCTTCTACTGGCATTCCTCACCTTCCCCGAGACGGCATACGAGCGAGATGGCTCGACCGCCCCGATCCGCCTTGGCTCGCTGAGCGGTAGCAAGCCTGGATCGATGGGGTCCGAAACAGAGCTCTCTCGCTCTGTGAGAGACTCACCGAGACTCCCGAAACAATCATACCTGTCGTCCCTGAAGCTCTTTAACAAGACCCTCACGCAAGAGAGCCTCCTAAAGCTCGCCCTGCGCCCGTTGGGCCTAATCATCCTCCCTCCCGTGCTCTGGGCGGCACTGGTGCAGGCTGTGACGGTAGGGTTCCTCGTGGCCGTGTCTTCGAACGCGGGATCCGCGTTCAACACTGCGTATGGTTTCGATTCCTGGCAGATTGGCCTTTGTTTTGTCGCCGGCATCATCGGCGCTCTGCTCGGAATTCCGGCCGGTGGCCACCTAGGCGACATGATTGCGGACTGGTTCACCAGACGGAACGGCGGGATCCGTGATCCGGAAATGCGGCTCCCTGGCATGATCATCAGCATGATCACGACGCCGCTGGCATTGGTGTTATATGGTGTCGGCATTGAAGACCGGCTGCATTGGATATGTCCCACTATCGGCATTGGCCTTTGTAGGTCCACACCAATCCGCTGTTCCCGTGGCCAGATTCTAACCATCTCTTCTTAGTGACCTTTTCGATATCTCAGGGGACAAACATCTGTCTCGTGTATGTGATCGACGCCTACCGGCCGGTGGCGGGCGAGGTCACGCTGGCCGTCATGGGCTTCAAGTGTATGTCGCAGCCCTGCAACCTTGTATTTTTTTCGTTCAATGTTTCGAAGTTGGCGGAAGGGCTGACTGTTCGTTTCATGTAGCACTCTTCGGCTTTCTGCTATCCTTCTACACCAACACTTGGGTAGAGACGACAGGTTACGAGAACGCATTTGGTGCCATGGCCGGAATCGCATCTGCCGTGCTGGTCCTATGGGTACCGCTGTTCGTTTGGGGCAAGAAGATACGACACGAGTCGTGGAAGTGGCCAATCGTCCAGTATGTTCACTGGAGCGAGGACAGAGAGGTCGGAGAGTGAGAAGAGATGACGGTGCGGAGAATCGAAGTGTAGAAATTTTGTATCATCCACACGCACACACGTCCTACACAAGCACACGCACGCCGGGCAGGTTCTGGCGTTTTCTGGCGTTTCGGTAATGGGGGACATATGACGAACTGAATTTCGAGAAGAAACAGCTGCGGTTTGGCAGCCTTTAAGGTTTTCGTTCGTGTTCTTTGGGATGCCTTTGCCTACGCTTGGTTCCTCCCTCCTGCGTACGCCAACCGCCCACCATCCTACGGGATGTGGGAGGATATCCCCCCTACCCGATGTCGCGATGTGGGGGGAGGCACCACTCTCAGCTTCGAAGCAAGCTCGCATCACCCCCATTTCCTGATCCATTGGAAGTTTGAACAGACCATTCACGTTCCGGTTTTTCCTTGAAAACTTTGCTCTTCAACCTAGTGTGAGCCTGAGTCTGGTACCCTGAAAACCCTCCAAAGTGGCTGAGTGGACGTTGACACAACGCTGCAGGGAGAAGGAAGGAAGGAATACCCGCCAGTCGGCCCGCCCTGTGCGGCTCGTTAGATGCTCAGGCCTCCATCAATAATGGCGTTGGCGCCGGTAACGCTCCTGCTCCTGGCGAAGCACAGAACCTGGTCCGCCACGTCCTCGACTGTGGCCAGGCGCTTGAGGGGTGTGCTGTCCCGCGCGGCTTGCTGCTTCTCCTTGGGAAATTGTAGACCCCAGTCCTGATTGCGGCACAGTTAGCCGGTGTCTCCTCTTCTCTTGGAGGATCATATGGCGTATGTTAGAGGAGGGGAGCGGAGTGAGGGGGTTTGACCCACCGTCAACATGAGGCCCGGTGAGATGCTGTTCACTCGCACCTTCGGGCCGGCTGCTTTCGCGAGGCCCTTCACGAGGTGGATCTGTGCCGCCTTTGTCACCGCGTAGGCCTGGAGGGACACATTAGACACTTTGTGCCCAGAAGGTTGAATGGACGGAGAGGGGAGGGGATCTTGCATACCAGGGAGCTCCCGCTGACTTTTACGCCGGCCAGCGACGCTGTAGTGATGAAGGCGCCCTCGGCCTCGTCAAGATACGGCCGCGCGGCGTGCATGAGGAACAGGTGCGACTTGACATTCATGTTAAAGCAGCGGTCCCAGTCGTCCTCGTCGACGTTATCGTCGAGGTCGGCGATGTTGCGCAGCCGCGTCCAGCCGCCGTTGGAGAAGACCACATCCAGACGGCCGTTCCCAAGCACCTCGACGGCTTGTTGCACAAGGCCGGGCGTTTCCAATTTGTTGGAAAGATCTGCCTTAACGGCGCCGAAGCGCTGTTGGTCCGCCGGCAACGGGGATAGAGACTTGAGTTCGCGGACCAGGGAGGCCGCGCGCTCGGCGTCGTTGGCGTAGTTTATGACAACGTTGTAGCCGCTGCGGGCGAAGAGCTTGGCCGTCGCGGCACCGAGGCCTGCGCTGCCTGCTGTAATGAGGGCGGCTGGAATGAGAGACATTGTATTCCTGTTGTTTAATGGAGGTAGACAGAGACGGAGATGGAGACGCGGGGACTGTTTTGGTCCCAGGTGCTATGGTCCGGCCAGTGCTTGTTGCTTCCGGAGGGGCCACGGCAGATTGTCGGAATCCCGGCCTCAGGGCGGGGTAGGTCGGGGTTGGGGGCCGGCCGGCCACACACGGCAGCTGAAGACGGGACGGGATTGCGGATGTCGAGCGTTCGACGTGTGTTTACTATACAGTTGACCGGAAACACTCCGCTCCAGCGACGAAACAAGGACGGAGAATCTTGGAAGCGAACTAGACGATGTGACCTTTCCCATCGATATTGAGTTCAATTCCTACCGCGTGATCCGTCACAAGAACAGTCACTAACCGCGTGGTTGGGAACGGAACTCGAAAGGGCCCGGGTTATGGCAGCTGGTGAATCTGCAAGAGCATTTGAGCTTCGCCTCTGACAAACTGGGTCTTCGTTCGGTGTCATTGTTTGAATCCGCGGGCCGTCCGTAATGACAAACGACCGGGCAGCGAAGCCTGAACAGAGGGGGGGACCCACCCCCACTGAGCCGATCTCTCCTCGTTCTCGCTCCCCGTCCACCAAACGAGAAGGGAAAGACTTTCTACCGAAGCATCTCTACTATACAAGCCAATCCGGAACAAGCTGAAAGCAGTTGTAGGGCGAAACTACCTGGCTTCGATTCATGTTGTTTGCCCTTCCCCTCCAAAGTCTTGGCCAAGACATCGCCCTCGAGTCGGGTTGTGGGAATCATGAAGCCAGCGTCTCGGTGTGACAACGTTCTGCATACATATATGTACATTTCCTGAGCTTAGCCGAGGTAGACTATCGATCGATTTTCAGTGGTGGCGCGTGAGGATCTGACACTATATCACAGTACATGGTGCAGTGGTGGAAACCCAGCGAGCTAATCACAGCCCCAGATGGTTCCCCTCCCCCGCCATGCTTCCGAGTTTCCGCCCGCCGGCACAAAATGCGGGGGAGGAGCCAGGAGGCAAACACACACACACCCGTCAACCTTTTTGGTGTAAGGCCTGGCCACTTGGTGCTTAATTTGGATCCATTTTGGAGAGCTAGAGCCTATCTCAAAGGGTTCCGGTGATGCGGTAATTGAGCACAGAGGTTACCATACGCGTCAGATGACAGCTTTATGCTATGGCGGCTCGGCGATTGGAAGAGTCCGGGATTCCTGGGCAAGTCGCCCATCGTGGCCGCAACAGGGAACTGGAGAGGGAGGGGCCGAAGAGACTTGAGTAGCGACGATCGATACTTGGCTGCTGCGCTCACCGGGACGGAAGGCGTTTGAGATGACGACCTGCAGCTCCGGGGACCATGGACTACCTGCCCTACTTTTACCGGAGTACTTGATGGGAATGTTTTCCCCCCTCGTCGCGGGGCCATGTTTCGCTGTTTTGATCCTTAAGTCAAGTTCTTTCGGCTTTAGGGACTCGGTTCGCTTTTTTTCATTGAGCTTGCCTTACCTGCAGGTTCTGCCGACTCAATCCTTCTTTCACTTATCGCCAATAGCGACGAAGTCAAGGACGTGTTTCACAACCATTCAGAACGCCTCACACTTATTTCCCCCTTCGATATTGACACCTCAACATCATGTTGATCAACGGTGAGGTCCAGCGCCCGAATGGCGTTCACTCTAGTCCTCTGGCCCACGACTATCCCCGACCTCTCAAGGTCGCCATCGTTGGCGCGGGTATTGGAGGCCTGAGTGCCGCCATTGCGCTGCGCCGACAAGGTCACCAAGTAGACGTATGAGACCCTTGCAACCTCCTATCACCTGCCAAGACATTTGTGCTCACCTTTGGTGGATTACAGCTCTACGAGCAATCGAGGCTCGCCAACGAGACCGGAGCCGCCGTGCACCTGGCACCCAACTCCAACGGCCTCCTGAGAAGATGGGGTATCTACGCCGAGAACTTCGGCGCCAACCCCTCGCACCACTTCAAAGAGAGAGACCAGCACAACCAAGGCGGCTTTGACGTCGAGGTCAAGAAGACCGCGGACATGTGGCAGCACCCGTGGCAGCTTGTCCACCGCGCCTACCTCCATAATGAGATTCGGAACGTTGCTACGGCGGAGGACGGCGTTAGCCCCCCAGCCAAGCTCCATGTTTCGTCCAAGGTGATCAGCGCGAACCCTGAAAAGGGTGAGTTACAGCTAGAGGACGGTACAACTGTGCAGGCGGACGTCATTCTCGGCGCTGATGGTATCTACGTGAGTTGCGAGGACTTGATGGTGCGCATTCCACAGACTGACAACTACATTAGTCCAAGCTCCGAAAATGCGTCACCGGCACCGACTACAAGCTTTTCCGTTCGGGCAAGGCGGCGTTCCGCTTCCTTATCCCGCGCGCTGCAGCCCTGGAAGATCCTGTCACTGCTCCTTTGGTCGAAAAGGAAAACTGTCTCGGCATGTGGTTTGGGTCGGACAGGCGTATCGTGATTTACCCTTGCAACAACAACCAGACGTTGAACTTTGTGTGCATTCACCCCGATACAGAGTCTCACGCAACCGCAAGCGATGGTACGCATCTCGCATGTCACGTCTCCATTGCAAAACTGACAAATACCAGGATGGAGTAAGAAGGGTTCCATTGAACAGCTCCTCAAAGTGTACCGTGAATTCGATCCTGCTCTTCTGCAGTTGGTCAAAAAGGTCCATCCCGACGAAGTCAATGTGTGGCAGTTAATGGACATGGAAACCATGCCGACGTGGGTGAACGGCAGGCTGGCCTTACTCGGCGATGCCGCCCACCCCTTCACGCCTCGTAGGTAGCAATGGCTGTAGAGCGCATCAGGGCACTAACAATAAGACAGATCAAGGACAAGGTGCAGGTCAGGCGATGGAAGACGCCGCGGCATTGGCGGTCGTCTTGCCGAAGGGAACCTCCCCGGAGGATGTTGCGGAACGGCTTCACCTCTATGAGAAGATCCGCATGGAGCGCGCGCACACGATCCAGGAATTCTCTCGCCAAGCTGGCAAGGACAGAATACCTGGGCAACCACCCAGTGTCAAGAGTTTGTGGCACCCCGGTGTACAGTCACCCGAGTTGCACCCACTAACATGTCCACAGTGATGAACTTCACAAACTACAACTTCGGCCACGATGCGCACGATTACGCTACAAAGGTTTTCAACAAGTACCTCTGGTCCAAGAAGAAGGACCTCTACTGGCGCATGCCCATCGGGTTCGGTCCGTTCCCCGGCCCCCGTCAGGACTTCTACGGCCGCCGCCAGCCATCCGAGCTCGATCGTACCTTCAAGACCATCTCTATCAAGTTCCTCACGTCGCGAACCCTCCTTGAGACAATCCTTCCCACCGACTCCTTCCGCTTCAAGGATCCCGGCACCGTCTGCACCGCCTCTCTCTCCCTCACGCAGCTCAACAACATGTCGTGGCTCGGCGGCGGCGGTTACAACCACCTGGGCCTGTACATCCACGGCATCGAGTACGTCAAGCACGATGGTACCTCGGTCAACGGCACCCATCTCGCCGTTCTCTTCGAGTCCCTCACTGACCCTATCGTCTCGGGCCGCGAGGAGCTCGGCATGCCGAAGCTCTTCTGCGACATTGATGTCGAACACCATGCCACGGCGGCCCGCGTGCGCGCGTCGTGGCGGGGCGCCAAGTTTGTTGACATCTCGCTCAAGAACCTGCACCAGGACGTCCCTGAGACGGAGAAAGGCACTATAGGTGGCGAGGCGGACTACGGCATCTTGGTATACCGGTACATCCCCTCGGTCGGGGAGCCAGGCAAGGCTGACGCAGAGTACGCGTGCGTGGTGCCGCACGAGGAGGAAGCGCGGGACGTGCCGGCTACGGTGCACGCCGTGTCAAGATCGTCCGATGCCTCAGTCAAGCTGGAGGGCCATGACTGGGAGAAGCTGCCGACACTGCATCACATTGCGAAGTTCCTGGCCGAGATGCCTATCTACGGCATTGTAGGTGCCAAGGTTGTGGAAGGAACCGGTGTCCCCAATGTGTCCGCGGCACGGAGGATAGAGTAGGGCTGAGTGCACAGGTTTTGTTTGAGAACTTTGATGGTCCTGTCAATTTTGAGAACTGGCATACGTAAAGCATCGTGTACATAGCTCTGGTTCCGGTTGGCATTCGGGCTAAAAGGCCCGTCGGATACCCAACTCTGTTTCTTCTTATTAGCGATGGTTGCTTGACCTAGTCCCAACATTGCAACGCCCAAAGGGCGCAAACAATACAACAAATTTCAAACCCAGAGTACCACTGACTTCTAAAGCTCGGGTTAGCCAAATAGTGCACGCCGATCTTGGTGCGACTCCGGACTCAACTGTACTCCGACCCGTTGGGGCCTGTTAGGTCCATCTCGCCCCTAGTTTAGCATAAGAACCAGATCCGCAGTTCCAGCAGGCGAACTAATGCAGACGCAAAACTAACCCCAGTTTCTACGCCCCTTTGGCCCCATTTGCAGGAATGTCGGACTCGCGCCTAGTTCCATCGCGTCCGCCCGCCGTTCCCACCATCCGTCCCCGCACAACCCACCGGTACACCACATTCTCCTCTCCGGCCCCGCCTCCACTTTCCGATAAGGTACGCCGGGGGGTTCGCTGTGGGTTCATACAACCTCGGATGGCGACCCGGCATTCAACTTCCTCCTTGCACGGGCGAGGCGGAGGCGGGGAAAGATGACTCTGGCAGTTGTATCAGAAGCTTGGGGATTTGGTAAGACCCGAGAGCTCTTGGTAGAAGAGTAGAAGAGCGCCGGTCTTCTCGTGTTAATACGTCAGAGACTACACTTTTTTCAACGCATACTTGCCAATTGCATCACACAAACACCTTTAGAAACGTGCCATACCTGCGAGAACGCATAAAGACCCCAATATTGGACTCCAGAAGTTATAAGGATAGAAAATACACACATACGTTGCCCCTCTTGTCAAAATGGCCCCCTCAACCTCTCCGAACAACCTTCGCCGCCCCCAGCGCTTCATCACAGATCACGCCCTCGACGGCAAAGCCATCTTCAACTCCACCCTTCCCGAGGAGATCCCCCAACAGACCATCAGCAATGGCGCAAATTTCTATCTCGGCTACACCACCGAACATACTCCCGTCTCCTTCGCCAACAACAAGGACGTCGAGTCCTATGCCACGCGCCTTGCGAACCCGCCTGGCATCGTGCTCCCCGGCGGCAGCGTCATGCGCATCGTCGACTCGCCGCCCGGTACCTTGTCGCCCATGCACCGCACCGTGAGCCTAGACTATGGCGTCGTGCTCGAGGGAGAAATTGAGCTTGTACTAGATTCCGGAGAGACGAGGAGGATGCGGAGGGGCGATGTGGCCGTGCAGCGTGGCACAATGCATGCGTGGAGGAATGTGAGCGACACGGAGTGGGCTAGGATGCTGTATGTGCTACAGGAGAGCCAGCCACTCGAGGTCGCAGGGCAGGTCTTGAAGGAGGATTACGGGGTCGGGATGGAGGATGTCAAGCCTTCTAGTAAATAATTGATCAGAGCCTGTTGTTGAAATGGGAGGCCACAGGCTGGCCAAAATGTCATGTCATCTATTCAGAGCACTGCCTTATTGACGTACGCGGCGCGTGCGAAAGTAACAAGGCAAACATGCACTGGGATTTGATATAATTTGTTGACCACTGGGCTACAAAACTCTGCAGTGCTGTTGTGAGAAGACCGAAAGGCAGGCCATCGGTGCAGAGAACCGCTCGGATGTTGTTGCCGGCGTGACTCTAACAAAGTACACATGCCCCATGTGTGTGAAGCCTGTGACAGACACTCGCTGTTTGGAGTGCGCCGAGATATCAAGGCGATGATTAGGGATAAGTAACTGCATGTAGGATTTCGTGATCAGATAGGTATTGTAGTCAGAAGAAGACACATTGACAACTCAGGATTACACCTCGGCAAGTCGTCGTCCACAATACCTGTCAAGATACTTCGTCGTTAAATACCCTACGGTATCAATCACTCCACCAATCTTGCCTGCCTCCGATTTGCATGTAAGGCTCGGAAGTTTAGGAACTAGAAATCGTATGTTAACCGAACCCCCACCGTCATTTCTGAGAATGAACTTTATGGCCTCGAGGAGCACAGGCAGTCTCAACATTCCGTCCTCCTGCAATACATTCACTTCCAGGCTATCGATTCAGCTCTGAATCACGCATCAGGTAGTTCCCCCGCTTTCGAGTGATAAGTACTCGCCCTGCTATGTTTGCTGTTCCTGGGATGAGTAGCTCTGTGATCGGTTTTGGATCGCTAGCTATTGTAGCCAGCAAAAGGTAATGCAAACAATCCCATGGGGCTTCATTTTCAACCTTGTCAAATCTTGGAATTAACGAATAAGAAGCAGGGCAAAAAATTGTTTTTTTCCAGATAGTCCAAGGGTCTCCATTGTGGTTTTCGAAAAGCGACAGCCTAGGATGTGGGTAATGAGCAGACGCCTCACAAGGCGTCTTCGCCGAATGCTATGGAAAGCGACATATGAGGTTATAAGTGATCACAAATCCTTGACATAGTCTGGCTACTTTGCCGGTGAGATTATGAAGAGTACAAGGAAAGCCGCTCTAACTTGAGGGTTGCCAATGATGACACTGTCTTCTGATCACTTCGGAAAAGGTCTGAGTCAGTGCCACAAAATTCGTGACTATGGAATCCGGAGTTTCTTTGAAATGGAAGCTCTAGGACTCCTAGTGAAGGAAAATAAACAAATGAATAAAACCAGAAAGAAGAAGCACCCCAATACCAGGTAACCACTGCATAAATCCGCAGGCTGGTTGTGGTGATGAGCGTGATGGATGAGGTGAAATGGCAGCATTACGGAAGCTGCAATTCCATTAAGCAAGTTGGGAACCCCCAGCCACGGTGGCGGACCCTTGATCACCTGGAGTGGGGCCTCCCCGTGCCACACTTCCTAGCTGGCGCCAATCGCGCGATAAGGTCCTACAGGGAAAGGTCTGGGCTGCGATAAGCACCGACCCGTGGACCTCCCTGAGTCCCTTTGCGACTAGGGCGGCAGGTGGTTCGAAGAGGTGCATGTGCTCATGCTCGTGTGCCTCGACCTGCCCCTCCAAATATTACTCGCTCCATCACCTAGGACTTTCTGCGGGTTTCTGTACTTTCTTCGCCTCGACGCCAACGATCCTCGAAGGCCCAAATGAACCCGACCGCTGTCGGCCTTCCTCGTCCAGGTAACATTCGACCCCACCATGTCGGATATTGACTCTTGTTTCGTCATGCTGACTTATCACCTTCCGATAGCCTGACTATCGCTCGCCCACGGCTTTGCTCGCGACACCGACCTGATTGACGCAGAACACCTAACGACAAGCTATATTCGAGACGCACTAGGCCCCAACGACCTCGTAGACACCAATCGAGTTACTGGGGACGATGCAAACATTCTAAGATGGAGAGCCCAGACGGTGGAGCTGCTCCAGCTTCCCTTGACGATCACCACCGCTTGCACGATGATGGAGGAGACTCGATATCGGGCAGCTCCCATATAGGGAGTGATGCCTCGGACGACTCTTCAGAACGAGGAGGATGTCGCTGGCGAACTGCCCGATATCACGACATGGAGTGCTCTCGATACTTTGATTGCCCTACCCACGTTGTGGAGAGGCAGCTCTCTGACGAAGAGACCGAAGATAGCGATGCGGGGGAGGACGAAGCAACGGTGCAGCTTCAGATGGACGATGACACGGCTGAGAATTCTTCGAGCGCGAGGCTACAAACTGTCGAGCCTACCGTGCCAAACTATACTTCAGAATCAGGAGCAAGGTTTGCGCCCGTGCCCGAGGCGACGGATACGGACCAACCGACAGTACCAGTACATTCAGCACAGGCAGCCTCAGCACGGGATACTGAAGGGCCTGATGAGTCTCAGGATCCCGAAGAAGCCGCGCCAGCACCACCATCGCCGATGAGTTCTCGACTTTCAGAGTCTTCTCAACCTCTCCCACCCACCGCAACGCCTGCACAGCCTACAGGAGAGTTCGTCCCGCCGGAACGGTCCTCGACTTTGTTGGCCTCGCAAGCTGCAAACACATCCTCGCACGATTTGCCTCTACGTCCAGCCTTGCCATCGAGTCGATCCCTGGAGACGCCGCCTCCGCCGCCGCCCCGACGAGCGAGCTCTTCGGCTGCATTTCGATCTACCTCGCGGGACCAGCAAGGTTCCGAAGAGAGGAGCGGTCCGCCCGAGTTTGTCTTGCCAAGGTGGCAACCCGACGCAGAGGTAACACTCTGTCCGATATGCCACGTACAATTCAGTATTTTTGTTAGAAAACATCACTGCAGGTGAGTTTGCGCAGTTCTGGGAGTGACGCAAGCCGTAAGCTAACGCGAGATAGGAAATGTGGAAGAGTCGTGTGTAACGCCTGCTCGCCTCACAGAATCACGATTCCTTATCAGTATATTGTTCAACCGCCAGGCCAACCGCGTCTGGCGGCCCAGAGATACCCGTCGTCCCTCATCAGCGGTGAGGGAGGATATGCAGATTTTAGCAGTCTCGGTGGAGGAGAGCGAGTTCGTCTATGCAACCCGTGCGTCCCTGACCCCAACACCACGCCGCCTCAACAGCCACTCGGGTCGCCATCACAGTTGTCGCCCCGAGGAACGCATTACAGATCGCAAAGCAGCATTAGCACTATGTCCAGTAACGCGCCTCCACCCACTCGCTTCTCGGGCTACTTTACGTCGGGCCCTTCCCCGGAGACCTATGCGCGGTCTAGAAGCATCACGGTAAGCATGGCACTTCCCACTCCCGGCCCTTGGCCAGCTCAACGTGGAGGCTAACAATCATAGCATTCTGGGTCCGGTGGGCCCTCGGGCTCTCGAGGACATTACCACTCCACGCAAAACCGGATCATGGCGGGAACTCCTCCTACGTACTACCCTTCCTCGTCGTCGGGCTATCCGGGCTCATCACGTTACCGGTCCATGTTAGACGTTGGCCCCTCTTCTTCATCTTCGGCCGCCCAGAACCGTGCACTGCCACCGCCGCCGCCCCAAATCGCCGAGGAGGACGAGTGCCCGGTCTGCCATCGAGAGCTGCCCTCACGCAGTCTACCGAACTTTGAGGCCGTGCGGGAAACGCACATCAACACTTGCATCACCGCTCATAGTACATATAGCGGTACGCCAACGGGAGAGACGCCGCAAAATACCGTCGGCACCCCGCCTCCCCTAGCCGTACGCCGGACTGGCATGTTTCCTTATGTGGCCACGGAGAAGGACTGCGTGGACTCTGCCGAGTGCACCATCTGCCTCGAGGAGTTCGAGGTAGGCGTCCCTATGGCGCGTCTAGAGTGCCTCTGCCGTTTCCACCGGTCTTGCATCTCGGCCTGGTTTGTCAACCATCCCGGACGGTGCCCCGTCCATCAGCATGATAGTTTTGGCTATTGATACCTAGGGTTGTTCTTCCGCTATTCCATCTTTCGCTTGCTCTGCATTTCGGCGTTTCGGTTCTGCATGGGCCAGTCACTTTAACCAAGTCCATCATTTAAGACAAGTACTTCTCCCCTCTATTGTTTCGCGGCAATCGATACACTCGTCTCCTTGTCTCTACATGCCTGCTGTTGTTCAACCTGACACATCAGGAGAGTGGGGCTTGGCTTACGCAGAATGTGGCCGTCATCAAATGTGGGTGTCCAGGATGGTCAGCGGTTACTGTTTATGTTTGGTTGATCTGGGACTCTCTGGGCCATGCGCCGCCGGGCCACAGTTTTTTGTTTTTATTTTACACAGCCAGGGTATAACACTTTGCCAGTAGATACTTCCGAAGCGAAAGGAAGGGGAGCGTGGTTTTCTTGAACAGTAATATGCACACTCTCTATCGCTCTCTCCTTGACGGAAATACCGCCACTCACAATAGATAGATTTTGAGAATTCTACACTGTATGCCGCATGTCACGCGAGATACTCGCTCTGAACTCGGCGACGTTTCATTTGGTCTAAAAGGATGATCTCCTGTAGCACAAAGGCTTGCCTGCGGCTGTTTCATTTTGAAAGACATGCCGTGTGCTGTCGTGGAGACCGGACAAACAATGAGCATATTGCCAGAACCAAGGTTAAGTGACGTCAAGCTCCGAGAAGGTTTGTTTTTGACGTTTCCGACACCCCCGGAGCCTAGACTTTCAAATCGCTCTTCCCTAGAGTTAGACCCCGTTGCCGATTCCCGTGAGCTGTCCGACAACACCGTTACCATCGCCGCCCATCCGCTGGCCAAGCCGGGCAAGAAAGGGGGGCCTAGAACATGTCACACTAGCTCAGAGTGGCTAAGGAACCGATACCAAGATCCCTGCCGCGAGTCCCCCGGGCCCCCACCGGTCAGAACCCACTGCCCATGCTGACAATGGAGCTGCACACCCTTGTCCGACTGGGCCGACCTTGCCGGAAGAAGACACGCAAAAGACGAAGAGAAGAAGGAATAAAATACCCCTTGCTCAACCTCCTTCCTTTCTGACTCGAATCGCAGGCAGGTTTAGATGCTATGTATGACAGCGGTCCAGGAGATGCCAGGGCTCAAGAAACAAGAGTTCTTTTCCATTGGTTGTGGAAGAAGGGGCAGGTACATGCCCCTGTACCCGACCTGCATCCATCATCCACCGAGATCGAAAAGATGAGCTTATTTCTTTTTTGCGTGTTTTTTTTTTCCATTTTTCTGCCTGCGTTTTGCACTTTCTCCTCGCGCTAGTTTGATTAAGTCCCCGCGCAGTCCATTAACTACATAGTGGACTGGCGAAGGCCACGGGAAAACAATTCAAATTGAGTCACTCTCCCGCCTCAGGGATGACCGTTGTTTTTGTATGCATATACCCAAGCGAGAACGGTGCGAATCCATGATACTTCCGCCAGGTGATTGGATGAACTAATGAGCCAGCGAACTTTAGCACAGCGTTTTGTTAGTTTCATGGGAACTGCCCGTCCTCTCCCCTCTACAAGTTCATCGGATGATGGTCGAGTTGCAGGAAAAGAAGGGGGAAGGAGAGTGGGAAAAGGGGGCAGAAGAAGGGACCGGACTTGCGTATATTGTTCAGAGTAGAAGAGAGAACTATATCATCGCCGGCATATACGGCGCCGAATGCATGATGTTGATCATAGCCAGCGTCAGGCTGAGAGCGATGCAACGCCTCCTCAGCCCTAGGCCAATGCCACGGCCACTGCCCGCACCTTGGAGCCGGAAAGAGTCCAGACTGTTACCGGAGGGGGCCTCTGCGCTTGTCATTCTCTGCTCATTTGTCTTGTTTCGACGTTTGTTTGGCGGCCAGAGGCCAGAGGCGTCCCACCCCCACTAGATCCTGGTTTCAAACCCCCGTCGATTTGAGATGAGGATGGGGCCATGCTCTCGCCACGAGCAGCAGGCGAGCTTGTCAACGGCACCGCGGAGCCGGGAGAAGGGGGCGGCCCAGATTCGCTTCCGTCGCCCTCCGCCTCGCATGCAGTTGCTGGCTGGGCCGACTTCGACGACCAGGACGGACCTATGAGCGCAAAATAGGATGGCGGCACAAGTGGAATCTCGCGCGCGTTGTTTTCCGTGGTGGCGCTACCTACCTGCTTCCATCAGCCTGCAGGATGGAGTAAGATTAATCTCAACCAGGAAGCTTGCTCGCTCTCCTCTTCCCTCAAAAGGACCCTCATGTCCTGTTGTAGTTGGAGGTCTAAAGTCTCTCCTCTTCATCCACGCTGGTCTGGAACTATCATTGCCCCCTTCGTGGCCCGTCACTCCTTCACACATTGCTATCGCCGACTACTGTACTGCCATTATCCAAGGAACTGATCTTGTCTCTTCACGGACTTGCATCTATCAGCAGTTCCCCTTCGGCCAGGAGCTCACCGTACATATACACTCGTCACGTCTCTCTTCAACACAATGAAGCACCACATTCTTTTGTTGGCCGCCACGGCCGCCCACATGGCTTTCGCCAAGCCCATCAAGGCATGCCCGGCAAAGTCGCGCTCGACAACCGTGATCACCTTCACCGTCGGTCCGACCTCCACGCGCGCGACACTGTCCCCCGTTCAGCCGACGCCGATCGGACAGTCGGCCCCCTCCTCGTCCCCCGTCGAGACCCCCGTTCAGGTGTCGCCGTCCATCAACACCCCCGCGTCGTCCTCGGCCCCAGTGGTGGAGAACGCCGTCCCGTCTTCGAACAGCGTCAACACCCCGGTCGTATCCACGACGCCGATCAGCGGTAGCGGGAGCAAGCAGGGCAAATCGACCTTCTATGGCGGCAACACCTCCGGCGGAATGTGCTCCTTCTCGACGTACACTATTCCCTCAGGCCTGTATGGCACCGCCTTCTCCGGCCAGGCTTGGGACTCGGCCGCCCACTGTGGTGCTTGCGTCAAGGTCACCGGCCCTAATGGCAACAGCATCACTGCCATGATCGTCGACCAGTGCCCTGAGTGCGATGAGGCCCACCTCGACCTCTTCCAAGATGCCTTCGTCAAGCTTGGGTCTCTCTCCGCCGGCATCATCTCGACTTCGTATGAGTTCGTCGAGTGCGGCATCACGTCGCCCATCAAGCTGCACAACAAGTCGGGTACTTCGTCCCACTGGTTCTCTATGCAAGTGCTTAACCACAACGAGCCTGTGTCGACGCTGGAGGTTAGCACGGACGGGGGAAGCACTTGGCAGAAGACAACCCGCCAGCAGTACAACTTCTTCGAGAACTCGAGCGGCTTCGGGACGGATACCGTTGACGTTCGGGTGACCAGCGAGTCTGGAAAGACCGTTACCGTCAAGAGCGTCAGCGTCGCGTCCGACTCGCAGCACGAGGCGGCGTCTAACTTCTAAACTGGGAACGCAGGAGTCCTGTAAGCCCAGGCTTTTGAGGTAGGGCCGTTGTCCGAGTACCAGCGCTATTGAGGAGATTTCGTTCCTTGGCCACTGTCTGGCATACTGCAAAGACCTATCGTCTGCCTACGGGCCCCACTTGGGACCGTGTGCTGTGCATGCTGTAGAGACGAACATTCCGAATGCGATGCGACCCGTTTGATCGCCTGCCTCGCTTGGCCGAGTTGCTTTTTTTCTTTCATCTTCATTTCGGAACGCCCATGATGAGTGCGTTATGTTTTGACCGGCAAGGGCTTTGACGGTATCATGACTTTGTTCTCTGGAATGGAGATTTTGGTTTGCATGACGACGGAACTGTGGGAAAGTGATGGGTTGACCTTGAAGGAGGGGAATTTTAAGGCGAGGTAGCTACCTAAGGCTGGGGCTATATAAGGGGCATGTGGTGTGGCTGACCTGAGGTCACGTAGGGGTGCGCCACATATAGCAGTACCTACTCACGACACATCCCCTTGGACTAGCTAACCTTACTATGTATATAAGAACAAGCCGAAAGAACATAGCAATGAGCCACTTCACCAGTTAAACGCGCTGTAGAGCCAGCCCTTCACACTCAACCAGCTATATCAAAAAACTCCTTCCGCTACGCGTAGCTTTCTGGAAAGCTTCAGTTCCGTCGTACGGCCTTCAGCGTCACATTATATGGGGTATAGTATTGTGATCGGTAGCGGCCTTGTGGCTATGAGCAGGCGTGTTAAAGTCGATGGTTGACTGTTGGCTCATGAATTTCGTTCCGGCTGATTTGAGCTAAAGCCATCTTCACGGTATCGATTCCCGCACGAAATCATCCCAAAGGGAAAAGAATAATCTAATGTTGTATCTTACTTGCCAAATGATGATGGGGATGGCGGGTAAAGGGTCAACTCTTCGTACCTCGTTGAATGCAGACCTACTCCATTCTTGTCAATGGCGGGATAGGGCCAATTGGATTCATTGCCCGAAAATGCCCAGAAATCTTTGCCTAATTGAATGCTTACATTTCGGTGTCATTGGGTATTTCAAGATGTAGAAAGATATAGAAAAAGTGGAGTGAGTCTGCAATCGATGGGATACAACAAGAATGTCGGTCAATCACATCGGCAAAACGACACCTTCCTCTTGGAGAAGATAAGAAGATGAGCACTCAAAACTTTGGGGTTCGCCGCCTCTAATACCGTATCAAGCCCCAGAGAATACGTTACTCAAGGAGCAAGGCAGCCTTCTTGGTTACTATTTGTTTTCTTGTCAAGGCATACGAGACATAACAACAATCATCAACAATCATCTTCAAGACGTTTACTCGTGCGGCTTTGCTTGCGTCCCTGGTTTCAAGCTCAAGTGGGTTGCCTTCTCCCCTCACGTTCACAAATGGCAGCGTAGCGGTGCTGGATATCTTTGTTCTTCCAAGCCGTAAAGATGACCAGTTCTATAACGTCAATGTTACCTTGACCGGACAAGTCCTTCCAGTGATGGTCGACGCCGGTTCCAGGGACCTGTTCGTCGTCTCAAACAAATGCCCACGGATAACGATCAAGATGGACGTTATGGCCTCACTTCACCCTATATAATCAAGGTAAGTCGCTGCAACAAGCTGTCTCTCCGGAAGCCTGCGACTAACCATACCATCCTGTCCAACGAGACGTTCTTCACAATCGTGGGAGAAGCAGCCGTGTATGGAAACCAATCATTTATGCAGGTAGACTTTGGCGGGCTGCCGACATCTGGTCTTGCCATCGGCTTGGTCTATGAATCAGCCTTGAGGGAAGGTCAGAATGACTCTCTCAGCGGCATTTTCAGCCTCAACATGAGAGCCGTTAGCCGCCAGCTACACTTCAACAACAGGCTGCCGCCGATGGAGGCGCTCTTTGAGCCTCAAAAACTGAGAGAGCCCAAGTTCTCGCTCACTTCCCCGCGTCATGGAGACCCCATTTCTGCACAAACCAGCAAGTTGACTCTGGGAGGACTCGGAGAAGAGGCTGCTGGTTACAATATTACTTACGGACCGGTTTTCAGTACGCCAAAGTGAGTTGACCAACCTGATCCCTCTGTTCACTTTCCAACACTACTGACCGTGCGGCTTCTTGCAGTTTACAACTATAATGACTTTCCCCTCGATTGTCAAGGATGGACAGTCCAGCTTGAAGGCGTTCGGATCAATGGTGTTGAAATCAAGATGACCAACGGCCTGATACTCCCCGAAGGCAAGTATCTTTCAATGACGGACTCTGGAAGATCCTTGATGTACTTCCGCCCAGAGGAGCTGGATGCCATTGCTACCCAATTCAAAGGTCTGATTGTTTATTCAGGCAACCGAGACGTATGCTTCGACTGCTCAATCCCACAGCTGATGGAGTTGAAGTACTTCGGCGAGTGGTATGCAGTGGATCCACTGGATCTCGTGATCCCCAGCGATCATGGATTCGTCAACGGCACACAGTACTGCCACGCTGCTCTTGGGAGGCGGGCGTTTGCCGGCTCCATCATCGGCCCCCCGTTCTTGCGCTCCGTTGTTTCTGTCTTTGACTACCTCTCCAGCGACCTGGTTCCTCAACCACGCGTAGGATTGGCAGGTCTGGTTAACGGCGCTGCTGCCGTTGCTCGATATCCCGATGTCTTACCCCACCGTCTGTTGTAGGCATCACAGTATTCCCCCGACTGTGGACTCATGCCAGTAGGTGCTTACAAAACTGTTAAAGTAAACCAATAATCAGCAGGGAATTTATAGTACCTCTTATCTGTTTGGCAGCAAGTAATAGGTAGGGGGTTAACGTGACAGTTTGGTTGATTCAGTTAGGTACGATTCCGAGTCAATGCAACACGACTAGGATTATTTGACCAGGAATAAAAAGCAGTAATCCAACGTCAAAGGAGGGAAATACAGCAAGGTGAGGTAGCTAGGCTGGAGCTACAAGGGGCCGGCAGTGGCTGACCTAAGGTCACGTGGAGTTGCGCCACACCCGGTACAAGTAAAGCTACTACTATGTACCCACAACGTGGTTTGATCCACGTCCCTGTGCGCCTTGGGATTCGCGCAAGCTCGTGGAACCCATTTCTGGTTTGTACGTAGTAGAGCCTTTCTGCGGGCCCTGTAGCAATACGGATAGTTGGATTCAAATCATCTTAATTGGGCCGATAATCAAAGGCAGCTTTTCTTCGAGGCTCAAACTTGATCGATCGAGAATTATTGAACTGCGCTTTGGCTGGTAAAACCTGGCTCGTGCTGGTGCATGTAAGCGGGCAGCGCGATGCAAGGTAGCTAGCATTGGGCTTCTGGTGTCCGGTGATTCACGAGAACAAGCCGTAGGTTAGCGATGCAGACGGTTCGACTTCACGGCGGAGATCGACAGGCACGGTACCTGCAGCGGAATACGTTAGGACTTGACCAACATCAATACACAATCCAGCAGACAGCTCAAGCAGCAGTTTTCCACCATCGCATAGTGCTGTGGCAGCATGTCGTCGACGGCTAGTCGGCAAAATTTGTGTACCTGGATACCGGCGTGGTTCAGAATTAACGTTGGTGGCTAGTGCCTGCCAGGACAGCAACAATAAATGTCTCAGTCTAAGGTCAGTCGGATGCGGATTGGTGGTGACGACTGGGCTGAAGGTTTGCTAGTTCTCACTGAAATTAATATGGGGGTTGGTCGCTCAACGGTGAGCGTTTGGCTTGCGTTGTTGCGTTGTCATAGCGAACGTCGGCGGCTGTGCTGCGCATCATTAAGCCACCCTGTACCGATACGAAGTTCATTAGGTTTGCAGCTCTTTGTGAACGTTGTGGGCAGCAGCCACCCGTACGCATCACCGCACCACTGGCACATCACTGTAATGAGACAGTTGAGTAACCTGTCAGCCACAACGACCTGCCATCGGGTCGCGCTGGTCCGATCGGCGAAGGATTGGCGGCAAGGATCGGCCATCTGGGATGGTTATGATTCGGCACCTGTTTGGTCGCATTGTCCAGGTTCAGGCCTGAGCGATACTTCGCCATGCTACTATAGGACCTTGGCCCCGTCCAGCCGCAACTCGGTGCGGAGAGAGAGAAGGGGTAGGTGTGTGTGTGGAAGAGGAGGGGTCGCAGGTCACTGAGCTGTTGTAGGTATCAGTGTCATGACGCATCTTCAACGGCCTGTACTGGACCCCGCATCCGAGCCGTAGATGGCGTGCATGTAGGTACGGTGCATTTTCCGAGGCATCATGGCAAAGCAGTCGGGATAGTCATCGTCTGGTCTTGGTGACGACAGCTTTTTGCTCGCGTCGTTACTTGTTCGTATGCAGGTATGCAAAGCAAGGTTTGATCGCGCTCGCTCTGGTTGATCTGATGCCACGGGGGTGTCTACAATGAGACGAACAGCCGCGGATGGGGAGGCTGGCACTGCTTGTAGGAGCAGTGTTCGTAAGCTTGAACACCCCACGCTCAATATTCCGTGTTTGTTGCTGCTGACATTGAGCAGATGCGGTTTCGTGTGCTTGGGGCTGAACTTGGCGCAAATGTCGCACCTTTGGACCCGAGGTTTTGTGTGAGCCGTTGCCCAGTTTTTGGCAGTCTTGGAGAGAGAGTGTGTGCGAGTGAGTGAGTGTGGAAGGGGTGGCCGAGACGTGGTCGACCCTGTCGTGCTGGATGGAGGGTGAAAACGGAGCTACCGGTGGGTGACCCTGACCAAGCTGGAAGTTCGGCTATTCCCCCAAGCCTTAACGTCCACCCTCCCCGCTTCTAGAGGCGCTTCCATTCCAAGTGCAACCTTTCCGGGAGGCCAGCCAGCTTCCTCTCACTTCCCAAGTCCCAAGCAAGGCGATAACCCCTGTCTCGAAGCTCCATCAGCCAATCCCGCTGATCTGGCTCGACCAGGGGCCGCGGCCCTAAGCAGCTGTCGGCAGCTCCCCGCTCAACCTCAGCGGCCAGTCACAGCCCTTTGCAGCGTCTCCCCCAGCTGAGTCCGCTGAAGTAATTGCGAGTATTACGTCGATATCCGCAGCCAAGGCTACGGCCTTCAATCACCATCCATCTTACATAGTACCTGTACCTTTCCTCCTCCACCAGGCAAATGGTGCTGAAGCTACCGAGATGTTGCGCCGCCCAAGCTATCACCTCTGCTGGTAAAGGTGGTCTTCCCCCCGGTGATGGGACTGTACTATGTAAGGTGTTCTCTTCTCCGCCCGCCCTTTTCCAGTCTGGGAACGGTTTAGGGTGAAATCCAATCTTGGTCCAAGCTGCTGTTCCGACCCCTGGTCCACGACGTCTGCGCCCACCACATCTGCGCCATCTCGGTCTCTGTGTGCCCGTTGAAGCTGCGGTTGCAATCTTGTTTAGTCGCACCTGCACTTTACAAGTATTGATTGCATTGGTACCATAGTACGAAAAGTTGTGTACGTACTTTGCACATGCACAAGCAGACTTGTACCACCTCTCTTGTCGTCCACCCGGCCGTGTCCATCCTACCCCCGTCCATGCCCATAGTGTTGCCGCTAGCGAGCCTGACGTATCTGGGCCGAATTTCAATCCAACCTTCACCTTTCTCCTTCGCTGCCACCTTACCACCTTGCCTTCTCCCGCCAGTGCCACCTTTAGCTTCGTGGCTTCCCGCCTTTGTCTTCTACCAATGTATTTTACCTCCACACAAACTTCTCACCACTAGTTTCCCTCCCAACTACTGGCCGAACAGCCACAGTCCGGCCACTCTCCATTCACTCCCTCCTTTTTTTCCTTGCCGTCGATCTGTAGCTACCGTCTCTTTCTAGTCCGAGACCCTCCCTGAGACCCTCACTTCCCTTCTCCAATTCTCCTACTTGTTCTCTTCTTTCCCCCTCCGACCCCAACTTCGCCAGCCCACCCGTCCACGTCACCTTCCTGGCCCGCGAACCATATATGCGTCGACACAGAATTGCGACTTGAGCGCCTTGCCAATTGACCTCGACATCCCCATACCGAGCTGCTCTTAGCAGCACTAAAGCTCGAGAACATGGCTTCTGCGCTCGAGAAGAACGAGCTTAAGGTCCAGGGCGTCGTCGAGGCTGCCCAGGACCCCGAGAGCAACGTAACCGCCGATGACGCCCAGAAAAAGATCGTCGAGGAGTCCAAAAAGGCCGGTATCACTGCCTTCACCTTCGACCCGGACGCGAGTCCTGAGGAGAAGCGCCGCCAAGCTGCCGCTGTGAGTCGCGCGGCCCTGCTTGCTTCCCGTCGGACCTTGACTGATCCTCTCCTCCCTGACAGGCTGTTCCAGCAGGCTTCCACTCGCAGCGAGCCAAGGGTGTCTCCATCGTAACCGACGTCGCTGATTCGAACGCCCCGTAGCCGACCTGCCGCCCCCGACCAAGGAGGGTGTCATTGAGCTTGCTAAGGACAAGGACGGAAAGCCCATCAAGACTGGCGAGGACCCAGAGGGCAACGACGAAGAACCCTATACGCGAACGGGATGGGCTCCCCAGTTCGGCTGGCCCGCCGACGAAGTGCACGAGGGAGCTAGTATGCTGGACCATTCCACCTGGCTAGAGAGCAACCTCCCTGACAAGTTCTACGGAGACTGGTACCACAATGCTGCTGTCATCGCCTTCGCCTGCATTTCCTCTTGGCTTGTGGCCGTCTTGGGCGGCGGCCTCGGCTGGGTCTTCATCCTCATGGCTGCTTGCTCGACCTACTACCGGACCTCCATTCGCCGAGTCCGCCGCAACTTCCGCGACGATATTAACCGTGAGCTCTCCCTGAAGAAGCTGGAGACGGAGACCGAGTCGCTTGAATGGATCAACTCCTTCATGCTTAAGTTCTGGCCCATCTATCAGCCCGTTCTCGCCCAGACCATCGTCAACTCGGTTGACCAGGTCTTGAGCTCGGCCACTCCCGCCTTCTTAGACAGTTTGAAGCTGAAGACGTTCACGCTGGGCTCCAAGCCACCGCGCATGGAGCATGTCAAGACGTACCCGAAAGCCGGCGATGATACTGTCATCATGGACTGGAAGTTTAGCTTCACTCCCAACGACACGGCCGACATGACTTACAAGCAAATCAAGAACAAGATCAACCCCAAGGTCGTTTTGGAAATCAGAGTCGGTAAGGCTATGATCAGCAAGGGCCTTGATGTCATCGTTGAAGACATGGCTTTCTCTGGTATCATGCAGCTCAAAATCAAGCTGCAGATCCCCTTCCCTCACATCGAAAAGGTGGAAATGTGCTTCCTGGAAAAGCCTACGATCGACTATGTCTGCAAGCCTCTGGGAGGTGAGACGTTTGGTTTCGACATCAATTTTATTCCCGGTCTTGAGACCTTCATCCTCGAGCAGATCCACGGCAACTTGGCTCCCATGATGTACTCGCCCAACGTGTTCCCTATTGAAGTCGCCAAGATGCTTGCCGGCACGCCGGTCGACCAGGCTATCGGCGTCCTTGCCGTTACACTCCATGGTGCCCAGGGACTCAAGAACCCCGACAACTTCTCTGGTGCTCCTGATCCTTACGCCGCATTGACTCTGAATCGCCGCCAGCAGCTTGCCCGTACGAAACACATCAAGGACACTGGAAACCCCCGCTGGAACGAAACCCACTACATCATCATCACTTCCTTCAACGACTCCCTCGACATCCAGGTTTTCGACTATAACGATTTCAGGAAGCACAAGGAACTGGGCGTGGCGTCTTTCCCCTTGGAACAGCTTGAGGAACTGGCTGTTCACGAAAACGAAGTTTTGGAAGTCATTGCCGACGGCAAGGCCCGCGGCCAGCTGACATGCGACATCAGGTTTTTCCCAGTTCTGGAGCCCCAGAAGTTGGACGACGGTACTTTGGAACCGCCCCCCGAATCCAACACCGGTATCCTCAGGTTTACCGTTGAGCAGGCAAAGGATCTTGATGGCACCAAGAGTCTCGTCGGGCTCCTGAACCCCTACGCGACGCTCCATCTCAATGGCCGGGATGTCCACCATACGAAGAAGCTTAAGCGAACCAACAACCCCATCTGGGACAACGGATCCAAGGAGATGCTCATTACTGACAGGAAGAACGCCAAACTCGGAGTCACGATCAAGGATGACCGCGATCTCACCGGTGACCAGGTTATTGGAAAGTACCAGATCAAGCTCGAAGACTTGTTGGAATGCATGGAAAAGAGCCAGGAATGGTTCCACTTGGCCGGTGTCGCAACGGGCCGTGTCAAGATGATGGCCCAGTGGAAGCCAGTCGCTCTTTCCGGTGTCGTCGGCGGCACTGGCGGCTACGTCACTCCCGTTGGTGTCATGCGTTTCCACTTCAAGAACGCACGCGATCTTCGCAACTTTGAGACCCTGGGCAAATCCGACCCCTACGTGAGAGTACTTCTCTCAGGCATTGAGAAGGCGCGCACGGTCACTCACAAGAACACTCTGGATCCAGACTTTGACGAGGTCCTCTACGTCCCAGTTCATTCTGCTCGGGAGAGACTGACTCTTGAGGTCATGGACTCGGAGAAGATGGGCAAGGACCGCAGTCTCGGTCTGGTTGAGGTTTTGGCTGGCGACTACATTTCACAGGCTGAGAATGGCGAGTACAATGTTCATGACACAAAGAAGATCTTCCAAGGCGGACTGCAACTTCACGGCAAGGGCATTGCGAAGGGTGTCTTGACCTACACGGTTTCATTCTTCCCCTGCCTCAATGTTGCCGATCCTGAGGAAGAGGAGGAGCAGGAGAAGGCAGCAGCTGCCGAGAAGGCGATCGAGGATGCCCCTAGATCCACGGAGGCCGGAAAGTTCAGCAGCTCCATTGAAGCGAAGAAGGACGGAGCCGAGCTGGAAATCAGCCCGCCCAAGACCCCGGTTACCCCGGTCTCGCCTTCATTCCCGAGAAAATCCAGGGATGAAAGTGGTCCTCCTAAGATTCGCCTTTCCCCTCAGGAGCTTCTGAAATACGAGTCTGGCCTCCTGATTTTCAAACTCATGGAAGCAGAGATGCCAGAGCACAACACGCATTTGGAGATCTGGGTCGACGACATGGCCTTCCCTTCGTACACGTCATCGGCAGCCAAGCACAAGAAGCATACGTTTGAGGAAATCGGCGACTGCTTCATTCGAGAACTGGACTTCTCCCGCCTCACCCTCAAGGTGCGAGAGAAGGGCGACAAGGTCGAGGGAAGTGAGAAGGACAAGGATCACACTATTGCCAAGCTACAGGGGAACACTCTGGATACGCTGAAGCAGTGTCTGGTGAGAACCATTTCTTCGAGTTGTGCATAACGACATACTAACCGGTGTTAGAACAACCCCACCACTCTCAAGCTGAAGGACAAGGACAACCGCCCAAGCAGTGTCAAGGTCAGCCTCAAGTACATTCCCGTCAAGATGCAACTAGACCCGAGCGAGAGTATCAACAATATGGGAACTCTCCGTGTCGATGTCTTGGACGCGCAGGACCTCCCCTCGGCAGACTCAAACGGCAAGAGCGACCCGTACTGCAAGTTCGAGCTCAATGGCGAAGACGTGTACAAGACCAAGGTGCAGAAGAAGACCTTGCATCCTGCTTGGAATGAGTTCTTCGAAGTCCCTGTGCCTTCAAGAACTGCTGCCAAGTTTAAGGTCACCGTCTGGGATTATGACTTTGCTGACAAGCCTGATTTCCTGGGAGCTGCCGATATTAACCTCGAGCAGCTGGACCCATTCAGGCCAAGCGAGAGTCGTTTGCTCCTGGATGGCAAGTCTGGTACAATCAGATTGAGGATGCTCTTCCGGCCGTCTTACGTTACCCGAACCCGCCAAGGCACTTCGACATTTTCCGGCACATTTGCGGCGCCCGGAAGAATCGTCACTGGCATTGCGGGTGCGCCAATCAAGGTTGGAAGCACGGTTGGTCACGGTGTGGGCAGAGGGGCTTCATTCCTCAAGCGTGGTCTGTTTTCGAAGAAGGACGACGACTCCAACGAAGCATCATCAAGTTTCACTGAGATCCCGACCATTGTCGAGAACGGCAACAGTCCCCCTGCTCCCACCCCCGGCCTCGGCCTCAAGCGAGCAACTGGATTCTCTACCTCTGATGGTAGTGAGTCCCCTGACACGCGTCCAGGAACCTCTAATGGCTCAAGCTTGGGGCACACTCGCACGAAGAGCAACGGCGCTGCCTCTATCCATAGCGTGACCCCAGGCTCACCGGGCTCTGGAACTGCTTCCTTCACCGTCGTATCTGCCACGGGTTTCCCTCCGTCAACTGACCTTTACATTACCATCAACCAACTGACGCCCAAGCCCAAAGTAGTCGGCAAGACTAAGCACCACAAGGATTCTACTGGCTTCTTCCGGTACAACGAGTCCTTCAAGTGCACATGCACCCCCGACACTCAATTCAAGATCGAAGCGAAGGGCGAGCACACCCTTAGGAGCGATGATGATCTGGGCGAAGCCCTTTACTTCGTTGACGATTCCGGAATGGGAGGCGAAAAGGAGATCAAGGTTGGAAGCGGCACGGTGGTCCTGAGGAGTACATTCACTCCGTCGGCTAGCGCCTTAGAGCCTGACAGCCCGAAGCCTCCTGTTCGCCGTAGCTTCATGGGCAAAAGGGAAAGTCGCAGCAGAGAGGGAACGCCAAACTGATTGAGCGGTCCACTTCGGCCACAGCGCAACCTTTCTGAATTTCGACACATTTCCTAACTGTTATTCCCCTTGACAAAAGCTTTTTCCATTGCGTTTAGATACCTTGGATGTTACCATTGGCTGGCACACTCCATCCACTATTGAGTCTTTTCCTTTCCTGTCCCTTTTTCATTGATTTTATTTGTGGGAAGGAGTCGCAGGGCTTAAGGAGGTAGGGTGATGGCGAACATAGGCTGGCAGAGCATGGCAACGGCTAGCTCCCATCTCAGTAGCTTCTGGCAGTTAGGATGCAATTCACAATATTAATCTAATTAGTTGTGAGGTTTTGATTCATTGCTACGCAACGACCAAACGACTGGGTGTACTCGTCCTAAAGGGCAGCTCAGGAGCCACTACACTATATATCTCTGGGCCTGAGATATGCAGCATTTAGACATTCGAAGGAAGAAACGCGTAGATAAACAAGTATGGCAACACCTGTCAGTGGCTGGAATTGTGGAAGGATAGGCCGAAGCTTATGTAAAGGGAGAGCGCACGGGCCATTGCTGGAGTGTACCTGCAGCACTTACCAATTCCAATTCAGGCAGTAAGGCATCAGTCAGCTAGGTACGCAGTTTCCCTGCTGAAGCTGGCCGTGACGCGAGCATGGAGCTGCCTGAGCTACTCCCCCAAGTCAACCTCAAAGAACCCCATTGTCCATTCCAACCGCAACCTCACCCGCCCCTTCCACTCCGACGACGACCACCACCACCACCACAGCAATCAGAGTCCACACGTCTGATTCTCTCGATCTCCAATAACCGAATAATCTCGCCTACATACCCCGCTCGCCGACCGTCGAGATGGACAGCCTTGTAGCCAAGTACAGCCGCCCGGCGTTCGAGCAACACAACGCCTTCCGAGACGATGAGCAGGAAGACCTTGAGCTCATGGGCGGTGCGCCGCCTCTGTCGTTGAAGTTTGCCATGCCCCCCGTCGCACATGTGAGCTTACTACCTTAACTGTCCCTCCTTCGATAACCCGTGCAATCATCCAGTGATACTGATACAACCCCTCAATCTAGCCTTCCTCGTGGCTCCGCGCAGCAACAGACGACCGCTCCAACCCCGACTGCCCCATCAAGATCGCCCACGGCACAACGACCCTCGCCTTCCGCTTCCAGGGTGGCATCATCGTCGCCACCGACTCCCGTGCCACAGCCGGAAACTGGATCGCCTCGCAAACAGTCAAGAAGGTCATCGAGATCAACTCGGTACTCCTGGGCACCATGGCCGGCGGCGCTGCCGACTGCCAGTACTGGCTCGCCTGGCTCGGCATGCAGTGCCGCCTTCACGAGCTCCGCCACAAGCGCCGCATCTCGGTCGCCGCCGCCTCCAAGATCCTCGCCAACCTCGTCTACTCGTACAAGGGCATGGGCCTCAGCATGGGCACCATGTGTGCCGGCGTCACCAAGGAGGAGGGCCCCGCGCTCTACTACGTCGATTCGGACGGCACTCGCCTTCCCGGCAACCTTTTCTGCGTCGGCAGTGGTCAGACCTTCGCCTACGGTGTCCTGGATGCTGAGTACCGCTACGACCTGACGGACCAGGAGGCGCTCGACCTCGGCAGCCGGAGTATCCTAGCCGCCACCCACCGAGACGCCTACTCTGGTGGTTTCATCAACCTGTACCACGTCAAGGAGGAGGGCTGGGTTAAGCACGGATTCAACGACACGAATCCCATCTTCTGGAAGACGAAGCTGGAGAAGGGCGAGTTCACCAACGTTACGGCCGACTTGGACTAGATGTTGGGCGAAACAGGCTATGATGAGTTGTCGCTGAACTCGTTTGGATCATGGGATTCTACACAGACCACAGAAATCAGCCAGTCGGCTACGCTGGCCGAGCGGGACACCGGCGGCATCCCAACCCTTGTCACTATACGGTGCAGGAGAAACCAGGAACGACTTTGATTTCCATGCATCGGGACGAATAGAACGGTCACATTACGGCAGGCGATGATGGAGGGAAGGGCAGCTGCGCAGGAGGGAACACGGGCTGTCAGGCTGTCTCTGTAGGCACTGGTACTCAAGGAAGGGTGCTGGTGTCATGTAACTTGTAAACTAGATCCACGATACAAGTTCATTCTTTACGCTTTTGTCGCTGCAGTATTGTTACAGGTGATGTTACACTAAAATACAAGGGGGGGTATCATGGCTTTTCACTCATCTCTTCTTACCCAGCCGCCGAGGCCGAGGATCCCGCCCTCGTCGCTTGCGGGGTCAATCGACCACTTCCGCTCGGGGTGCACAGAGAGCTCGCTCTCCCAGCCGGCCTCGTACATCTCCATGCCGGTCCAGGCGATCATGGCCGCGTTGTCCGTACACAGCGCGGGCGGGGGCGCCGTGAGCTCGACGTGCCCGAGCCCGCGGACGTCGAGGGTCCTGCGCAGGACGTGCATGAGGAAGCGGTTGCTCGCGACGCCGCCGCTGACGACGAGCGTCTTGACGGCGTCCCTGAGCTCCGGCTGGGCGGCGAGAGCGAGGAAGACGCGGCTGGCGAGGTGTTCGAACAGGAGACGCATGGCGGCGCGGGCGAGGCATCGGCGTTCCTCGAGGGGCATTGCGTCGGCGTCGGGCTTCGAGGTTGCAATCTTGTGGATCTGGCTGCCGAGACCGGCGAAGGCGTAGGACAGAGCGCGGGAGGTGGCGAGGGGCGGGGTCAGGGACCAGGAGTAGGGGGATGCGTAGGTGGTGATTTCGTCGACGCGGCGGAGGGGCGGGGCGTACTCGTAATCGTGGCCTTGCGAGGACGACGGAGAGGCGGCGAAGGACTCTGGGAAGGCGAAGCGTTCGAGGAGGGCGCCGTACATGACGTCGCCGTGGGAGGCCAGCACGTCCGGGGGCAGGATGTGGCGCGCCGCCTTGTCGAGGGCGTCGCCGACGGCAACGTCTATCGAGGTGGCGAGGATGCGGTGGTCGGTGAGGGAGCGGGAGTGGACGAGCTGGGTGTGGCCGCCCGAGACGAGGAGGGTGAGGAAGGGGTATTCGGGTGTTACGGGGGACGAGGCCGAGGCTGGGTCCGGGGAGGAAGAGGAGGCGGGCGAAGTAGGCCGGTCGAGGGCGGAGACGAGGCGCGGGGTGAGGGCGTGGGCTTGCATGTGGTTCACGGCCAGGAGCGGGACCTGCCACGCCGTCGCGAGCCCCTTTGCCGTCGCGAGGCCGGAGGCGAGGTTTGCGGACATGCCGGGGCCGCGGGTCACCGTCACAAAGGTGGGTTTCTGGCGTGGAACGCCCGAGACTGTCATCGTGCCGCCGCCGCCGCCGCCGCCGTATCGTGCGGCGGTTACCCTCGCGACAGACCCCAGGGTACCATCATCATCTTTGGGGTGTTCTTCGACGGGCGGCAGGGAGGCGAGGGCCTCGGCGACGAGAGGCGCGAGGTGCGCGTCATGAGAGCGCAGGGCGACGGGCGGGTAGACGCCGCCGTAGGCTGTGCTATCGCACGTGATCTTGCGGTTGAAGTGCAGGGTCGCGCGGCCGTGGGGGCCGGGGTCCTTGGAGAGGAGAGCGACGCAGGTATCGTCGCACGAAGTTTCGATGGCGAGAGTCAGGAGGGTCCGACGGCGGTGGTCGTGTTGGTGGACGGCCAGCGTCGGCGCCGGGTTACTGCGGAGGAGGGTGCGGCGAGGAGAGAGAGACGGTGTGCGCCATCGTGCGAGGGTTGCGGCGGGAGGGCGCATTGGGGTTTCGCATGTGCTTGAGGAGTGTTGGGGGGAGGCCTGGTGGTGGTAGTAGTAGTGATGTCGCGAGAAGTTTAAGAGCTCTTATCTTATCGGCTTCTTGGTCTTATCATATCCACACCGAGACTCACCGACTTACACGTCCCACACGTTCTACACTGTGGCGCCACATCGTCTGGAACTGCAACCCCAGAGGCATCCATGGGAACAATCAGCTTTCACTCTGCGCGATGTTTGTGGTGTATATCTCGTTCTGGTGCATCATGTTTCGCAGCCAGCTAGAAGACTCCGTGCACGCTACCTAGCTGGGATAATTCATACAAATGCTGTCACCGACGACGAGGAGGGATACTTTATTGGTATTTCCTACTGGTTTCTCCACAACTAATCATTTCGAGTTCTTTTTTTTCGCCGACTCGTTACCCCCAGCGAGATAACAACGAGAGGAAGGGAACGCCACCTGAATCTCAGAGTATAATCACTCCTGTACTTGACATGGTCCGTCAAGCCGTACTCTACCACTCCGAGGGAAATCATGACGATTTCTCAGACGATAGTTGATTACATACTATGCAGATGCTAGCTGCCATGCATTTTTTTGGTTTCCTATGTTTCCCCCATATGCCATGCAATGTCCAATACTGATGCCATTCCCGTATCCATGTCCAATCGTATTCATATCCATGTCGATATCCATATCCATACTCAATGTTTGTTTCCTGTAATGATGTTTCCGTATCTCTCATCAGTTTCCACTATCCCTCCTGGCGATAAAGTTCGCCCACTCGCACCGGCATCCACCAGTACCGCCATCAAACCCCCCAAACGATGCATCCTTATCCTTGCGCGGGTTCACCAACGTGCCACCAAAGCCAATATCATTGGGCAGCAGTTTTGGGTTCGCCGTGTCGATTCCCTGGCGGTCAGTGACAGGCCAGTGCCACACAAACTTGTCGCCCGACTGGCCGCCGTGGGTGTCTGTTTTGACAGTGACGGGGTAGGGCATCGAACCCTGTTTCTCGCCGTCGTTGGACGTCAGGAGCTGTGTGTTGTCTTCGGAGCGAGTCCAAATCTGTACGAGAAAGCGTGTCTGGGACCACGTCACAAGAAATTTGGCCTCGCTGCGGCGGGAGCCGCCGTCCTTGTCGAGGGGCACATTGCTCTCGCCATCGGTGCCGTTGAGGGTGGTGACGGACTTGAGGTAAATGGTGCGCTTGAAGTAGGTGTAGAAACCGTAGTGCTCCGTCGGCAGGCCGCGGTCGTAAAGACGGACAGGCTGCTGAAGAGCATGAGGGAAGAGTTGGGCGGGGGCTCCAGTGCCGTCTGCTTCGAGGTCCGGGGCTGGCAGAGAGACTGAGATATCCCCGAGGGGCTGCTCAGAATTTTGACGCCTGTCCAAGGCGTTGGGGCCGACTGTTTCGTTTGCGGAGTTAAGAATGCTGAGATAAAACGGCGTTGGCTCGCCGGCTTTGCTATCAGAGACGATGCCGTCCGTCGTATTTCCGAGGAAGTACATTTCCTCAAAGGACGGGGAGACGGGCTCGGCGTAAAGGCTGGGTTCTGCCTCCGGATGTATGCTCCAGCTCTGGCGATGATTCCGCCAAAGGTCAAATCCCGCTTCCGGGGGCTAGACCCAGGTCGCGGAGGTTCGCCGTTGGGTACATCCCACAGGTTACGGGTGTTGTTGTCCCACTGGATCTGCATAATGAAAGTCGGCTGGTTAGGGCGATAAGGAGCCACAGAATCCTGTTCTTCCTTGGGAAGTGCGCAGCTCCAAACGGTCGAGGGACTACTGCAGCCAGTTACGGCCGCCGTGTTGTCTGGACCCACGACAGAGAGCACTCCAGTAGGCATTGGGGGAAGTTGGTCAGGTTGACAAAGATGCTGTCAACCGGCGCAGCGGCGCTGTTGCGAGGAATGAGCGTAACGCAGAGGACAATGATGAGGATGCTCAGGGCGAGACTGGCCCCGCACACTCCCAGGCACACACGCCTTCTCTTGCGGCCCTCACGGCCACTGCGGCCGTAGCAACCGCTTGCGGGGATACACCAACGACCCTTCCAGAAGCCACCGAGCTTACGAGCTGCTATTTCCTCCTTTTCGTGACGTCGGCGCTCACGCTCGACCCGATGACTGTCTCCTGATGCCGCCAGAAAATGTTCCTGGGGCACGAACGTACCCGCGAGCCTTTCCGGAAGACGGCCATGTATGCCCTGGGCAGGGCTGTTGCCTCGCGCCGGTGGCGTCAAGGGAATGTCGGTCATGTTGATGCCGCCTTGTGAACTCATCGTACCATTGATGGCTGGTGAAATCGGTCCCGGAGATGGCGGGTACAGCGCTTGCAGAGGATGGCCTGCGGGAAAGACAGCTCGGTATCTGACGGCTTTTTGCTGTTGCGGCGGCGAGTATGGTGGCGGTTGCTCTGAAATAGAAGGGCTCGGCTCAGCAAGAGGAACCTTCTCTGACTGAACTTGAAGTCTCGGGGTTGCTGAGCGAGAGGGGGACGCGGGCGACGGGTCGCGTCGGTCCATAAGCGGCGATGGACTTCTCCTCGGTGTAGGAACTCTGACGATCGGCGCCTGATTACTGCGCGGTGATGGTTTAGGCGATGCTGGAAGGCCGGGTTTGTAAATAACGGCTGGTTGTACCTGTGCTGGTTTGGGAAGTTCGAACTCCGAGTCTTTATTTTTGGAGACGGGTGTATTTGTAGACTTTTCCCTCCACCATTCACCATCTTCAGCTGCTTTGACTGGCTGTGATCCGGACTTGGTCGGGACAATGGGACTCTTCCTCTCCATAAAGGGTGTCGTGATATGGTCCCACCAACCACGTGCCTGAGTAGCTGCGCTGTCCGGACTCTTTGATACCTCTTTGGCCTTTGTTGACCTTGGACGGTTCGAAGCCGCTCCGTCTTCTTCGAACAACGTGCATGGGCTGCCTCCGTCGTCGTCGTCCTCGTCGTTGTCCTTGAGGACGACACTGACCACTCTTTCCTGTCGCTTGTAGGTGGAGGGAACAGAGGGTACAGGGGGGGCGTCGTGAGCCACTCGCACCCCGAGACCAGTAGCTTGGGAGTATATGCTGGATGAGCGGTGGGAAGGCTGGAAGGAAGATGTCGTGTCGGGTGTGTCAGGGCTCCAGACTGATCTTTGCTGCGAAGGAGTCAGAGGAGTGACAGTATTTTGCTTGCTTGCCACCGGTGGGTTGTTGTCATATTTGGGCGGCAGGTCATGTGGTGTCTCGAGAACTGCTGTGTGGGGGCTGATTTCCCTTCCAGCCATTTCTGATGGCAGGGCGATACCGATGACGATAGGGCGGTCATTTGGGGAAAGGTCTTGCTCGAGCGGGCTGCGCCTGATGCTTTGAGGGGACTGGCCGCTCTGGTCGGTTTTCTTCTTGAGCCAGTTCCAGTTGCCGACGGAAGCAGAGTTGGGTGACCCCTCGAGGGCCCTAAGAGCGGCGGCATCGACAAACTTCGGCTGCTGCAAGTCGGGATTCCGGCTTTGTTGAGCAGCTCGTTGCTGTTGCAGGGCCGTCATATCCGTCACTACCTTAATACCAGCCTTCGCGTTCTGCGCCTTCTGTCGTTGACGGGATTTTAGACGCCTCAGTTTCTGGACGGAATACCGAGGCTGCGAATATCTTGTGGAAGCAGGTTTGTTCGGCTTCAGTGGGCTGGGAGCAGCCGTCTTGTCCATGATGAGCTCTTGGTCGTCTTCCATGATAGGCGTGACCACATCTTCATCCTCCCAGTCTTCCCAGTCATCTCTCTCATTGTGAGTTCGGTATTCTTGAGGTTGCCGCCGGGGCGTTGAGGTTCCGTTTAAGGACATGTCGCCGTCCTCGTCGTCGTCGAAATCTAGTATCGCCGTGACGGACTTTCTGAGTGAGTGCGTACACGTCGAACCAAGATGTCGAGATAGTTTGACGAGTAGAATAAATATCGAGTCAACAGTTTTTAACAAATGAGAAGTCTGTAATCCAATGATGAGATTACTTTGTCGTCGAGGGTTGTGTCAGAAGGTGACAATGTGTTGTTGTATGGGCAAGATGGAAAAAGGGAAGGAAGGGAAGGCTCAAAGGAGAGCTGAAACGATTGACAACTAACTCGCTCAAATGGAATACTCGGTTGTGAGTTGTGAACAGGCGCACAATGGAACAAGAAAAGGGAAACCGGATGTCCACCCACCGAGCGTTCGACTAGGTTTGAAATCACGAAACAAGCAGGAGCACAACAGCGCGGCAGGAGTAGCTGGCTTCATTATATGACTGGGACTCGTTCACCAGACGGCGGCTTTCAGTTCATGGGTCGCCGCCAGGCCCCATGATGTTTGGCTGGACGATGCAGAGATAGTATGAGGTAGGCGCCCAGTTGAGCATCTCGAGCTTCTGATTGGTCGTCGTGCCGCTGACCAGCTCTCGGGCCTGCACAGGCGACCGCGCTGCTGGCCATTCATTCGGCCGCGGTTCTCAGAGGCCTACATGGCTCTGCGGCATGCAGGACACCCAGGAACCCGATGGCTGCTTCATCTCACAAGGCGCGAATCAAAGCATGGAGTGAGCCACGACGGGTAGATCGTCTGTGGTTGAGGTAGGGGAAATGGATACCATGGAGTGGCTTGACACAAACAGCTTGAGTACCTAGTGCACGGTGCTGTGGCTGATGGGATGCGTATTACCTAATCACGCCTCCAACACCGGTCCGACCGTCTGACAGTGGTGAGGTGTCCTTCCGTACTCCGTGGCCTTGCCGTGTGTGGAGGCCGAGATAGTTCCTGTTCCCGGATGCACTCTCGGAAGGCTGCCGCTCTCCCGTCCAGGCTGTGCTCCCGCAATTTCTCCCTCACACTTTGATTGAGGTGTCACGACAGCCGTTGAAACGAACTGAGTATTGTATCTGATACCCGTTCCGGCGACTTGCTGAGATGCAGTCTTCTTCAACATGATTGTTCGGAATTCCAATCTGATCACAGAAATTTCACATGAAGGGCGTCAACACATACAGTCGTAGAAAATTCCTCTCCTATTTGCGCCAAGCTCGGTCGCCCCGTCCATCAGTCCCTGGCATTAGGCATTGCATGGTCACCACAAGCGACCTAGTTAACTGTTCAAGTACCTAACACATCTTAGCGGCCAGAACTACTTCGGACGACACATACATAACAGAGGCCAGGCTGCATCGGTCCATACGTCGTCCCGTCTTACGTGTCTGCACGTCAACCCAAACTCCTTATTGCTACAACCTCAAGTACTTGTTTTGGCCATGAACGGAGGAATAAGCCCCGACACGTCCGGTCTCAGGTGCTAAGCAGGTGGACGGGATGAAGTGGCTGTGCACCCCGTTGCCTCGCAGACGGCTCCAGGGGCTGCCAGTCGCAAAATCCGCTCATTGCTAGAGCAGAGCGAGAGCAAAACCACAACTAAATAACCGTTTGTAAGATGATGCAAATTTCCGTGTGCTCGTCAACGGCATGGGAAGCTAGTCGGCCGTCTGAATGTTACGGAGCCGCACGGCAGCGCCGGCTCCAAAGTCAAAGCCATTGCCCTTTCGACAAGGCGGTGACCCTGCCGACTTGCTTAACTCTGCTGGTGTTACCGAAACGGCGTGGTTAATTTAAAAATTTGCCCGTACCGAGGGAGAATTAAGAAGAGAGAGGGGAAACCCCACTCGATCTTAAATGCAATCCTCAATCGGGAGGATCAAACACGTCAAGAATCACCTTGTTTGGAGTGGCCATGTAGTGTGCTGTCTTTTCTCTGGGGTTTCCGCGAAACTTGTCAGGCGCAACATTTGGACATAGTAGGCTCGTATTAGAAGCGCCTCACGAGAGACGTGCTGACTGAGTGACTGGCATTCCGAAGACGCAAAGGTTCTCCCGCAGGCGACTAGTAAATGAAGCGGCCCGACCTTGCTCGACATCCACTAGCATCTCAATTTAGCGCATTTGAGATCTCTCTCCCTGGCCAATGGTGGCTCTCCAATTGACTCGAGTCGCTGGCGTGGGGGAGAGAGCCCGCCCGCAAGGATGGCGCCCGTGGTTCGTGTCTTGACCATACGGTGCTTTTATTACCTCCTTACCTCAGCCGTACATTGTCACCCCTGATGTTTGTGATGAGTTCACAAGGCCAGGGGAAGACCAAGGGACCATCCGTCACTATCTCCCTTGGAGAGGGAGTCAAGATGGTTTACTGTTTTCTTTTCCCATAGATAAGATTCCGGTCCATGACATAGTTCCCGTCGCAACATTCGGACGATAGAGGCATTGGCTTTGGGGGGATAAGGGGCGAAGGTTCACAAACCGAGAGGCTAAACAGTTTTGACTGTGAGTCTGCAAGTACACTTGACCTGGCTTGGTGGCACAATCCCAGCATATGGCCATGTGTCGGCTACTCGAGTCAACGCAGGGCCCTGACGCAATGTCAGCGGACCACCAAACGACCTTGGCATCCAGGAGCACCCCATCCAAATAAAGATTAGGTAGACGCACAGGAAGGTATGACGGGGGGGTTCTGCTCCTACACACGGGCGAGAGACTCTCGGTCAAAAAGTAAGGGCTCGTTTTTTGATGAGGTACTATGTAGAGACAATGGGGTGGGTGGTTACTGGTGGAAGGCGTCTCTCCCTTATGATTGCGTCTTTGGCTCGGCTCCCATTTTGCAGATACGAGAGGATCAAATATAAACAAACCATTGGCAAATTGTCGCACAAAGGCAGTTGGTCCCTTTGAACTGGGACGTATTGCCCTCCGAATCCTACCTTCTTCCCTGCTAACAGCTTCTTCGCTTGTTGACCTGCCTTGGTTTGTCAACCCATTCCTCCTCCACGCCCTGTCTTTCTCCTCCCCCCCCCCCACCACGCCAGTGGCAGCCGGTGGTCAATCCTCTCTTTTCTGCTTGCAGCCACAGGCGATGCGAACGCCCTCTTTTTCGCTTCTCCCGTGTGCCTCGACCCCAATCGGCCGTCTTGCCACCAAAGAAAAAAGAGACCCCAGCCTGGAGACGACTCTCCTCCACTTCTCCCTAATAACTTTTTGCCTGCCCGCACCTGGCCCGTACCATCTACGCACCTCAAACTGGAAAGCCAACGAACCGAGCCCCGATTCCTTACAGCTGCCATACCTTGGGCCCTTGTGTTTACCACCTGCATCTTCCCCTGCCCGACCGACCACCTGTACAGCCTCACTCGGATTCCACGAACCACCAGAAGCTATTACGGAAGAGAGGGGACCCCCTTTTCGGATACGTCGACCCCCGTCCCTTTCTACCTCTACATTAGCGAGTCCATCTTGGCCATCGCGTTGTAACCAGACGGCTCGAAAAGTGCCATCTGGTCACAACCCTCGATAATCATTCATCCTGGATCAATCACAGCAATTTGCCGCCTCTTCGTCCTTCAGCGAACGCAGGCCAACACGTTCCCATCACCGACGCCGCTCTTCTGCATCTAGCGGGCTTGCCGTCACCGTTAACGGCCCAGGCGACCGTGGCTCTTCCCAACTCCTGGGAGTCCACGGCCAGCTGCCTGGTCTCGCGCCGATTCCTGGTACGTTTTGTCCCGCACCTACTCTCTTGCCCTCTTCAACCTGCAGTTTGATCCCGTGGCTCACATATGACCCTCCGCCCCGGCCTGCCACCAACACATGCACGGTTGGACAATACGAACGGAGGGACCCGCTTGCTGACATCTCGTGTTCTTTGAATGCTGCAGGCACCCCCAACACCGCAATGTCGCTTTCGCGCAGCCCATCGCCTATACCTGGTGGTGGCTGGGCCAGCCCTGGCCTGACCATCAACACCAGTGGCCGATCGAGTCCGAGCAGAGGCTTCTCAGCATCCAACGGCGCAACATCGCCTTGGGAGACCTCCAAGATGAGAACCGCAGGCATGAACGGATACCCGTCCTTCTCTACGCAGAACCAAGGCTTCTTCACACGACACATGCGCCGGATATCGAGTAGTCTGCCGCGATTCAACAATCATGGTCACTATGCTGAGAAGGAGAAGCTGGGTCGAGGATCATGGGCGGCACAGAAGGTACCTCTGGTGGGAAGGATACGGAGCGTCTTCGCGCGCATGGGGAGGAAGATGAAGCTGCGTTTGCTGATCCTTCTGCTATTCTCCCTGGCCATGACCGTGTTTTACAACACTCGTACGTTGGGAAACCCTCGGTGCACCCTGGACTTGTCGTTGACCATCCTACAGCTCTAGTATACCACTGGCGGAGACATTTTGGCGGCGGCCAAAAGTATGTCATCATCTTGGCGGCCAACGTAGGGGGAGGTGTCATGGAGTGGAAGGGCGCTCGCGAATGGGCCATCGAACGGGACAGCGTACGAAACAAGAAGAAGTACGCGAACCGGTGGGGATACGATCTCGAGATTGTCGACATGAGCACCAAGAAGCGATACGCACACGAATGGCGCGAGAGCTGGGAGAAGGTTGACTTCATCCGCTCCGCCTTCCGCAAGTATCCCAAAGCTGAATGGTATGTTGAGCACGCGGGACTTGGTGTCATCCAAGCTAACGTCTGGGCACAGGGTCTGGTGGCTTGATCTGAACACCTATGTGATGGAACTTTCGTACCCCCTACAAAACCATATATTCAACGACCTCAGCAAGCACGTCTACCGCGACATTAACGAGTTCAACCCCTTGAACATCAGCCACCCCTTCACCGACCCTTACCTAGATGAGGAGTCGCGAAGTCCCGTCGGCGACGGAAGGCCAGAGTCCATCAACTTGATGCTCTCTCAGGATTGCTCAGGCTTCAACTTGGGCTCTTTCTTTGTGAAGAGGGGCAACTGGGCGGACCGTATGCTCGACGTCTGGTGGG